GAGCCAAGAATAACTTACCTAGCAAAAGCAAATATAATATAATCCTACAAGGGAAAAAGGGATCTTTACTGAAGATTTCCAGATATTCCTGATGGAAAGACCAGAAATGCATAGAATCTCTGAAGTTCAAACACAGAGGTTAAGAGAAACACAAAAAGGGCAAACATGAACAATACTAAGAGACTTTAATGAGGACACACTGTTTATATTCTAATATGAGGACGAGATTCATATGTCCCTTCAGAATCCAATCATGAAGGATCATAGTAAGAATCTATAAGACATTGTACCTGTTATGTTTTGATGATCTTAAAAGAGTGGTAAGGGAGAGGAAGAAGAATACATTAGTGGAAGAAAACAGAAAGGATAGAGAAAATTATCTTACACAATCAGATGTGCAAGTAGTCATCTATAAAAACGAAGATAGAATGAGGGGAACCCCTCACGCTTGAACCTCACTCTCATCTGAACTGGTTAAAGGAGAGAGGAATACACACACACCAGGGTACAGAAATACATTTAACTAAACAGGAAAACAGGAGGGAAAGGGGGAGAATAAGAGGAAAGGTAGATTAAAGGTATTATTCCTCAGCAAAATAGACTAAGGACCATACATGTTTGTTGCATCTGCCCCTCTTGCATGGCTTACGTGGGAGAACATACTCTTGTCTTTAGCTGGGGTGGGATAAGACTTTTTCTTTTCACTCATTGGCTATGCTATCTTAAGTCAACGAACACTTACTATACCTCAGGCACTATTCTAAGTGGTAAGAATATAAATACAAGCAAAAAAGAAAGTCCCTGCCTTCAGGGAACTTACACCTTAATGAAGAAAGATGCAGATAAGAAAATAACGATGACCATTGGTGGGAGAAGGGAGCTAGAAAGGGAAAAGTAAGTATCCATGTGAGGACATGGGTGGGAGGGAGGAAGTGCTGGGAAAAGAGTATAGGAGTGAGCATGATTGGCCTGGGTTTGTGTGCGCTCAGTCATTTTCAGTTGTGTCCTCTTCATGACCCCCTTTGGGTTTTTCTTGGCAAAGATACTGGAGTAGTTTGTCATTTCCTTCTCCATTCTCTGTCTACCATCCTTGAGAATTCTGGAATTTTGAGAATCCAGGAAGAATTCAGCAGAGGAGAGGACCTTAGGGTCAGAGGGAGCTTTCAGGGTTAGAAAGCTGGGGGGGCGGGGAATGGTGGACAGAGAGTCAGGAGCCGAGGAATGGCTTTTGCTTTGAGCTAATGTGTCCTCTGGTTCGCTGATAAACACATTGGTTGGGGCTCATGAGCTATTTGGTTTTGAGTGGACGTTTGATCCACAATGTGCCTTGAGCCTGGGATAACTTTCAGGGACCTATGTGGTGGTGAGGGGAGAGGGAGGACCTGGTGCTGCAAACAATCTCATTTAGTGCATTAAAGTTTATAAAACTTTTTTCACAATAGCCCTGTAACCTCGGTAGCACAAGGATTATTATCCACAATTTACTAATGAAGAAACTGATACAGAGAAGTTAGATAACTTGCCCAGAGTCACACAGCTAGTCTTGAGCCTATTTGAACTCAGGTATCCTGACTCTAAAGCTCTCTCCTCTATATCACTCTTCCTCTCACTATATTGTTGTCAGTATGCGTGCATATGTAGAACTTGATTTGATGCCAGTAAATGAGGCTGCTCAGCTGAGATTTCTCCCAGATTTCTGGGTGAAGGCTAGAGCTAAGGAAGATGTGATAACTTCCAGAATTAAACTGGTCTCTTCATACCATGGGTGCCTCTAACACCAGGTCTATGCAAAAAATAGCTCACTCTTAGATGACTTTAGTGTTGAATCTGCTGTACTTCTGGGAGAAAGTAGTTGCTATTGGATGATGATAATCATGGCTTAGTGCCTCTACCAGGAGAATTAGTGACCACATGGGGGGGTAACATATGCCATGCAAGAATGTACAAATGTAAAGAGTTCGGTGTTGGGGTTTTTTTTTAACAAGTATGAAAGCTGTGTCAAAATTCATCTTAAATTACTAACTCTAAATTACTAACATCTTAAATTACTAAATTGTAATTGTCTATTAAAAATGGAGTTCTTTGAAAGTTCTTTTTAAATTTCATTTGTTATTTGCTTCATTCCAATCCCAATTTTTTAATACAAAATTTTTGTGAGTCTCTGTATTTTCAAATATAGACCATAATTTCTTCTTAAATTGGGGTTATATGAAACTTGATTACTGTACATGACTTACGTTTTAGTGTATATGAATATTCAGGTTTACCTGTAGTCACACCAGTGTGGTCATGTTCCCTCCCACCCTTCTTGTCCTCACAGCTTCTTAACATGGAATCTTCTTTTTCCTTCAAGAAACAGGTTGAGTACCATCTTCTCCATCAATCAGCTTGTCATGATTCCCTCTCCTTCCCACTCTACCTGGTATTGAATGAACTTCCCCCTATTTGTTTTATGACTTCTCTGTAAGTTCTGTATGTTCTCACGTAGGTACTTTTGCCTCCTCCACTAGAGTGTAAACTCTTTGCAAGTAGGGATTGTTTTAGTCTTTGTGTTTGTATCCCAGCATCTAGCACAGTGCCTAAAATGGAGTGGACCTAAATAAATGCTTATGGATTGATTGATTGATTGATTGATTCTAGACTTCCCTCACTCAGAGGCAGGTTTTTTATTCACCGTTCCAGTTTATCTAGTATTAACACAGCTCCAAGGCCTAGAGCAACCTATAACTGTGGTTCATTTTATCTTGTATTCCTGAGAGCAAATAAGAGAGAAATACAAGCTGTGTTTTCTTGGCTTCTCTTTACCTTCATTAGTCATTTCTAAGATCCCTGCAAGGCACAGAAAGCCACATCCTGTAATCTCAGGAAAGGTTATTAAAGGCCACCTTTGGTAGCAGTGACCAGTAAACCAGGAGGAATTCCCTAATTAAGGCAGGAAATTATGTTCCATCCGTTAGAATTCTTATCTTTCGCGTGTGACACTCAGCAATCCCTTTTAATTTCTCCCACTCATTGAATTTAGTAACTGATATTGAGGGAGGCAGTCTCTTTTTAACTTCCTGCCTTAAGCCCTCATCTGGGAGCGAGGCAGATCTCCCAACAGTTCCACACGAGGTGAACAAAGAAAGCTTTGTTAGCATCCAGTTTAGAAGGTACATACTAGTTGCTGACATACTGATTAAACACCCAAGCTGCTCTTAAGCTTTGTAGGGCCCTTCAAGTTGGTTTGTGTCATTTTGAAAACTTAAATTTATAACACACAATTGTGTTCGAAATGTAATGATTTTATTTGAGACAGTGAAAAATCATTTTGGGTGGTCTGAGGTTGAAATGTGGACATGCCATGGAAGAGAAGTGGTAAATCTTTTTTAATTAAAAAAAAATCACATAAGCCAGTGTTTTGTTTTTGTAGTCTTGTAGAAAATTGGACCCTAAATAAAGGATAGTAATTTGATCTTATATTTTACCCCAGTTGCTTACTAATAATCTCCGTGAGCCAAGAGTGGTGGCTCACTGGTCTTTAATCTGTAAAATAAGGGGGCAGCTGGGTGGTGCAGTGGATGGAGCACTGGACCTGGATTCAAGAGGACCTGAGTTCAAATCCAGCCTCAGACACATAACACTTACTAGTTGTGTGACCTTGGGCAAGTCACTTAACCCCATTGCCTAGCCTAAATACATAAATAAATGAAAGTCTGTAAAATAAAATAATCTGTGGCACAGATTATTGGTTTTCTTATTTTGTGGATTTAATTTTGTACCTTCCCTTGTAACAACCCTTCTTGCTATTCCAAAAACTGTGCAATATTCCATAAACCAGGGTTTTCAAATACAGGAATTAGCTCCCCAGAATTTGTTGGAACTCTTTAAGGCTCTATCTGTGAGTGGCTTTCTAAGTACTTGATGATAACTGGTTTCTTCATAGCTGAAGGCTTGAAGCTCTTGACAAAGATGGCAGATCTTTTGAGTTCGATGGAATCTAGACTGGCTGGAAATTCAGACAGGATCTAACACAGCCTCCTCACATTACAGAAAAGGGAAAGAGAGATGTAGGGGAGGAAATAGAGTTACCCAAAGTCACGCAGGTAATTTGTCAGCAAGTCAGGATTTGAACCCAGATGCCCTGACTCCAAATCCAGTGTTCTTTCCACTAAATGAAGATACTTATTACTGTAGATTAATTAGGGAGAATTAGCTTTCTATAAAAAAGAGTATCTGGATTCCCAGAAAAAGAAATATAATCCTTTTTCACTATATTAAGCTGAAGTACTGTCCAACTAAGCACCTCATATTGCAGAAAGTTTTAAACTCCATTGAGAAAAGTGCTTTAAGAACTGTATCAAGTTAAAACCCTTCCCAAGGGAGTCCCAGCAGAGCAGAAGCTCTGTTTGTTTTGCATCTAACAAAATGCAAGTGGAGAGACTTATTGTAACATTAGCCTTTTGTGTTTTTATGTAAAATGAAATAAATATAAATGTCTGTATGAAATACAGGTATACTTATTTTAAGCAGTAGAAAGTTTTCTAAATGGTGTATAATTCATTTCGGTGGTAAGTTCTGATTGAGTCATATTTTAAATTCACTGAGGAAAAGTAAAGAATCGCTGTGTAATGTCTCACATTTATGTGATGTTTTAAGGTTTTTGCTATGATACCTAATTGATCTCTTTGCAAGTACAAATTTGTATATGTCAAATCTGTTTTGCTTAAAGTAAAAGTGCATTTATACCTTTTGTCCCTGTTCTACTTGTGGGCAAGCTATTTGTGAATATATTATTTTGTTAACATTTTGCATGTCATATTTAGGTTCTCTTTATTTCTTGAGGTGCCTGGAAATGATGTCAAATCATCAAATGTTTTTCCAATACCTCTCAGAGTAGTCAGTGTTGCCAAATTTCAGGGCTGCCTTGTTAAGGAGTTTATAGCAGGCTCAAGAGGATTGTTAACCCCACCCCAAGGTAACTATGTCCCTTCCATTTTTTTCCTGTTCCCTGGAGGAAGACGGACTACAATGAGCTTCTCTCTAGGACCCCAGGTCAGTGGCCTACATAACTTCTCTATCTTACCTAAGGAGTAAGGATATCTGTCTTTGTCTCTTTTTCTTTCTTGAGCCCACACGTATATATACACACACACACACACGTACATACATATGTTCTTTGTGCAGTATAGAGGCAGGAACAGTAGCTTTGGAATCTGAGCTGACTTTGAGTTCAAATGTTAGCTTTGCTGCTTACTACCTGAATAACCTTGGACAGATCAATGAACTGTCATTGGCCTCAGCTTTGTCATCTTTTGAGTGTGTGTGTGTGTGTGTGTGTGTGTGTGTGTGTATGTGTGTGTGTGTGTGTTGGGGGTAGGGGTGGTTGGAATAAATTAGTGCTGAGGTTCTTATCTTACTCCCCAACCATTAGAAGAGCCTTTTCTTTGATCCTCAATCATTTTGTCCCCGTTCCCTTAAAAAGAAATAATTAATTTGGGACAAAGATGGGTAAGGAGAAAGAAATAAGTGGCAGTTCTACTCCATTTTTCCTGTTTAATAATGATAGCTGACATTTGTATACTGTCTGCTATGTGCTAAGTACTTTACAAGCATTCATGTGAACCTCACAACAATCCTAAGCAGTAGGTGCTTTTACTATTCCCACTTTACAGATGAAGAAACTGAGGGAAACAGAGGTTAAATGACTTTCCCAGAGTCACACGGCTAGTAAGTGTCTGAAGTTTGATGTGAACGTGGGACTTCCTGACTCCAGGTCTAGCACTCTATCCACTGTACCACTTAGCTGCCTCCTGGGTGTTTTATTTACCTCACTGCCTTTAAACTGATCCCCACATGTGGAGATAACAGTTCAAATTTATCCGGGCAGGAAGGCTACCTCGAGGCACCTGGTTCCCACTACGAAGTCTCTTGCCCTTAACCACACACACCGTGCTTAGCCATTTGGCTCCAGCTTTTTGCTTTATCTATATTAAAAACCACTCATTTTGCTATCTGCTGTACTGTATAGTTCTTTAGAGTTGAGAAATCTTTTACATAATCACTAGCCTGGCATAATAGATAGACAGCTCCCCTAAGTGCCAGGACGACCTCAGTTTGAGTCCCACATCTGACACATGTTGATTGGGTAGCCCTGGGGAAACACTTAATTTTTCCATGCTCTAAGCTACTTCTAAAACTATAAATTGCAGAAGACGTGCCAACCTGCACAGAGGAAGCTCTGTCACCTGTGAGTTCTCTCTACCAGTGAAATCACAAGCCCAGTCCCTGTCCCCTTCTCCTAGTCTTAATTATGATACTAATGGTAATAAATAAATCTTTATTTTTTAAACTTTTTTTTTTTTTGCTTTTTGGTGAGGCAATGGGGATTAAGTGATTTGCCCAGGGTCGCACAGCTAGTAAGTGTCAAGTGTCTGAGGCTGGATTTGAACTCAGGTCCTCCTGACTCCAAGGCCAGAGCTCTATCTACTGCCCCACCTAGCTGCCCCCTTTATTTTTTTTGCAGTGTCTTTAATTTAAAAATAAGAATTTAGAGTCTACATATTAATCCTTTTGCACGCATTATAATCATTTCCTTTAATCTTATATTTTTTCATAATGTGATTCATTGGAAGCCATATTTCAAGTTATTGTGTACATAATTTATTATGGCTGTGTTTCATACTGATATTAACAGTGGTCTTTTTGAGTAAAAACATTTTAAGAAGCATAAACTTAAGGAATACACTAGAGGAAAGAATCAGCATGACTTGTATGTGGACAACATTAATTTTTTTGTTTATTGATTATTAGAATATCATTTATTTTTCCACAGAAAGTTAGCGGTTATGTTGTCCTTTTTTTGTTTTAAGAAAAAAAGGCATTTTGAAATATACTGAAGTGTGTTGCAGGAGAATTTACTAATTATATACTTCCTGGTGAGTTATATGCCTTAGTAATAACTAGCTACCTAATGACATGACTCAATTTTCATCTTTGTGTTTTCAGTACCTAGCACGGTGCCTCAAATATTCATAAATATTTGTTAAATTGAATTGAATTCTGTTACAAACTTTTCAGGGTGTTGTACTTAGTACGTATGTGCCTAACCAAAAGAATTAAATTGACTTTAATTCTCAACTGCTATGATTGTATGATTTCATTTGTATTGGCTTCTTAATTGGAAGCTTAAGATGTAGTAGAATTCTCTTCATACTAAGAAATTTGAGAGTTCTGAAATCTTGTCGGGAAATGAACAGGGCAACCCTTAAGCTCTTGTGCTTCCGCACATAGGAATTTTTCAAAAGTCTAGTTATCGTCTGAATCTATAACCTAAGCACATGGAACTTAGCTCCCTCCCTTCCTTTTTTCTGGGTATTTTCAATAAGTCACTGAGCTGTGCTGCTATTATATTATACTTTTCCAGCAGGTACTCCCACCTAACACAATATGTTTTAATTGATGACTTCAGGCTCAATGAAAACAAATTAGTGTGTCCAATTTTTAATTCTGAAATTGCTTTAGGGTCCTTTTTTTCTAAAGGGGCAAGGAAAAAGGATTAATTCTGCCCAGTTATATATGCCGGGTCTTATTTACGTTTTGGTGATAGTTTCTTTGACTAATTAAAAACCTATGGGGGCAGCTAGGTAGCGCAGTGGATAGAGCACTGGCCCTGGAATCAGGAGGACCTGAGTTCAAATCTAGCCTCAGACATATAACACTTACTAGCTTGTGTGACTCTGGGCAAGTCACTTAACCCCATTGCCTAACCAAACCAAACAAAACAAAAAAACTGTGGACTTTGGGCAGGTAAGTGGTACAGTGGTTAGAGCACCCATCCTGGAGTCAGGAGGACCTGAGTTCAAATCTAGCCTCAGACACTTGACACTTAACTATCTGTGTGACCCTGGGCAAGTCACTTAACCTCATTGCCTAGACCAAAGAGCAAAAATCTGTGGACTATAATGGCCAATCCTTGCTTCTGGTTGTTTGCCACACAAGGGCCCTTAAAGTTCATCTAGTCCAACCCTCCCTAATTTTATAAATGAAGAATCCAAGACCCAGATTGGTGGAACAGCTTGCTCAAGATCATGCTGGTAGTATGTGATGGAGGCAAAATTTGAACTCAGGTCTTCTTGCTGTAAATCCAGTGTCTTTGCCAGATATTTTGCAATCAGTCAGTGAGTATTTATTTAAGCACTTACTATGTGCCAGGCATCTTGCTATGTGCTGGAGCCACAGACACAGAAAATAAAACAAGTCTTACCCTCAAGGAGCCTGCATTCTATAAGAGAGACAGCATGTACAGATGCATGTACATATGGAATAAATGCAAAACAAATACAAAGTGGGGCAGGTAGCGGTGAAGTAGAGCACCGGCGCTGAAGTCAGGAGGACCTGAGTTCAAATGCAGCCTCAGACCAAACACTTGGCACGTACTAGCTGTGTGACCTTGGGCAAGTCACTTAACCCCAATTGCCAAAAAGAAAGAAAGAAAGAAAGAAAGAAAGAAAGAAAGAAAGAAAGAAAGAAAGAAAGAAAGAAAGAAAGAAAGAAAGAAAGAAAGAAAGAAAGAAAGAAAGAAAGAAAGAAAGAAAGAAAGAAAAGAAAGAAATACAAAGTAGTTGGGAGAGAGGACACCATTATTTGGGGGGAATAGGGAAAGGCTTCATGGAGAAAGTGATACTTAAACTGCTTCATGATGGAAGAGAGATTCTGTGAGTTTAAGGTGAAGAAATACATCCTGTGCTTGGGGGAATCCCCAGTGCAAAGATCAGGATATGGGAGATAGTCATATGTGAGGAACAGAGAAGGCCAGTTTGATTAGATTGTAGTGTGTGGGAAGGGGGCCGATGTACATATAATGAGGCTGAAAAGACTGGATGAGGCTAGGTTGTGAAGGACTTTAAAAGCCTAATGTGAATTTTACATTTTCTTCTAGAGGAAATAGGACTTCACTGAAGTTTATTAAATTAGAAGAGTGATATGGTCAGATTTGTGCTTAAGAAAAATCACTTTGGGGGCAGGTAGGTGGCACAGTGGATAGAGCACCGGCCCTGAAGTCAGGAGGACCTGAGTTCAAATTTGGCCTCAGACCAAACACTTGACACTTACTAGCTGTGTGACCCTGGGCAAGTCACTTAACCCCAATTGCCTTTAAAAAAAAAAAGCCTAGGTGAGAGATAATGAGCATCTGAACTAAGGTAGTAGCTGTGTGAGTAGAGAAAGGCTTAGACACAAGATTAATAATAAATACTTGCTTTTAAAATAGCTATGGGGGGTAGCTAGGTAGCACAGTGGGTAGAGTACCAGCCCTGGAGTCAGGAGAACCTGAATTCAAATCCAGCCTCAGACACTTACTAGCTGTGTGACTCTGGGCAAGTCATTTAACACCAATTGCCTTAAAACAAATAAATGATAGCTCTCATTTGTTTAAAAAAAATAGATGTGAAAGTAGAAATACCAAGACTCGAATCATATGACCATCCATCATCATTCATCTTTTTAAAACACAAGGAAAATCTTTATAATTTGGTAGGCAGTCTTGACCCTGCAGTCCTCCCCTCCACCTATGTCCCTCCCCCTTACACACAAATCAGATTTTAAGGAATCACATCACCAACTTATCTTACTGCTCTTGTTAAACCCATGTGGTGATAGAGCCAAAAAAAGGAAGACCCTGATAAATTCCATAAACCTAAATATTTTGCTTACTTATTTGTCTAGTGGAATACAAATAAAACACTTTGAGGATAGGAACTGCATCTCACTTTTGTGTTTGTGTTCACATATCCTACGTATTGTTTTGTTGTTGTTCAGTCATTTTCATTCATGTCCAGCTCTTCATGTCCCCATTTGGGATTTTCTTGTCAAAGATATTAGAGTGGTTTGCCATTTCTTTCTCTAGCTCAATTTATTTAGATGAGGAAACTGAGGCAAACAGGGTTAAATGACTTGCCCAAGGTCACACAGTTAGTGTCTGAGGCCATATTTTAACTCAGATCTAACTGACTTACCCAGGGTCACATAGCTAGAAAGTGTCTGATGCTAGATTTTAACTCAGGTCTTTCTGACTCCAGGTCAGGCGCTATCTATTGTGCCACCTAGTTGTCTAATCTATGTATAGTAGGTCCTTAATAAATGCTTCTTTATTGGTTGACTATATAAAACAAATGTGTTATCTAATTAATATAATGTTGAGCAATCCCATATATCAAGTGTGCCACTGGACCAAATGCCAAAGTAGATAGAGGGCTATCGTTGGAGTCAAGAAAACCTGGGTTCAGGTCCTGCCTACAATACATACTAGCTCTGTGACTGGAGGCAAGTCATTCAACCTTTCATTTGTAAGTTACAGATAGACAGACCGAGGCTATATATAGAAAACTTGCATGTATGAAGGGAGTTTCCACATTAGGGGTTTCTCACACTAGTGAAATAAGACATGAACTATGCTCTCTCATTACTAAAAATGAAAGAAAGAAAGAAAGAAAGAAAGAAAGAAAGAAAGAAAGAAAGAAAGAAAGAAAGAAAGAAAGAAAGAAAGAAAGAAAGAAAGAAAGAAAGAAGAAAAGAAAAGAAAAAGAAATTTCTGGGACAATGATTCTCTTTTCATGCAGGTACATATTCCTTTAAAAAAGATAATCACTCACCCTGACAGACCTTGTGTACTGATGACACAGAAGGGAACATGACATTCCAAAGACTCCTTTGGGCCATACAAGAAGCCCGTGGTCTTAGGTGTTTTCCTCCGTGTGTATGTCATTTCTTTCATTAACGCTGAAAAGGCTAAAGAGCAAAGGAGAAGCCGTGTAGGGGAAAGGGAGAATTTATATTAGACTGACTTGCTCTTTCCTGTTGTTTTTACCTTCCCTTTCAATATATCTGCAACTAAAGATCTGCAACTAAAACGTATAATACAAACCCTGTTTCTCTTTCTTCCTGTCCCTGTCTAGAGTTGAGTTTTCCATTTGGACAGAAGAATGGCTGTGTTCAGGCAATTTACACTTCTTCTCTGGAAGAATTACACCTTAAAGGTAGAGACGGGTGTACATGTGGGAAGAAATGGGGTGCGGGACATAGCACAAAAGGGAAAAATAATTCCAGTTCCCTTTGATTCAGTTGTGACTGTACCTCTTCAAGCAGGGGACCTCTGGAATCCACAGAGCAAGAAGAGGAAGTTATTCTCAAAGGGGTGCTCTGTATATGTACTCTACTTTGGATTAATACAGAATTTCATTTCTCTTTTAGAAGCGGAAGATTGTAGTAACAGTCTTGGAAATTCTCCTGCCATTGCTATTTTCTGGGATCCTAATTTGGCTTCGCCAGAATATTCACTCAGAAAACATTCCCAATGCTACCATATATCCTGGCCAGTCCATCAGTGACCTGCCCTTGTTTTTCAACTTTCCTCCCCCAGAAGATACGTGGGAGCTGGTTTATGTTCCTTCCAACAATGAAGCTGTGAAGAATGTCGCTGAGATGGTGAAAAAGACTTTAGTCATCGACATGAAAGGTTAGATGGTGTGGGGAGATAGGAGTTTTCCATAAATTTATTACCAAATGGTTTTATCAGAGAGCTCTTTTGGGCTTAGCTCTTTATACATGTCCCTTTTAGCAATGAAAATCTCTGTAGATTGATGTGTTTTGGAAAATTGGGATTAAAAAAAAATCATAGTGTAGTATCCCTAACTTGTTGTATGACCTTGGGCAAGTCATTTGACTTCAATTTCCTCATCTGCTAAATGGAAGGAATAGTTCACAACTTATCTTTCAGTCTCACAAAAGAAACAAATGAGATAATGTTTATGAAAGTCTTCTGAAGAGTATAAAGCTTTACAGAAAATCAAGCAATTATTCTTTGTATATAGAGGGTGATCAATAAATATTTGTTGACTAAGATTTTTAATAGTAGAAGGAATAATAAAACAATAAGGGGACAAACACAGAGAACGTTTTCCTTGGCAAAACCAAAGTTCTATTTGTGATTTGTTCAAAGGACTTTCCTGGAATGGGCCTTCTGGGGCATTGCTCTAGAATTGAGTGCATTAGGAACCTTTGAAAGATCTTGACCCTCACCAATGCTTTCAAGTCCTTGCTTTCAGGACAGTCTTACTCATTTGAAAAAGTTTGGTATGTACTTTCCCCTGGTATTTCAAAATCAGGAAATGCCCTAGCTCTGTTTGTGAAATAATTCCAGTAATATAATCTGTTTACATCGGGTTTTGTGAAGGAGGGGAAAGCATAAGGGAAGCAGGAGGAGAAGAAGACTGACATGCTTAAAGAGTGACCACTGATGATATTTAGTAACTGTATTCTTCACTAATAGAATACAGTGTAACAGCCAATACTGGAGACCCTCAAGCAGAGGTTAGGTAACTGCTTATTGAGGATATTGTAAATAGGATTGGTAATTGGGATAGGGGGCAAATTAGATGGCCCCTAATAACTGTTCCAATTCTGTGATTCTATCATTAATACTATGCACAAAGGGAAATTGTAGCTGTAGTGCACAGGGCCTGATATCTTGATTTTGCTTCTTAATTGAAGGAAATCCTTGATCTAACAGTGATCTCCTCTGTTAGAATGTGAGCTGAAAGAGATTCCATTTCATTCCAAGGGTAGCCTTATTTTGCTCAGCCTCATAAGGCAGAACCTCAGTCTATGGGTTGAAGTTATATAGAGAGGCAAATTTCAGTTCAAATGAAAAGAAAGTTCCTAACAATTCAAACTGTCCAGAAGCAGAATGGACTATCTTCAGAAGCAATGTATTACCTGTCGCTGGAGATCTTCTAGCAGAAGCTGGGTTAGCATTTGCCAAGGATGTTGTAGAGTTGATTCATGCTTCAGGTATGGATTGGACGAGAGGACCTGGAAAGTCCTTTACAGCTCTTGGTTCAATGAGCAGCGTCTAAGTCATGCATTCAAGACCTGATTCTGTTGAATTCAACAAACATTTAGCACCCTACTACGTACAAGGTCCTATTTTTGGTTGTGTAGGAGACAAGATAAGTAAGTGAAAGTTTACAATCTAATAAGTTGGATTGCTTTCCTAACCACTGCTATATTTCATCCTCCCTTGAAGAGGGAAGAGGACTTGTGTCCTGGGGAGGCCTTTTTATGGGAACATAGAGAGCTTTACAAGTCCAGCCTCCCTTGGCTATGGATGAAATAGGCCAGCGCTCTCACATCTCCTTGGATGATTGAACAATATTATCTTATGCAGAATACTCACTTTGTTTTCTCTGTAGTTCATGGCCTTCCCTCGGAAAAGGATTTTGAAGATTACATTAAATTTAATAATCACTCTTACAATGTGTTGGCTGGTATTGTGTTTGAGCACAGCTTCAGTCATTACAAGGAACCCCTGCCACTTGAGGTAAGGGAGTATTTATTTATTTAAATTATTTTTATGATTGCAGTTGGTTTCAGTGATTTTTTTTTTTTGCGGGGGGAGCTAGGCAGTGGGGTTAAGTGACATACCCAGGGTCACATAGCTAGTAAGTGTGATGTGTCTGAGGCCAGATTTGAATGCAGGCCCTCCTGAATCCAAGGCCAGTGCTCTGTCCACTGTGCCACCTAGCTGCCCCACCTTTTTTTGAGGCAATTGGGGTTAAGTGACTTGACCAGGGTCACACAGCTAGTAAGTGTCAAGTATCTGGTCTGAGACCGGATTTGAACTCAGATCCTCCTAACTCCAGAGCTGGTACTCTATCCACTGCACCACCTAGCTGCCCCTGGTTTCAGTGATTTTAACAAAGAATTCAGCCACAGAGGCCCTAAATCATCATCTATCTTTCTGCCTTCATTTAGTTCAGTCAGATAGATCTTTGTCTTGCTTCTGAATGATTTTCACGTTTATGAATAAACAGCTGTCAGTACAGAATGATTTTTTTTTAATAGGCAATTGGGGTTAAGTGATTTGCCCAGGTCACACAGCTAGCAAGTGTCATATGTTTGGTCTGAGGCCGGATTTGAACTCAGGTCCTCCTGACTTCAGGGCCAGTGCTCTATCCACTGCGCCACCTAGCTGCCCCAGTACAGAATGATTTAACCCACTTCTTGTCTGAAGCTATGGGGCTAGGCCTCATGATCTCTCAGGCCCTTTCTAGCTCTGTAAGTTTGCTAAAGGGGTTATCGGTTCCTAGGCCTCTGCTGTGGTGTGGGATGGCATGCATTCCCTTATGAGCAGAGTAGCTAGCTAGCATTTCAGGATGAAGTTAGGTGTGATTTCTCAACATTTTAAATGCAGTATTTTTTAGAAGAGAATGAAGATATTTTTGTGTGGCTGGCCTGATGGCACTCGTAAGACCCCTATTCTGGAGTTGGGAGTCAGTGAGATCATCCATTTATTCCATTTAAGTTGTGATTCATGATGCCTCAGTTATTCACAGCTTCTAAAAGCAACCATTTGTTCTGCTGAGTGATGGAGAGACTGGCTTAGGTAGCCTAATTACTGTCTGTGTCACTATGATGGGGTTTGTTACTTGGTTCAGGGCAAGATTGCTAACATTGTCTGACTCAGTCTTTACTCACTTGAACATTTACTGTATGTGAGCATCTGTCCCACAATCGTATGATCAAAACATCTTTTTGCCTAAAAAAGAAGTATTTATTCTCAGGTTTCAGATGAAAAATGTTTGTTCCCATGGAACACAGTTTGTTTCTTATTTGACCTTTGTAGGTTAAGTACCACCTGCGCTTCAGTTACTTTCGGAAGAATGATATGTGGGCTGGGACAAATCTCTTTTTTCCGAAAGAGATTGAAGGGTGGCACACTACCTCTCTCTTTCCACTTTTCCCGAATCCAGGACCCAGGGAACCCTCATTTCCTGATGGAGGAGAACCTGGTGAGGAGAACTTGATATGCATGGTTTTTGCTTGTTTGTTTGTTTTTAAATAGCAGTTTCTTCAGCTGCCTAAGTCAGTTCAGTTCAATAAATATTTATGAAGAAACCAATGTGGGGGAAGTAGTACTAGAAGTAGTACTAGATATAAGAGAAATGCAAAATTTAGATAAGACCTAATTCCTGCCCTTGTGGAGCTTACAGTCTAGAATGGGTACTTACCACATACACTAAAAGTATAAGAGAAATTAAACTAGGAATTAAATAAGGAAATTCTGTCTCAGGGAAGATGATGCACACATGTAGGTACATATAAAATGCCACAATGTCACAAGATAACAAGTGTTCTAGATATCTGCTTCATCTTGAATTTTAGGGACCTTATTTTGGTTTTCTGTTTGCCAATTTTCCTTAGCCTCCTCCCCTGCCCCTATGCAATTGATTGCCCCATGTTTCCAGGTCTATTTCTCCAACATCTCTCAATCCAGTTTCTTCTGTCCCTCATCCAGCCACCACCTTAGGTCACGCTCTTGTTCCAGCTCTCCCTGTGTTGTTGCACTAGACTTCTCATTCGTTTTAACTCTCCAGTCTACTTTCCACACGTTTGCCAAAAGTGCAAATCTGACCTTGTTTAAGAAACTTCAGTGGCTCCTTATTCAAAAATGAAATGTGAACTCTTTGCTGTGACATTTATACATTTTATATATATATAATATATATATATATATATAATATATATATATTTTTTTAAGGCAGTTGGGGTTAAGTGACTTGCCCAGGGTCACACAGCTAGTAAGTGTCAAGTGTTTGATCTGAGGCCGGATTTGAACTCAGGTCTTCCTGACTTCAGGGCCAGTACTCTATCCACTGTGCCACCTAGCTGCCCCTGCTGTGACATTTTAAGCCCTTTGCAGCCAGCTGCAGCCAACCTTTTCAGACTTATTTCACGTTGTCCTCCTTTATTCACTCTGCATTCCAGCTTACTTGCTATTCCCCAAGCTTAGCATTCCATTTCTTCCCTCCACACTTTTGCATAGGTTGGCCACCATGCTTGAACTATACTCCTTCCTCACCTCTGGCACTTAGAATTCTCAGCTTCTGTCAAGGTCCCTCTTAGGCGCCACCTTGTATAGGAAAGGTTTTCTAGTTGTTAGGATCCCCTAGGCGTTAGTGCTCTCTCCCTCCTCAAATTATATCACATTTACTTATCTGAAGCAAATGTTATATCACCACAGCAGTATGTATACTCCTTGGGGGCAGGGAATGTCTCTGATAGCACCCTGTACATGGTGCTATCAGTTGAATTGAACCATCACCTTCATTTTTTTGTGGTATAATCTTGCCTATCCTAGTTTTAGACTGTGTCTGGTCATATCTGTTCTGTTCATATCAAATACTATTCACATAAAGGAGAAGTAGAGGTGAAAATATTACTGCTTGCTCCTGTACTGCATTTTGTGTGTACATTTGCTTTGTGGGATCACTAAGGCAGAAAAGATTGCCAATAGTAGGGCCAGAGACGTGACCATTTCTCTCCATCCCTCAGCATGAGAACTGTGGGAATGTCCTTCATACCTCCACTTACGTGGTGGGTAGCACTCTGAGAGCCAGTTGCTTGGCACCTCCTATTTTCGACTTACTGGGGTTGGTGTCCTTTCCTTTCTTACTTAGGATACATCCGAGAAGGATTCCTGGCTGTTCAGCATGCTGTGGATAAAGCCGTGATGCAATATCATGCAAGCACTGCCATGACCAGACTGTTTGAGAAGGTCACCATCATTGCAAAGAGGTTCCCGTACCCACCGTTCATTTCAGACTCTTTTCTGGTGGCCATCCAGTACCAGCTTCCCTTGCTGCTCATGCTGAGCTTTACTTATTCCACACTCACCATCACCCGTGCCATTGTACAAGAAAAGGAAAGAAAACTGAAGGTAACCATCTTTATGTTTGGGTTTTTTAACTACTCAACAAGTCAATCCTAGCAGTTTAACTTCTATAAATAAATGTTGTCTTGGAACTGTTACTTTAGAGCTGCTGGAGTTGTGATGACGCTCACTAGCTGCCATATTTGGGCAGAGCTTGCATAGCAGCCAGAGGAGTTATTCACTAAATATATAACAGCAATATGGGCATATATAGTGTAAAAAGTTGTGGCATGATTTTATTCTGCTTGTTGATTTACCCCAAATCACAGCCTTGACAAAAAATCAGAAAACATATGTAAAGTGCTAATACTTATGCATAGTACTATGTGAAGTGCTACACCTTGGTGAATATAATCTCTGCTCTTCAGGTATTAACAGTTAGAGATTATGTTGTAAATACATAAAATACCAATAGCGGAATAAACACATTAATGTATAACTGAACAGTAAGGTGGTTTCTATCACATATAGATGTATGGTTTCATTTTGTTCAGTTGTATCACTTGTGTCCAACTCTTCATGACTCCATTTGGGATTTTCTTGGCAAAGATACCAGAGTGGTTTGCCATTTCCTTCTCCAATTCATTTTACAGATGAGGAGACTGAGACAAACAAGGTTAAGTGACTTGCCCAGGGTCACACATCTTGTAAGTATGTAAATCTAGTAAGATTTGAACTTGGGAAGATGAGACTTCCAGACTCTAGGCCTGGCCTCTGTGTCCACTATGCCACATAGCTGCCCATGATGATATAGATATAGATATGGATAGATATGGATATATTTTAAGGTAGCACCAGGTAGTAGATGAGGTATAACTCCAAAGCAATGTGAGTTCAAATCCAGCCTCAGACATATAACACTCACTAGCTGTGTGACTCTGGGCAAGTCACTTAACCCCAATTGCCTCACCAAAAAAAAAAAAAGAGGTTATATACTTAATCTAATAATAATAATATTACTCAAAAACATTTTTGGGATTCTTTTTTTTAATTACCTTCAAAGTTAGTGGCTCATTATTTTGAATATGTCAAGTGGGCACAAACCTTGAAGGGATTACAGGAGCATTTTAAAGGCTTTGAGTGAAAAGTTTTAGAAAATTGAATGAGGAAAGCCACTCAAGACATTTAACACTACATTTGAGAAGGTTCAGAATGTGGTGTTAAATGTCTTGAGCACGGTCAGTCTCTCAAGAGCTGCATCTTCTGGCTGCACATCCTTCCATTTACTCTCCAGGCATTTCTGGAGATGGATATGGCTGTGAGCATGGTGTCTACTATTGTATAACTGTATACTATTTATATTGTATGTAAATAGCAAGGTGGTATTGTAGACCTTGATTTCAAATACTTTATTTCAGTAACACATTTGACCAAGTCTTTCATAATGTCATTGTGGGGAAAATGAAGGAAGGTGAACTTGATGAAAAAGATTACACAGATTCATAATTCTTTCCCAAAGAGCAGTAATGAATGGACCTGTTTGTTAAGCAGAAGGAGGTTGTTAGTGGCATTATGCAGGGTCGTGAAGGTGGATCTTGTGAGTTATCAGGATAAATGGACTTTGTCTTGTTTAACTTGGGTGAAGGACAATGAAATCCTGCTTATCAAATTTGCATAGAATAGAAAACTCTGAAGAAGAGCTAATACATTGCACAAATCTTAAATAACTCAGCATGTTGAACCAAAAGGCCAAAATAAAAAGATTAAATTTAGTAGGATTTATAATAGCAAAAGAAACTGGTCTAACCATCCACAGGAGAAGCACAAAGTAGATGAAACAATGTCTTGCCCACACCAGTGGTGTCAAAAACCAGGGCCATTAAACTAGACATGAGGATCCCTGCTACTGCGTATTGACTTACAAAACTATACATTAACATTAACTATGTTCTGTTGTATTTTTTGTTACATATTTCCCAATTATATTTTAATCTGAATTGGAGACTCACGGGCCACATGTTTGACACTGTAGGCAACTTATTGAATTACTCTGTAAATATGTGTATTTGGACAGTAGCTGCAAATGAATAACAGAAGGCTAACGTCCTCATCCATATTCATAGCACCACTATCCCCCAAATCACCTAGGCTTGAACTTTGGAGTTATCTTAATTCTTCCCCATGCCTTGCCTCACATGTCCATTCAGTTACTTTCCACAGTCTGTCTAGAATCTGGCCCTTTCTCTTCACTCCCACTTAGGAGGCTGCTTGTGTGGTACAGGCATAGAGTGCCGGACCTAGAGTCAAGAAGACCGGAGTTCAAATCCTACCTGAGATACTTGCTAGTTGTGTGATGCAGGGCAAGTCACTTAAAAACAACAACAACCAACTTCCCCCCAAGAAACCAAAACAAAACAAAAACTTCTGTCTGCCTCTGTTTCCTCATCTGTAAAAAAGAGATGCAAACACCCATCTCCCAAGGCATTTGTGAGGAACAAATGAGATAATATTTGTAAAGTGCTTTGCAAACCTGAAAGTACTGTATAAATGCTAGCTATTATTATTTCAATGACCTTATTTTAAGCCTTCACCTCTTCTTGACTAGAACTTTGTAAGAGCCTTCTTTGTCTCCAGTTAATTCCCTCTTCAATCCATCTTCTGTACTACTGCCCAAGGAATCTTCTTAATGTACCACTATTATTACATTTCTTTTCTATTTAAAAACCTTGAGTGGCTCTCCATTGCCTAATGAAGAGAATTTAAACTCCTGATGTTGGCATTCATTCAAGATCCTCTAACATACTTATCCAGTATTATCTCATTCTGCTGTCTTTAATATATTTTGTGTTCTAGCCAAACTGGACTATTTTTCCTTCCTTGTTCTCATCCTTCTTTACTTATACCACAGGTATCAAATTTCTGGCCAGCAGGCACAACTCAATGTAGCCAACCAGATTAAAATGTAATTGGGAAATGTTTAACAAAATAAATAAAAATACAGTACAGCACAGATAATGTTAATTTGTGCTTTCTAAGTCTGAAGAGCAACAGAATCTCTAGAGTTGAGCAGGTTCAGTTTTGATAACAAGCATGGGAGAAATGCTTTGGAAATTGTTATGAAATCTATTGTGAACCTAGATTCCTAGATGGTCTCGCCACCTCCTGACTATCCAGGAGAATTCTTCAAAGATGTCCAACAAGGATTAATAGGCGTGGGCTTTATAAATGTGGAAGACCGCTCTGGAATTTTGACTCTTGATCAAGATTACAATAACATAGGAAAATTCTTAAATCGTATTTTAGGTATGAAGGTCCACCAGCAGTATTTTTTGTTTCAGTATTTTTCAGACACACTTAATGCAGTCATACAAAATGTCAAAAAAAAATGGTAGATATGATATGGGTATTTTAGATCTTGGTTCTGGAGATGAGAAGGTGAGGAAAACAGATGCTAAGAAATTTCTAACACCAGGATATTCAACCTCAGGCCATGTTGAACTATACACAATAAGTATAGAAAGAGGAATGTCTTGGGAAGAAGCAACCAAGATTTGGGTGGAACAGACAGGACCACATGATGGCTTTTATTTATCGCTGCAAATAAGAAATAACAAGAAAATTGCCGTGTTGGTGAAAGAAGGGAATCCCAAAAAGAAGCTTTTCCTAGTTTATAGACCAAATACTGGGAAACAGCTTAAATTAGAGACTTTGGCCAATCATGCAACATCTGGAAATCTGTTTCTATTTGAGTTTGACACCGCTGTCACTTAAGACTAACTCAAATGCCACTTCTCACTAAACTACTAAGGCCCCTTCCAGTTCTAAATCTAAATTGAAGCCATCTATGATAATATGAATATGATAATATGAATCTATGATAATAGGAATAAATGTAAAGTCCTAATACTTGGGTTCAAAAAATCAACTTAAGTTGACACCTGGCCTTGACAGTCTTTCCTGTGAAAAAGATCTGGGTGCTTTAGTGGTCTGCAAATTCATTATGAATCGACAGAGTAAGATGGCAACCAAGAAAGCTCATACTGACTTGGGTAGCATTAAGAGAGACAGTGTCCATAACAAGAGAGCTGCTATACTCTTTCTACTCTGGTTACATCACATCTTAAATGCTGTGTTCAGTTCTGGGCACCATTTTCCAGGAAAGACATAGACAAGCAAAAATTCATTCAGCAGGACAGTGAAGGGCCTTGAAACTGTGCCATATGAGGATTAACTGGAGGAACTAGGAATGGTTTAGCCGCAAGAGGAGAGAACTGGGAAGTGGGGGTGGGGACAGGAGTGGAGGTGAAGGGGGAGTGGAAATAGCTACTTTCAAGTATTTGAAGGACTTCCCTATGGAGGGGATTAAACTTGTTCTGCTTGTTTCTGCAGGTAGGAACAGTGGGAGCAAAGTGAAGAAAGGTGGATTTAGGCTTGATGCAGGGAAAATGCCATAACAGTTAGAGCCATCCCGAAGTGCAGTGGGCTTCCTTCAGAGGTTGTAGGTTTCCCCTGCCTAGAGGTCTCTGAGTCAAGGCTGGATGGCCACTTATCTGTTATATCCTAACAGTGGGGGATTCTTGTTCAAGTAAAGTTGATCTTGAATCCTTCCTTCACCATGATTGTGATTCTCTACTATCTTTTGGTTATCGTTCTGCCTGTTTGTCTGTTTCTTTAGTCAGATCGTCATCTCTTCCTTGCCCGCTAAGCACAGTTCTGAGGTTAAATAACTTGTCAGTTGTCTCATAGGTAGTAAATGTTGGGGAAGATTTATACCTAAGTCTCTCCTGACTTCAAAGTCATAGAGAGAAGAGCCCGAACTCATACCTTGACATTCTGATTTTGTGTTCTTTTCATTGCAGTTTAGTTTATCTTTCATACTTCATGTATCTTTTAGTTGTCACAGTAATAATGTACAAGTTTTACACACAAATTTATTGCTTAAAGTTTTATGGATGTTCAGTATTTTTATGTCACAATCACAAACTGAACCTCACCTTTTAACAAAGAAAAACAGCCTACCAAAAGCATCCAATATGGTGCCTGTATCTGACATCATAAACAATCTTCTCCCCTAGTTGTCTGTCCCCTACCTCTCTGCTAGGAGGGAGGGAGTTGATGGCCTTCCTTATTATAATGTGTTCTTCCAGGTCATTATTGGTATTTCACTTACTCAGAGTTTGGCATCCTTTTGTTTATCTCTTCATTTACTTTGTCATAGTCATTGTATATGTACTTAAGATTTTGGTTCTGCTTATTTTGCTCTGTATCATTTTATACATTTCCCCCCAGGTTTCTCTGAATTCTTCTTATTTGTCATTTCTACACAGTAATATTCCATTATATTCAATATATCATAGGTTATTCAGCCATTCCCTAGTTGATGGACAACCAAGTCAAGTCAAGTCAGTCAGCAGCCATGTATTAAGTGCTTACCATGTCACAGGCATGGTGTTCAGTGCCAGGAATACAAATCCAAGTAGAAAGAAAGACAGTCCCTACCCCTCCAGACCTGTACTACCACAGAAAGGGCTGCTGGAAATATTTTGGCATATACTAGATCCTTGTTCCCATCTCTCACCTTCTCAAGGTGTATGCCCACTTAGGGAACCACTGGGCCACAGGATGTAAATAGTTTAGTTGCTTTTCTTGCGTAATTATGAAATCAAAACCTAGAACATTTAAAACAATTCATAGCATTTGCTGAGTGAAGTGAGCAGAACCAAGAGGACTTTATACACAATAACAGCCACGTTATGCAATGACTAATATTGTTAAACTAAACCCTTCTCAGCATTACAAGGATCTAAGACATCTCCAGAGGCCTCGGGATGGAAAATGCTGTCCACATCCAAAGAAAGAACTATGGAAGTCAAGTCGCTATCACTTATTTTTACCTTCTGTTGAGTTTTGTTTCATCTTTCTGATGGTTCCTCCTGTTGGTTTTAATTTTTACTTACAACTTCACTAATGTGAAAATATGTTTCATGGGTATGTAAATGTAAAGCCTATATCAGATTGTGTGCCGTCTTGGGGAGGGTGGTGGGGAGGAAGGGGGAGAAAAATTTTCAACTCAAAAGCATATGGAAGTGATTGTTGATAAAATAAATTAATAAAATTTTTAAAAAAAATTCATAGCATTATCAAGACTATATTGGTTTATCTAAATTCCTGCAACCCTCCAAATATTGATTTTTTTTTAATCTTTGCCGATTTGTAGAGCATGAAAGGAAGCCTTGGGGTCTTTTTAATTTGAACTTCTCTATTAGTGATTTGGAGCATGCTTTCACATGGTACTAGTAGTTTGCAGTTCTTCTGAAATCTGTTCATGCCCAAACTAAATCAGGAAGGATCAGAAATGATTGAATTTAGTAACTCAGTGTTCAGTAAACCCAAGAATATAAATTGCCTGTGGAAGAACTCTTTATCTGTCAAAAATTGCTGAAAAAAACTGGAAAGCAATTTGAAAGCAATTCATTTTGGACCAACAGCTTAACACATATAACAAAATAAGCTTAAAATGGATACATAACCTGAATATTAAAGGTCACATCTTAAAATAAGGTAACATCTGAGTTTCCTTTCATAAGTGTGGCTAGATGAAAAAAATTAACCAAACAAGGGATGATAGAGTCGGTAACAGAAGGCAAAGCAGATAATTTTGATGAAGTGAAGTTGAAAAGCTGTTGTATGAAGGAGAACAAAAGAAAAATTGGATAAGAAGGGAAGTAGTCATTTGGGAAAGAAATCTTTGTATCAAAGGTAAGGCGAAAGGAAGGGAACAAAAATTTATTAAGCACCTACTCTATGCCAGGCACTGTGCTAAGTGCTTTACAATTATTATCTCATATAATCCTTACAGCAACTCTGTTAGGTAGTTATTATCATCCCCATTTTACAGTTTGGGAAACTGAGGCAGATAGAGGTTAAATGACTGGCCCAGGATCACACAGCTAGTAACTGCATGAAGCTGAATTTTAACTCAGGTCTCTCTTATTTCAGGCTCAGGGCTCTATCCACTGCACCACCAGTTGCACCAGATATCTCTGATAGTATCTGATATCAGGGATACATAGGGAACACATACTTGGCTATATGACCCTGAGCAAATTATCAGCCTCTGTGTTCTAGGTAACCCTCTAAGTCTATAAGTTTCAGAGAAGGTGGTGGCCTGCCTTGGTAGTAGGAATTTTCCTATGCCAATGAAATCCCAGGTTTAGTCCCTGTTTCCCTGACTATATAAATCTTCCAGAAGCTCAATATAAGGGACTGTGCTTTGACTGGCTCAAAAGCTGATGTGATTTTATTTTGCATTAGTAAAATTGTAGTGACTACATTAATTTAAAAAATATATAGTAAAAGGCAGTAGTTCTCCTTTGTAGAGGTGTTTGTTTTTTTCCTAAAGCATGGTTCTGACCTTCTCATCCCCTACTCAGTAAACATTAGTGGCTCCTGATTAAATCTCTAAACTCCTCTATTTGGCATTTAAAGGTCTTTGCAGCCTGGCCCCATCTTCCCTTCCCAGCCTTATTCCACGTTAGTACCCTCCATGCACTTGAAATCATCTTGTTTATGTCTGCTTTTTATGTTTTGTTTACACCTGTGTAGATATGTGTTGTCCCCTGTTAAAATAGTAAAGGCCCTCATTGAGAGGAGGACCTTTTGCTTCTGATTTTTAATCCAATGCCTAACACAGTGTCTTATAAATAGTAGGGGCTTAAAAAAATACTTGTTTATCAAACTCTGTATGAAATACTGTGGTCCCCATTTTTGATAGGGACATTGATAAACAAGAAGTACTTTCATAGAGGACAGACCAAGATGATAAGGGTTTACAAACTGCCACGCTGTCCTATCAAAGTAGTTGCTGATGGATCCCCAAAGAGGTCATAGAAAGAGGGAAAGGACTCATGTACAAGCATCTCTTTTTGTGGTGACAAAGAACTAGAAACCGAGAAAATGCCCATTAGTTGGGGAATGACTAAACAAATAACGGTATGTGAATGTAGCAGAATATTGCCAAGCTATAAGAATGATGAAAGAGACAGTTTTAGAGAAACCTGGGAAGATTTGCATGAGCTGATGCAAAGTGAAGTGAGCAGAACCAGAAGAACAATTTATACAGTAACAACTGTAAAGTTAAACGACTTTGAAAGACTTAAGAACTCTGATTATTGCAATGACCAGCCATGATCCTAAAGGATTGAGGATAAAGAATGACACTCAACTCCCAACAGGGAGGTCATAGTTTCAGAGTGCAGAATGAGAATATTTTTTGGATATGGCTTTGTGGGAATTCATTTAGCTTGACTTTGCAAATTTGATACAAGTTGTTGTTGTTGTTGTTTTTCCCCGTTGGGGTGAGGAGAGAAGAGAAGTAGCAAAAATCAATTTTTGTTAATCAAAAAGTCATTTAATTTAATTTAAAAAGAAAAAATTTCAGAATAAACCATAGATGTTGAGGCTTGAAGAAGGATTTAAAGAGGACATAATACATAGGGCATCAGATATTTAAGTTATTTGAAAGTCAGTTATGTGAAATAGATATTAAATTTGTTTTATATAACTTCAAAAAGCAGAAGTAGGAGCAATGGATGGAGCTGTAGGGAGGTAGAACTTTCTAAGAATCTGTCTTAGCACTTTGTGCCTCTTCTATGCATATAGCATATTATAATTCATATTTTAGTGCATCTGTCTTTACTTCTGACATCAGACTATAAACATTTGAGCTACCTTCTTTGTATGCTGGTATTTCACCTAATAAGTGCCATTTATATTTACTACGTACATAGGAGGCACTTAACATTGAACTGAATTAAACCTAATTAGAGTTGTCCAGAAATGCAGTGGGGTGCTCCATGAGGTAATGTGGTTGCTGTCATTGGAAATGTTCAAACAAAGCTGACTTGCTGGTGATGTAGCAGAGAGGCTTCCTACACTGAGTAGAAGGTTAAAGTATATGGCCCCTAAGCTACCTTCTAATTCTTTGGATTCTATAAATCTACTTGATGTTTCTTTACTGTTGTGTGGTTTGAGAAATGCTGGAAATCCCAGGCATTCCCTTTCTATGCATGAAATGGTAAGAGCATGCTCACTTGGGGAAATTCAGGTTTCATAGCTGGCCTAGTAGAGAAGTTCTCAGAATTTTTTGGTGCATCAGCCATTTCATCATGAAGTGCCTGTTGTTTTCACACACACACACACACACACACACACACACACACACACATACACATGCACACACACGCACACATACACACAATCCTCTGTGCTTCTGTTTTCTGTCTATTAAATGGAGGTGATCCCTGCCCTATTTTATAGGGCAGAGTAAGACAGCAGATGTTAAAATCTTTGAGGAGTAAAGGGTACTAAGTCACTACATGATGTTCTGGATTCTGGAGGGGGTTTTTTCCCCATTTTAAAAAATGTGAAAAAAAAACAACAAGGGGCAGCTAGGTGGTGCAGTGGATAGATCACCGGCCCTGAAGTCAGGAGGACCTGAGTTCAAATCTGGCCTCAGACCAAACACTTGACACTAGCTGTGTGACCTTGGACAAATCACTTAACCCCAGTTGCCTAAAAGAAAAAAAAAGTATGGATGGGACAGCTAGGTGGTGCAGTAGATAGAGCACCAGCCCTAGAGTCAGGAAGACCTGAGTTCAAATCTGGCCACAGACACTTGACACTTACTAGCAGTGTGACCTTAAGCAAGTCACTTAACGCCATTGCCAAGCAAAAAACGAAACCAAAAAAAAAATGTGAATTACTTTAAGAGGTGAACCTACCTGTATTCTTCCAAAGTCATATAGACACTAATGGTCTTCATTTTTCTTTCTTCTCTCCTACTTGCACACATACTTACATATAAGCATTAAAATGAAATTGCCAATCCTAGATTTTAAATATAAAGAAGCATCACAGAAACCTTAATCTTAATTTTCCCAGGATGTAGGGAATCGTTTTCTATACTAATCCTACAGCAGATAAAATGTCGAATCTTGTAATATTTGCTTTCTTTTTCACCCCTCACAGGAGTACATGCGTATCATGGGACTCAGCAACTGGCTTCACTGGATCGCCTGGTTCCTCACCTTCTTCCTCCTCCTACTTTTTACCGTCTTTTTTATGACTGTACTTTTCTGTATCAAGGCAAGTATTTGGTTTTCTCCAGCTTTTTGAATTTGATTATTGAGAGGGAAGCTTCACTTGGGCTTAGTGTGATGAAGGTGATAGCTGATGGAAAATATAAAAGTAAGAATTCTTCCAGTCACTCAAACCTAGGAGTCATCCCTGCTCCTCACTCTTACTCATCCCCAATATCAAATTAGTTGACAAGTCTTTTTTTAATTCTGCCTCCTCAACATCTTTTGCATCTGCCCCTTTTCTCTGCTCATACTAGAATTATCCTAATACAGACTCTCATAATTTCTTTCCTGAATTATTGTAATCATCCTTTTAAAAATTATTAGCATTTTAATGAATTCCTATTTATAAAATTTTCCCATGACATGTTCAGACCTTTTAGTCTTATTTTTCCTTTTCCTTTTTAAGGAGATTTTTTTTTTTAGTAGCTACTCTTTTTTTGTAGAATAGCATGAGAACTCTCCTGAACTGTTGTCCCCAAGCAATAGCTTCTTAACTAGTTCTCTCTTTTCTGGTCTGTTCCCTCTCTAATCCATCTTCCACACACAGCTGCCAAAGTGATATCACTGAAGCTCCGATCTGACCATGTGGTCTGAATTCTGTCCAAGAAGTTTTAGTGGTTCCCCATTGCCTTTGGGGGAAAAAATTTAAAAATTAATCAAAATTTATTTAAAAATAAAGGGCATTGAAAAAGCCCTTCACACCTAGCTCTTTCCTGTCTTTCTTTTTTTTTTCTGTCTTTCTAATCAGATCATGCATTGTTCTCCTTCATGCCTGCCATGCTCCTACCCAACAAGACTGCTTATTCTTTCCTCTAAGGACATTCCCCCTCCTCTGTGCCTTATCTATGCCTTGTAGGCAAAGAGGTTGTCCTCTAGCCTAGAGTACTCTCTGTACTCCCATCTGCTTCTTGGAACCACTTAAGCTTTTCAAAGCTTAGCTCCAATACCACTTCCTTCAAGAGGCCTTTCTTAATTTTCCCCAATTGTTTATCCTTCCTCTCTTCCCACTCCCATCACTATACATACATATACATATATATATATATATATATATATTATATATATTTGCATATATCTTGTGTTTATCTGTGAATGTTTCTCCCTCTTGTAGACTGTAAGCAGTCAGAAACTGCCTCACTATTGTATTTGTATCCTCAGCACCTAGCATAGTGCCTAGGACATACATAGTAGGTGTTGCATAAACATTTATCCTATTATTTGCTATGTCTCTTGGGAAACAATTACTAAAGTAGAAATTAGTTGCAATAGCAGTACTGTAATGTTAAATAACAGCTTATGCTTTCTGTCCCATTTCCTCTTTTTATCACTTATATGGATGACTAGAATTTTGGTGACAAAACCAAAAAAGTTCTTTGAAACAATTAGTAATTCATTAAAGTAGCAGGAATATAAAATAAACTCATAAAATCTGCAATATTTTTACATATTGCTACCAAAACCCAGAAGGAGGTGATAGAAAAGGAACTTATATTCAGAATAACTGCAAAATACATAAAATATCTGGAACTTAAGCTACCAAGATGACAAATATAACTATAAAATACTCTTTGTATAGGAATAAAGAAAGACTTAGATGATTGGAAAGATATTCATTGTCTGTGGTTGGATCATAGCAAGATAACAAAAATGGTGATACTACCTAAATTAATTTGTAGATTTAATGCCTTGCCAGTCAGGCTACCAAGTTCAACTTCACAGAATGAGACAAAAGAATAACAAAATTCATCTAAAGGGGAAAAAGATAGTGAAATGGCAGAAAGAAAGTAGGAATGAAAGGGAGGCTAGCAATACTAGATCTCCAAGTACACTATAAAGCATAAATCATAAAAACTAATGTTGATTAAACCAAAAAAAAGACCCCAAAACAACTAAACATATTAGTGTAGTATTGAGTTAAGCTCTATCTTTGGATAAGCCCAAAAACTGCTAGGAAAACTGGAAAAGCAGTTAGGTAGGACTTAGGTTCACACCAACAATCATCAGTTTATACTCTGTATCACAACGAGCTCCAAATGGATACATGGCCTAAATATAAAAGATCACAGCACAAAAAAATTACAGGAGAATAAGGAGGAGTACCTTTACACCTATGGCTAGGGGGAGGACTAGCTAAACAAGAGACTGAAGTGATCATAAAAGAGAAAATAGATCATTTTGATTACATAAAATTGGCACACTCCTACCCGTATGACTAAACAGGTTTAATGAATGTTTTATAGGTGGAAGAGGACATTGCAGTGATCACCAACAGTGATCCATCTTTGATATTTGTCTTTTTGATGTGTTTCGCCATTTCTTCCATTTCCTTCAGTTTTATGGTCAGCACCTTCTTCAGTAAAGGTGAGTGGGTCTAATCCATCAAATTCTATATCTCCCAGAGATATAGTGGAAATGAGTTTGTGAGGGGCCCCTTCTGTGCAGTGTTCCAATTCAGTTTTCACATGCAAGAAACTGAGATTGTTGAGGACCGTTCAGTTCTCCCAGAGCTAGATTTTCATTCTTATGTGGTTATGAGTATGTTAACTCATCTCAAAAATTGGAGGAAAATAATTGTACTCTCTTGATCATAGGATCATAGAAAGGGAATTTAAAGGGAATTTATTCACAGAATCACAAAATTGTGGAGTTGGGAGTTCAGTGCCCCATACCTGAAGAAGAGTCACCTCTACAACATGCCCAGCAAGTGGTGACTTAAACTTTGCTTGAAGATCTCCAGTGGAAGAGAAGATCTCCAGTGGAAGAGAGCCCACTGATTAGGATTTATCATTGAGAGTAGGATTATTGCATTCTTTCTACTCCTATCACCAACTCAGTGACTGGCACATAATAGGTGCTTAATAAATGTTTATTGATTGATTGATTAATTAACCAAAACAGAATTCAGTGTGACTATCACTTCCTTATTCTTAATCAGCCTGTTCTTGGCTACCATGTCATACTTCTGACACAGACTGAACTTTGCACTAAACCTCCCCAGATTTTTCAAACAAACTGTTTTCAAGCCATATCATATACTGGATAAGACTGGTTTTTTTCAAATCCATGTTTAAGACTAGTCATTTAACTCTGTCATTTATTTAAATTTCATCTTTTTAGATCTAGTCCAACATTCTAGTCTGTCAGGATCTTTGTAGATCTCTGTCATCCACCAGTCCGTTTATGCCTGTATCTGATTTGTTTATAAATCTTTGAAACAGCACAGGACAGGGGCAGCTAGGTGGCACAGTGGAGAAAGCACTGACCCTGGAGTCAGGAGGACCTGAGTTCAAATCTGGCTTCAGACACTTGACATTTACTAGCTGTGTGACCCTGGGCAAGTCACTTAACCCCGATTACCTTGAAAAGAAAAAGAAAAAAGAAACAGCACTGGCCCAGGCACATAACCCCTGAGGGCAATCCACTAGAGACTTGTTTCCGAGTCAACGTCAAACCATTAATGAATATCTTTGTGTTGGGCTATTCATCCAGTTGCAAATATACTTTATTTGTGCAGTCATCTAGCCAACATCTTTCTCTCTTGTCCATAGGAATAGCTTCATAGACTTTATCAAATGCTTAGTTTAAAATTTAGGGAAAACATTATCTACAATGCTTTCTTAATCTGTTAATCTAATAATATTGTGAAAGGAAATGAAGTCAATCCAGTACAGCTGTGCTTTTTTCGAAAAATTAGCATCTTTTGTTTTTATATATTCTTCCCTCAGGTATAATCCTTCCCACTTTCCTTACACAGTGAGTCTTCACTTGTAATAAAAGTTAAGAAAGCAAAAGAAAAAACAGTTTAGCAAAACCAACGTCAGCTGAGTTGAACATCACATGGAACATTCCATATCCATAGTCCCTACCTCTCTAGTGAAGGGAAGAAGGAGCTGCATTTTCTCAGCTCTTCTCTTAAGGACCAAGCTTGGCCATTATGATATCACACAGTATTCAGCATTGTCTTATTATTCTTTCTGTTCACATTTTTAAGTCATTGTGTATGTTGTTTTCCTGGTTCTGCTTACTTCACATTGCATTGGTCATTTAAAGTCTTCTCAAACTTCTCTGAATTCTTCATATGTATTATTGTTTCTTATGGTACAGTAATATTCCATTATGTTTAAGTGCAACAATTTGTTTAGCTATTCCCCAGTTGATGGGTACCTACTTTGTTTCCAGTTCTTCATTACAGCAAAAAGTGCTACTGTGCATATTTTGCTGTATATGGAACCTTTCTTTCTTTGACCTGATTGGGGTACCTAGCATAGGGATCTCTGAGTCAAAGAGAGTGAACATTTTATGCTTCTTTTTCATAATTTCAAATTGCTTTCCAGAATAGTTGGTCCAATTCACATTGCAACTGCTCCAGCACTGACTATTTTTGTCTGTTTTCATCTTTGCCAGTTTTTTAGGTGTGAGATGAAACCTCTAAGTTGTTTGGATTTACATTTCTCTTATTATAAAGGATCCAGAGCAGTTGTTTACATGGCTGTTAATAGTTTGCTATTCTTTTGTGAATTGTTCATGTCATTTGACCGTGTATCTGTTGGGGAATGACTCTTGATGTTATATGTTTATGATTCCCGATATATCTTGGATATCAGACCTTTGAAGAGATACTTTTTTTTTCAATTGGCAGTTTCCCTTCTTATATAAGCTGTGTTGATTTTGTATTTTGAAAAAGTTTGCAACCTCATATAAGCAAAATGATCTTTTTTAAACTCTTCTGAGATGTCCCTTATTCCTTGTAAGAATTCTTTCTGTAATTGTAGTTCTCAAAGATAACCTCCATCTATTTTAAAATTATGTAACTTTTTATATATCCATTTGGAAATTACTATTTTATATGATATAAGATGCTGATCTAACCTCATCTTTTTTACTCAACTGCTTTCAGTTTTCCCAACAGGAAAGCCCGTCCCTAAATAGTTTATGTTATTGGGCACAACTTGTTCTTGCTAAAGCCGCGCTGGATCTTTGTAGTCACTGTGTCCCTTTTCTAGATATTAAGTATCCACCCCTATAATTACACGTTCAATAATTTTGCCATGAATCTAAGCCAAGTTCAGTTACCTAGAGATTGCAGACACTTCATTTTCCTCCTTTTGGGGGCCTAGATGACACTGTGCTTTTGCAATCCTCTGGATCATTGACAGTGGTTCTTTATGCAGTGACTTGAACTCCCCAAGAATGGTTAGATACTTTCTTACTGTCTCCTCACTTAGTCTGTGTACGTACTCCCTATCTGCCATATTTTTTTTGTCTTTTCCAATCCAAAGTTTATTCTCTTTGGTGGAGAAAAGCAAAAAAAAAAAAGAATTGAACTTTGACCTTCTCTTTGTCTTCTCTTATCAGCATCCAGTCCAACTTGAGCAGCAGTTCTGCACCAATTTTGACCCCCCTTTTTTCCCTAACATAGCTTTTAAAATCCCTTTTTGTCGTCATTATCTTTCCTTGGCAATTAGATCATTTGGAGCTTTAGTATCCTAACATTCTTACTGGACTAAGCTTTGATTTTGTATTAATCTTATTACCTTCCTTTGTTTATATCAACTCTACAATTTTTTTTACAATTTTTAAAATTCTGAATGTAATGAACACCTAAAAAGAACATTTCTGTATACAAAGTAGAACATAAAAAGAATGTTATATGTGAAATCACAAATCTGTTACAGTTTTTAAAATGTATATTCAGCATATTACTTTCAAAGTTGCCCTATTTGTGTTTCCTTCTAAAACTTCTTTTACTTCTAATTTTACTTCTTTAACTGAACTTTGAAAAAATGTTTTAATGATCTTCTTTTCTTCTCTTGTTTATTTTTTGGCATTACTGTTTTTAACTCCCTTCTCTCTCTCTCTCAATAAAAAAAACCCCACAATCCTTATAATCAGTAAACAGTCAAGCGAAACAAATCCAAACATTTGCCATGTCCAAAAATGTCTATTTTATTCTGTACTTGAGTCACACTGCGTGTGTCAGGAGGTGGGCTGCATACTTCATTATTAGTCCTCTAGGGCTATGATTGTTCATTACATTGATCTGAGTTCTTAATTTTTTAAAGTGACTTAGAACTCTGAACAGGACTAGAGTGGGGTGGGGGGGAGGTAATGGGAAAAGTGTTGACATCTTGTGTACTGAAATTAAAGCATATAGAGTCACTATGAAAATTGAATTACTTATATTGATATTCAATATTTGGTTTTTAATGAAACATTTAATTTCAGGTAAAAACAAGTGGTATTATCTTGTCTTATTTAATGACTCCAGGGGCACAGTTCTGGACTGCTTTCCAGAATGGCTGGCCCACAACTTCACCAACAGTGCACCAGGATATCCGTCCCATGACCATTCCAACAATTGTCATTTTCCTACTTTGTTATCTTTTCCAATCTGATAGGTATGAGATAGAACCTCAGAATTGTTTTAATTTGCATTTCTCAAAAATTATTAGTGATTTGGAGCATTTTCTCATATGTCTGTTGATATCTTGGATTTCTTCCTTTGAGAACTAACTCTTCGTATCCTCTGACCATTTATCTAATGGGAGTGGCTATCATTCTTATATATTTAAATCGATTTTCTATATGTCTTACACATCAGACCTTGATTTTATCAGAGGAATTCTCTACAAAGATTTCCCCCAGCTGTTTCCTTTCTAATTTTAATTGCATTGATTTCTATACATGTAAGAACTTTTCAATTTTATGTCATCAAACTGTGTATGTTGTCTTCTGTGAACCTCTCAATCCTATGTCTTGTCATGAACTTTTCTCCTACCCAGAAAACATTTCCTCCCTTGCTCCTTTATTATGGTATATGGTGAGAGATCATGTTCTAACACTAATTTTTGCTAAACTATTGTCCAGTTTTCTCAGCAGTTTCTGTCAGATACTGAGTCATTAGCCTAATAGTTTCATTCTTTGTTTTGTTTCTTTTTTAACACTATGTTACTATGTTTGTTTGTTTCTGCATGTTATGTATCTAATCTGTTCCCCAGTATATGACTTCTAAAACTTTGGGTGGTGATTTTACCATCTACATAGGTCCCTTAAGATAACTCTTCTTTTTCTTCCCCTTCAGAATAGTTTTTCTTTGTGTCTTCAGAACTTCATTCTTAAAAGCTTTCTAACCTTTTTTCTTAAAGTGCACATTCATTGAAGATACAATTGATTTGGTTGAGTACAGCTTTCTTGTACTTCTGTTGGATATACAGCTGGTCTTTGGTCCTAAGCCTAAAGGAAGAGTTCAAAACTCCTCATGTTTGTGTACAAAAGAGACCAGGAAGCTATGTCAGCAACCCAAGCCTTCCTCCATTTAGGCAATTAAATCTGGAGGACAATTTCAGTACCTTTTAGGGAAAAAAAAAAAACCAAAAAGCACCTAGCCTAACCTGCCCAGGATGAGGCCTTGGGATATTGTTCCCACCCGCCAAAGGTATATAACTAGACCTATCTGGAAGAATTGTGTTTTCTGTAAATTTAGATAAAGCTCTCACCCTAAATAATATTAACTTTGCCATTTTAAGACAGCTCATTTCATTCTGAGATAGCTCTAGTTATTAGGAAGTATTTCCTTAAAACAAGCCTAAATTTATTTCTTTTCAGTTTTCACCCATTCTCCTAGTTCTGTCCTTTGGTGCCAGGTGGAATACATCTAACTTGTCTTTCAAGTTGATGCCTTTCAGCTACTTGAAGATAGCTGTTTTGTGGGGTTGAGGGGACAGAAGTCCACTGGTAGGGAATTTTTTAGGATGGATGTGGTCAAGAAATGAAAACATCAATCTAGAGCACTTATTCAAGAAATTTGGCAGCAGAATGAAAGGTCATATTGGCAGTCTCTTTATAGTATATTCCCTACTCTAGACAGGAGAGAAGGAAGAAAACATCTCTGTAGAAGCAAAGCTTGTGGAATACAAGAGAGCTCATAGAGGATGGCCTTAATCATTTTTTGTGAAGTGGGATGTGATATGTAGTGAGGCTGAGGCAAGGGAGGGGAGAAGGAAAGTAATTAAGGATTGGAGAGGAGAGATTTCCTTTGGGGAACAGGCTATAAAGGGACTGTGATAGGATTTCCAAGTATTGTCTAGGGTAAGATGGGAGTTTGCCAGTATGATTCTCTGGTATGCAAGTAATATGTGATTATTTTGTCATGCTGTGTTTAATTTAATCAGCAGGAGAACATGAGACAACTTTCTTAAACAGAAGTGTTTTGCTTCTCTTTTAATGGGCTATAAATTTCCTTGACTGTTGTATTATAGAAGACTAACTTCCAAAAGAGGCTCAATTTGCTTCTTAAGTGGAGGATTGGATTTCTTCTAAAAACCTTGATAGATGTATAGGGCTCTTGTTATTATGAAATGTTTGTATTTCTATTCTTGGGACATTGCTTAATCTCTTTCTCATTCTTTCCCCATTTGCAGCCAATTTGGCAGCTGCCATAGGAGGCTTCCTCTATTTCTTTATGTATATTCCTTACTTCTTCATTGGTCCTCGATATAACTGGATGACCCTCAACCAAAAGTTATCTTCCTGTCTCTTCTCAAATGTTGCTATGGCATTGGGGGCCCAGCTCATAGGCAAGTTTGAAGCAAAAGGTGAGTATTCTCTTTTGTAATTGTTGCCTTTGCTACTTTAGGGACTGCTTAGACCAATGGCAGACAATGACAGCGTGAAGTTTCCAATATGAGTTAACCTCATTCAACTCATTTTTATTGAACATTCATATTGATGAATATTATTGATTAATTATTAAATGTTAATGAACACATTTAATAAAGTATGAGTGACCCTTCACATCTGCAGCACCTGTAAGTGCCCCTTGGGCATGCCATTTGAGTGGTCTTCAAAGCCTTCTGCTCTCCAGTATTGTCCAACAAATGTCCTTTGAGGAGGAGGCCCCTTCAAGGAGGTGGCACAATAGAAAGATCTCTGGAGTCACAGGATCTAGGTTAAAATCTTGCCTCTGACAGTTACTTCCTTGTGATCTCGGGCCAGTCATTTAAGTCTCGTTGGCCTGTTTCCTTGTCCATAAAATGAGAAGTTCAGATTAGACGCTTCTGAGGTCACTTCTAGTTCTTGATCTAGACATAATCCTGTGTTTCTATGAACCCAGGTTTTCGTCCTGGCTCTGCCGTTGCCTGTCTCACCATTTGTCTTTAAACAAATCACATCCCCTCTCTCATCTATAAATGAGGGAACTGCACCAATAATCCCTACGGTTTCTTCCAACACTTTGTTTATATGTTTTAATCTAATTTATTAATAATAATAATAGCTAACATTTATATATCACTTAGAACAGTGCCAGGCACTTTTTAATTATTTATCTCATTTGATTCTAATAACAACCCTGGGACGTAGGTGCTATTATGATCCCAATTTTGAAGATGAGGAAACTGAGGCAAATAAGGGTTAAGTAACTTTCCAGGGTTTCACACAGCTTAGTAAGTGTCTGAGGCTAGTTTCAAACTCAAATCTTCCTGACTTCAGGCCTGATGCTCTATCCTCTGTGCTACCTGGTTGCCTAGCTGTATTTATCATACACTTGACTTTAAAAAATAAAACTGATTAAGCATTATATGTTTAATTTACACTTAAAATTAATTTCTGCTTACAACATTTCTGGTGGTGGTCATGGAAATTAATTTATACTTTAAAATTAATTTCAATGTGCAATATTTCCATAGTAATTCTTCTCTTTGTGTTTCCTTCCTTTGTTTTTGTCCATTCTTCTCTATATCCATGTATTCCTTTTTCCCTTTAAATAGTTGTAGCCTGTGTGCATACTGTTCTTCTGGTTCTGTTTTCTTCAAGAAGCATTACTTTGTATAACTTTCCAAATTTCTTTGTATACCTCATCTTGCTCATAACATTGTAGCATTCTTTTATTCAACCATTTATGAACTATTATTTTTAAATTCTATCCAGTATTCTGCAATTGCAAACAATGGTAGTGAGTATATGTATAGAGAGAGAGAGAGAAGAGGGTTAGATACAGACCAACTATCTTTACAGAGGAAGTAGCATTTGATTTGAGCTTAAAAGGATAAATTTGCAGTACATTTGTAAGAGAGTGCCATTACAGTAGCTGAAATGAACCTGAATAAATACAAGGAGGTGGGGAGAAAAACAGAACACATTAGGGACAGAGAGAATGGGGAGTGGAAGGACAGCACTACAGTTTGTCTGTATTGTACAGTGAGCCTTCAGTGCTAATAAGAGTAGTTTGAACTTTATTTGGTAGACATTAGGGAACTTTAAAAATTTCTGAGCACAGGAGGAAGAGAATTAAAGTAGAAGTGTGAAGGATGTATTAGAGCAGGGCAAGTAGAGAGCTATCTAGGTGTATCACTAGGATTTCTCTCACACATAGATCCTCTTAAAGCTACCCCAGATTCAGGACCTATTTGTAAGCCAGCATCAACAAGCCACAGTCCCTGGTTGTCTAATGGCACGGTTTTTTTTATCCAGCAGACTAGTTGATTCAAAGCAAAATACCTTTAAATGAGCATTATAATAAAAGAAACATTTCCCCCATCCTCTCAAGGGAACCTTTTTTTTGTGACTACCACACCACCAATGGGAGAGAGTACCTACAAGGAACATGAGTGACTGGTGAACTTGTAGGGGGGCAGATAGCCTGGACAACTCATATTTCTAAAGCAGCAGTCCTTCTGGCACCCTGCTGCCTCCAGCCAGCACTATGCTTGCTTAGAACCCCTGAGGAACTGTCCTCGGATGATGTCATTGGGCTGCAAGCTGGCAGCTTGGCTGAATGCTCACTGCTGCCATCTTCTAGTCGTTAGCTGTTGTGTGTCCTCTTTTAAACCGTCATAGCTCCAAGTAGTATTTTTCTCTTTTGTGATTTCAGTCATTCAGTAAGCATTTATTAACTATCTACTATGTGCCAGTCTTTGTTCTAAGCGCCGGGGATACAAAGAAGGACCAAACAAACGAACAAACCAGTCTCTGCTCTGAAGAAGTTCACAGCCTAATGCTGGGGAGATGATGTGCCAACGACTATGTATGAACAGGATATTATACTGGATAAATTAGGAGTGATCTCAAAGAGAAGGGATTGAAATTAAGGAGGGCTAGGAAACACTTGATGGATGAGACTTGAAGAGAGCCAGGGAAGCCAGGAGGCAGAGATGAAGAGGGAGAGAAAATACAAGGCATGGAGGACTTTGGGTAGAAACACTTGAAATTAAGAGGCTAGTGTTTCTGGATCGCAGAGTAAGTGGAGGAAGAGTAAAGTGCAAGGACTGGAAAGATAGGAAGGGGCCAAGTGATGAAGGGTCTTAAAGCCAAACAGAAGATTTTTTATCCTGAAGGTATTGGGAAACTGGGGTAGGGGGTACAGTGTTAGAGAAAAGTATGGTCATATCTGCATTTTAAGAAGCTCAACTGAATGCAAAATGGTTGGAAGTATAGAAAGCATGTATGTATGGAAAGTATGGAAAAATATATGAAAAGAGTATGGAAGTACTTGAGGCAGTGGCACTAACCAGCAGGCTTTTGTAATAGTCCAGGTATTAAGTCATGAGATCTTGTACTCAGGTAGTAGCAGTGTCAGAGGAGAGAAGGGGAAATATGTGAGAGACGGTAGGTACAAAGGTAGAAATCACAAGACTTGATAAATGATTGGATGTGATGTGGGGGAGTGGGGATGAGAAGGAATGAGGAATAGAGGATGGCACCTGGATTGTCGGCCTGGGTAGCTAGGATGATGGTGGTACCTTCAGTAGTAATAGGGAAGTTAAGAAGAGGGGCTAGCCAGTTTGGGGAGAAAGATGATGAGTTCAGTTCTAGACTGGGAAGAAAAGCAAGAAAATATGGTTTCTTTGAAGCAAAGGGAGGAATAATATCCATTAGGAAGAACTGGTCAGCAGTGTTTAGTACTGCAGAGAATTCAAGCGCATGAAGACTTTAAAAGAGGCTATTGAATTTAATGACTAGAAGATAGTCTTGGGGCAGGTAGGTGGCACAGTGGATAGAGTACCAGCCCTGGAGTCAGGAGGACCTGAATTCAAATCCTGTCTCAGACAAGACATTTGATACATACTAGCTGTGTGACCCTGGGCAAATCACTTAACCCCAGTTGCCTTGCCAAAAAAAAAAAAATAGTCTCTTAGAATTGTGGAGCCAGAATCCAAATTACAAGAGAGTTGGGGTGAGGAAGTGAAGGCATGCAGTGTAGGCAGCTTTTTCTGAGTAGTGTAACAGGAAGAAGAGAAACATTTGATTGTAGCTGCATGAGCTAGAATGGTCAACAGAATAGTTTTTTAGAAATAGAGGGAAACCTGAATATGTTTGTAGGCGTATGGAAAGGATTTAGGCAGTTGAGAAGGGTAACATAAAGACAACACATATGATTGAGAATCCATCAGTTGGTGAACAAGTGACGTGTTAAATGCCTTCTGTGGGCCTGGCACCATATGAGGTGCTGGAGGTAGAAATACAGAGACTGATACAGTCCCTGTTCACAGTGACCTTACATTCTTATAGGGGAGACGACTGGTAGATATGAAAATATATACAGAATAAATGTAAAGCTAATAAATATGAGACGGAGGGCACTAGCAGTTGGAGGATCAGGAAGGCTACATAAAAATGAGAAGTGGATGGAATAAAGAAAAAATGTAAGTCTAGCCCAACCCAAGGAACAGCTTCTTAGAGAACTGTTATCAACTCCATTTATTTCCAAGCTTGATCTTAAATTAGGAGAGGAACCTGATGAACAATGAAATTAAGTTTTGGAGGGGAGGGGGAGGAAATGCATTAATATAGCTGTGTTCCCTTGCCATAGAAACTGTTCAGGAATCTCTCTTCCTTAAAGTGAGACCAATCTATACTGAGGGTCAGCTGGTTTAAATATTTTTCATAGAAGACTGACTTCTTTTTTCCATTGCTTAAAAGGAAACCCACGATGGCAGGTTTTTAGTTAGAAAAAGAGTGGTAGTTTAGTGATCCTTAGCTTTGTGTTAATACCTCATTTCTATAAATAACTTGGCCAACTGTCTTTCTTGGTGACTCAAGACCAGATCGTTAAGGATTTTGATGGCAAGGGTGGGGTTTTATGTAAATTTTGTCACTCTCCCAGCACCTTGAATAGTATTTAGCATATAGTAGGTGCTTAAAAAATGTTTGCTGAATCCAATTGAAAAAAGGATAACAAAAAATTTATGCTCTGCTAGGGTGAATGAAATAATTTTCGAGGTGTAGTTATTCACCCTGGAATTGACAAACACTTTGTGATGATAGTGGTTAGTGCTTTGATTGACTGGAAACAGGCAGAAAGTGATTGATCTTCATTCAGTCAACAGACTTTTATTAAGCACCTACTCTGTGCGGGGCATGGTATTTGAAAGGTTTACTCTGAAGTTTGAGCATTAGCTTGCCTTGGATCAAAGATAAGTCTAGGATAGCCAGTTCTGATTGTGTTTGAATAAAGGGGATGGCAATACCATTTTCAGTTTTTAGAGCAGTTGTATTAAATGTACATAAAATAGACAATAATAATAATAACTAACACTTATGTAGTGCTTTAAATATATTATCTCATTTGCCTATAAATAAAATAAGGAGCTCCTTCTCAGTACACACATAGACCACTTCAGCCATTGGGAAGCTCATTCTTTGGGAGAGGATGTCAGATCCTTCTCATGCTCATTCTGCCTCATTGCTCCTACGCTTTAGTTGCAGGGGAAATCCCTTAAAGCCTGGGCATGGTTTGTGTCCAAGTTCTCCTCCAAAAGGATTAACAGAGTCCTCTCAAAAAAGACATTAATTGCACAAATTGTAGATATCAGGTATACAACAGTCACTTACCTTCTCTATGACAGAAAAAATGCCCAAAGCACAAAAGATTCACAGGCACACACCAACAAATACTCAAAATATAAATCAGAACCCACTGCTTCTACCACATTATGCTCAAAAGGCAAAGATGGAACTGCTCAACAGACTTGACCTTCAGTCCCCACAGTCCAAACAGCAATTCTGCAGCTGGACTTCCAGGCAGGCCAGGAAGTGGTTTGGGCTTTAACCCTTCAACTGAAGTTCCTCTTGCCAGTGGCGTTTCTCTCATCTGAAATGTTCTGCACCTGATTAATTTTTTTAAAAAGTAAATGTAGCTGAGAATCTCAGGCCCACAAGGCTGAGAACCTCTCATGCCCGCTTGTCTTTATGGGCATCACCCAGCTGAGAATCTCTTGTGCCCCAAAGGCTGAGCTTTTCTCATGCCCATCTGTCCTTATGGGTGTCACCTGGCCTCTGTGATTTATCACTAATAAACTTTTCCTCTGGCTGAAGAAGATTTGAGTTGAATTCATTCAGCAGGGCCCGGTACCGCAATTTTGGGTTTGCAGCACCCCAAAAGTCCTAGACCTCTTCATATGGTTCCCTGACCAGGAAACACTGCTAAATCTCAAACTCTTCTTCAGCCAAGACTGGTAAGCCTCCCCCTCCCCAATTCCTTTCTTGCCTTGTGGCTGGGAGGGGGATTTCCAAGCAGCTAGCTAAGCTTGCCTTGGAAGGGTTTTTGGGCCTGATCTCTCAGGTTCCTGTAAGTCAGACAGCTACAAGGCTGTCTCAGACTCCACCTGACGCTTCCAGGCTTTTCGGTCCAGTGCCTCTGCTTGAGCGCTTGGACCTGGGTAATATCTTCCTTAGCATAGAGGATGGACTCCCTATCAGGAAGCGTAGGTCCAAACCTCTCAGTTCTGTCAGCGCTAGGGAATTGGGAAACTCTTGGGTATTTTTTTCTTTTTTCCTTTCCCCTAAGCCTGCAGATTTTTAGAAGGTTATTACATCATATTAGTAATAAAAAGGAGGAAGATGGCAGATATTGGAGGACATGCAATATACAAGATAGAAGATACAAATATGATCTATGTACCAAATGATTCTGTATGAGTTACTCATCCTGATGAAGCTAGCTTCCAGAAGTTTACAGTATACTGTAGAAGAATGCTCCTCTAGTTGTCAGGTCTCTCTTGGAGATCTTTGCTTATTTTCTTAAGGTTAATTAGGCTGTTCAATATTGTTCAGTGAAGAACTGTGAATGACCTAGCTATTCTCAGCAATGCAATGATCGAAGACAATCCCAAAGGACTCATGATGCAGCATACTATCCACCTCCAGAGAAAGAACTGATATTGATTGAATACAGACTGATTTTTTGCTATTTTTCACTTTCTTTCTTTCTTTTTTTCTTTTATTTGAGTCTTCTTGTACAAAGTGACTAATATGGAAATATTTTACATAACTGTACCTGTATAACCTAGATCAGATTGCTTACCATCTAAGGAAGGGGGTAGGGAGGGAAAGAAAGGAGAGAGAGAAAATTTGGAACTCAAAATTTTAAATAAAAATGCTAAAAAAATTTTTAAAAAAATAGAAAAAAATGAAAAGTAAATGTGTATACTATGTACGTTAAGACAGTATACAGTTGGACAATTTGTCACCTGGAATCAAAGGTTAGAGAATCCTTCTTTGATGAATTGTACACTTTGAGGACTACAGTTGGACAGTTCCTAGTTGTAGTTTCCAAAGTTATCCCCTTGTGGCTATTGTCCACTGTAGATCAGAGGAGTAAAGGACTCTTCAATGATGCTTTATCTTCTTTTTTCAATTTTTTCTGAAATCAACAACACACATAGTTTTCAGGGTTTTTTGCTCACTTTACATTATGATTCTCTGCTGTTAGGAATCATAGCATATTATGGGAGAGTTAGGAAATTCATGCATGCACACTGGAATGCAAATGTAAATTCCATACAATTCATAGCATGCTTGTCAAAATATGGCATCCTTAGCATACCCTTTGAGAACCACTGCAGTACTGGTTACTCATAGTTTATTCTTGCGTCCCTACCTCTCTGTCTAATAGGCTATTGTGTTTATAATGACACAAAAACACTAAAATGCATTATCATTTCCATACAAATCATTTATAAATAAGAATTAATCGAATGTATTCCCTTTTCAGATTTTGTCTTGGGTTTTCTTAAAATTGGTACAGTTGTAGTCCTCAAAGTATACATTCTATATCCAGAGATTAGTTCTAATATACCATGAAAAATTCTATTAGATTCATCATGAGGAACACCCAAGTAGCAATTTCATAAGGTACTGAAGTGTAGTAAGTGCAGACAGGAAAAGCAGAAGAAACTCTTGAAGAATTCACTGAAACACAATTTGACCAATCATTGATCTTTAATACCATATCCGAAAATGGACCATACACACCCATATTATAAAATTAAATGTAAGGGTAATATTGGCAGTTAGTGGGTTTGGGTGAATCCTGAAATTTTCAAAGAAAACTCAACTTAAAGACTAAAGAAACTTTAATTGTGGAATGTAAATCCATATTATCAATAGCCATATGAAAAAAAAATTCTCTAAATCACTAATAATTAGAGAAATTTAAATTAAAAGAACGGTTGAGGTACCACCTCACACCCATCAAATTGGTGAAGTTTACAGAAGAGGAAAATAAATGAATATTGACAGAAGAGCTGTGGGAAATGAGTTACATCAAAGTGTTGTTGGTGGGTCTATAAACTGGTCTAGCCATTCTGAAAAGCAATTTGGAACTACACCTAAAAGCTATTAAACTGTGTAAACTCTCCGATCCAATACCCCAATTGTGCAAAGAAAAAGAATCTATCTCTGCAAAAATATTTGTAGCAGCTCTTTTCATGGTGGCAAAGAATTGGAAACTGAGGGACTGCGCATCAATTGGAGAATAGCTGTTATGGTATATGAATGTGATAGAATATTGCTATGCTGTAAGAAATTATGAAGAAGATGGTTTCAGAAAAATCTGGAAAGATTTAGATGAACTGATACAAAGTTAAGTAAACAGAACCAGAAAAATTTATACAAAAATAATGATATTATAAAAACATTTAACCTTAAAAGACAGGAACTCTGATCAATCACAATTCCAGAGGATTCATGATGAAACATGCTTTTGCCTTCCAGATAGAGAGGTAATAGACTGAGAGTACAGATGAAAGCATTTTTGTTTTTGGACATAGCTAATTTGGGAACGTGTTTTGTTTGACTTTACATTATTTGTAAAGGGTTTGGGTTTTTTTTTGCTTTTTCATTAGGTGGGGAAGGGGAAGTGAGAGGGGGAGAATTAAGAACTGAAATACAGTATTATAAAGTAAAATTGAATTAAAAACAGAAACTAAAGCAAAAAGAAATATTACTGGGTGCTTTAAGAAGTAAATAATTCACAGCAACAGGGTTGATAACAGGCTTACATATTTTTCAGTCTTGTGGCTGCCCTGTATTCTTCATTTTGAGATCAAGAAGCTTCAGGACAACTCTGATCTAGTCTTAGCCTACCAGTAATTCTAATTGTCTTCCCTTTTGTGCTTCAGGAGTGGGAATTCAATGGAAATACCTCATGAGATCAGTTAATGTTGATGATAACTTCACTTTTGGGCATGTGTTGATAATGCTGCTATTTGATTCTGCCTTCTATGGCTTGGTGACCTGGTATGTGGAAGCTGTCTTCCCTGGAGAATATGGTATGCCCCAGCCCTGGTATTTTTTCTTGATGGTGAGTTCTGATGGTACTAGTTGATCTTTTTGTTTTGTTTTGTTTTGTTTTTTGACTAGGCAGTGGGGTTAAGTGACTTGCCCAAGGTCACACAGTTAGTAAGTGTTATGTCTCTCAGGCTGGATTTGAACTCAAGTCCTCCTGAATCCAAGGCTGGTGCTCTATCCACTGCGTCACAAAATAGCTGCCCCCTATTTGATCTTTTGAAGGTAGAAACTACCTCTACCACCTTATTCCTTCCACTGATTACTTGGGCCACAATCATGGCCATAGAATAATAGAGAGAAGCTATCTCTTTCTCTTAACTTCTACTTCATCGGTTGCTTAGGAACAGCCTAAGTAAAGAAACCTTGTCTCAGTTTGATAGAAATCCTTCCTATGCTACCATTTTGGCCGCAACCTTATTCTAGAGTTGCTTCATTTTGTCCACTGCTTTTTGACCAATAATAACATTTTTAGTAGTGTTTAATATTCTTATGTACCAAATTCAAGATTATTTTGCTTCAAAAGATTATATTGTTGCATTAACTGAAGCTTTTCTGATCACGGTAAAATTTGTCATTATTGTTATTAATTGGCCATCTTGGTGATCCAGTTTTGATTTCTTCCTTAGCCTTCCTACTGGTGTGGGAATCAAAGATCTATAATGGGAAAAGAGGAGGAAGAGGATGATCCTGAGAAAGTTCTAAAAACTGAGTACATTGAGGCTGAACCTGAAGATTTAGTAGCTGGAATAAAGATCAAGCATCTGTCCAAGGTACTGTGTGACAATTAAGATTGAAAATTTTTACTAATGTATTGAGTTGAGGGAGCATGTCTTCAAGGAAATCATTACTTGTTCACCCAATTACCAACATATTTCTTTCTGTTCTCCATAAATGTAGTAAGTTTTATGTCAACTGTAATGATGACTTGTATAGAATTTTGTCTTTGAGAAGTAAAATCGAGCTTGAGAATCTGTACCTGTGAGTATGTCAGTTTGTATGTGAGGAGTGATATCTCCCTTCTCAAAAGCTTTCACTGCATTGTCTCACTTGATGCTAAAACCTGGAAGTACAGTGGATGGAGGAGAAGAATTTTACATTTCAATATTTGACCTTAATCCCCTCTGGGAAGGGTTGCAGCATGGTTCTAGAAATACAAAGCCTTGAAGAACAGGGGAATTTGTCAAACAGAATTGAAATTGACTCTTTCTTATCTGTCAGAGCCCTTAGACTCTTCATCCTCAGTTTTCTCCTTCCTTGCTAACATAGGCTTTGTATTAATAGAACTAGGGCATACAGTTTCTTGTGTATCCTTATATCTTCAGTCTAAGACACTTCCAAATCAGTTTCCTATGAAACTTTCATACTCTTTTACACTAGGAAGTAAAAATATCTGTTTTCTTGAACCTTCTTTTCTGAGTTTACTGTCGCTTAATCATTCAACATTAAAAGGGACCCCACAGGTTATCTAATACATCTTGAAGTATGAATACTCTCTACAGGATCTCAAACAAGTGTAATCCAGCCTTTTCTTTAAGAACATTAGTGAATGATATCTCAGTCCTGGGGCAACATAATCCATTTCTAGATAACTCTAAAATGGTAGAAAGTTTTTCTTCCTGTTAAACTAAAATCTGCCTCTCTCTAATTTCTACGTACTGGATTGAGTTCCATCTTGTTGGGCCAAGCAGACTAAATCTAATCCTTTGTCCACAGAAGAGCCCTTCAAATGTTTGAAAACCATAATCAAATCACTTCCTAAGTTTTCTCTTCTCAAAATTAAACATTGAAAGTTCCTTCAACCAATCTTTTTGAAGTATAGTTTTGAGTCCTCATCCTGGCCACCCCTGGAAACACTCCAGTTTTTCACTGTCCTTCCTGAAATGTGGCAGTCAAAACTAGACACAGTACTCTAGTTGTGATCTGGCTGGGAAAGAATACAGTTTTGGACTATCATTTCTGTCATTCTGAATAACAGATTTCAGTTGATACAATCTGAGAACAATTAAAATTTTGTTTGGGGTAGAAGGAGACTGCCACTTAAGGTATACCCTTTGAAGACTATTTAATTCTAGCTTAGCTTGGGCTTTCTGTTTGCTTTTAGATAAAGGACCCAACCCTTTGTCCCTCCCCTGGGCTGGAGAGAATGTTGTGGAATGATGGCAGCAGCACCTAAGTAGAATTTACTAGTGGTATATCAGTTTGTGCCCATACTGAATATATGCAGTTGATTTTTTTACCCCATATAGGTCTTTTTATCCCTTTTAAGTTTCGTCATGATCCAGCCTGTCAGGTTATCTTTCGATCTGAGTTCTGTTATCTGGTGTGAATTATATCCCTTCAAGCTTTATGTCAGCTTCAGATTTTCATAATTGTTCCATCTATATCTTCATCAAAGACATAAATAAAAATGTTAAACAGAGCAAAAGAAAGAGAAATGTCATACTCCCCTAGACACTGTTATCCAGATTAACATCTCTTGTTACTCTCTGGGGTTGGTCATGGAACCAGAATTTTATTTATTACAATTCAGAGGTTGATTTTTAAATGAGGGGGGGAAAAAGTATTGTATTTACTAACAGTAGCTGTTGGTTAATGCTTAACTTATTGTAAACCCCTTCACAAGTGCTAGAGCTTTATGTAAATTTACTTTCTCTACCTTTTCCACAGATGTTTATGGTGAGGAATAAGAGAAAAGAGGCGATAAGAGACCTGACTCTGAATATGTACGAGGGGCAGATCACTGTTCTTCTAGGACATAATGGAGCAGGGAAGACCACCACCTTGTCCATCCTCACAGGTCAGGATCTGGACAGCCCTTCATGTTTCTAGAATCTAAAAATGTTGCTTAGAGCTAGGCCTTTGCTTTCCTGCCTAGGTTGAGCTGTTTCTATTTCAGTATTTTTCACTGTTATTCATTTAACAAACATTTATTAAATAACTGTACATAACTGTATACAGACTACTGTGCTTAGACACTGGAAGTGAGAAAAGATCCCTGTTCTTATAAAGCTTATTGTAAAGTAGGGAGATAAGGCACAAACATAGATAAGTATAGCATCATATGTAACATTACATGTCAATATTTGTAGAGTCAGACTGTTACTGATTTAGGAGTCATATCAAAATCAGCTCAAAATCAACATCAGATTTGAAGGCTAAAGATGAAAGACTTGAACAGTTGCAATAGTTTCAACTTGATCTGTACAAATGGGCTGCCATTGTGGAAAAGCAGAAAATGTAAAAAGGCAAAGATTAAAGACTTTGATGGTTAATATTTCCTAGAAAAGTTGAACCCAAATAAAGTAATTGTCACAGAAAGAAGCCAAATGAGCCTAGAAATCACTTCAGTCAGCAAATATTTGATCTCTGTGCAAAGTGGAAAGAGATGGTAGCCAAGGCTATCACCAATTTTTAATGCAAATTTATAAGACACTATAGGGAATGGTAGAAGATTATAAGCGGTATCATCTTATAAAACAGCCCCCCCCAAAAAAAGAAGCAAAAACGAGTCTAAAGAAAGCTTGGCATGAAACCAAAATGAACTACATCATTCCAAGTGTCTTCACAGATGAAAATGGCAAGAAAATAAACATATTTAATGTAGTGATTTTTTAAATGCTTCTATAATTATCAGTGACAGAGGAACCACCAGAATTGGAAACTTAACATTTAAAAGGCCCTTAGGAAGACAGTGTCAGAAAAAGCAACAGGACCAGGCCAATTACACAATGAGGAAGTCTATGTCATGGCAATACAGTCCTGGCAGCATTGAGATATTGATTTACAAGATAACTCAGGCAGGAGAAAAAAATAAAATAATACAAAAAAAAATCAGTATCCCCAAAAAGGAATCAAGAGAACATCTCTAACTCTGACCGATATGCCTACTTTCTCATCTTTACAAAAATTTATGGAAATGATTTATATGTGTATCAAAGGAATATCTGATTTTTTTAAAAAAAGGTGAGAAGGGAACAGGCATGTTTTACTGGACGTTTCTTTCTAGTAGATCATATCTTCTTTGTCACAGAATTGACAGTGGGATTATGAAATCCCACTGGGGTTTTTTTTTGTTGGTAGTAAGTAAACATTTGACCCAATAGGTATAAAATATAGTTTTAAAGACTGTTCCAAACTGGAATCTCTCAAGCTCATGTTAAGATCATACAAAACTCCTCAACAAATGCAACCACAGAGATAACTCTTCAACAACTGTCTGTTTATCAACATTAGGTGAGGCCTTAACCAAGACAATGCATACTTTAACCAGGGTGTGTGCCGCTATCAAAAAGGAGTCTTCTGCAAGAACCAAAGTGAATGAGGGATTCCCTGTCAGTGATGACAGCCTACAAATGATCCTGTTTGTGGATGATACTGTACTAATTACATCCAATCCCATTGCATCACAAGCTTCCACAATGAGTGCCATGATTTTTTCTATTTTATTTATTTATTTTTTAGGCAATTGGGGTTAAGTGACTTGCCCAGAGTCACACAGCTAGTAAGTGTCAAGTGTTTGGTCTGAGGCTGGATTTGAACTCAGGTCCCCCTGACTTCAGGGCTGGTGCTCTATCCACTGCGTCTCCTAGCTGCCCCAGTGCCATGATTTTCTAAGTATGATCGGTCTAACAGTCTATTCAGAAAAAAAATCTTAATTCTTGAAAAAAATCTATCCAGACCATGACATGCAACTGCATAGTTGATTTATTAAGGTAGTCTATATATTTGAGATGTGCATTGCAGATGGACCATGAATGGGACCTTGAATTGAATGGGAAGTAGATTACATTTAGGAAATTGTGTGTTGCTCTTAATATTACTAATCAGCCCCCTGGTTCAAAGTCCCATCTTTTTGACATAATTGTTCTTCCAACAGTTGTTTATGATTGTGAATCCTGGAACACCATGTTCTCTGAGGAATTAACATTAGCAAGTGACCTTGAGGGCAATAGAAAGCTCGCTACAGGGTGCAAATAAGTTGTAGTATATTTCCAGGGATGAGCAGTGCTTGAGAAATAGTGTAAGGTTTTTATTAAGGAAATGTGTTATCAGGAGACGTGTCTCAAGCAAGGGATAACAAATAGATAGCCTTGATGCTCCCTAGGTATCCTGAAAATGTAAAAAGCCCCAGAGGAAAGTCTTTATTGAGTGAATCCCCCATAAATGATCCATAGAAGAACATATACAAGAACCATAAAGGGCAGGTGGGATCTGGTAGCTGGGTTAGACACCACCAGGGGATGGAGTACCCACATTTATGTGATCACGGATCCATTGAACATTAAAGAAATAAAGGGAGTTCTAATACAAACCTTTTTTTTTTAAGTCAGAAGGGAAAGAGCAATCAGGGAAAGCTCTGTGGAGGAGATGGCATTTGAGTTGGGTTTTAAAGGATGAGTAGGAATTTAACAGTAGTTTAATTTAATCTAACTACTTTAAGGAAGCAGTGAGATTCCCAGCACAAAAAAAAACCAACCATAAGCAACAGCCCAGAGACTGGAAATCATAGAGCTTATTAAAAAACCTATCATCCCCATACTATCTTATTTGAAGGTTTTTTTTCTAAAATTCTATTTGATGAATTAACACAATTGGCACATTTGCCAGAACTGTGATTCTCAGAGTAGTACTCAGATATAGTCTGTCTAAGGTAATGAGAGGGGTCCCTTTCTTCCAAAGTCACTTGCTTAAAGTCCCTTCACTATGACCAGGAAGTTCCTACCACTTAAACCTATGTGAATGTTACTCCTCACACTTTAAATGCCCAACTTATGTTAATGTTAATGAGATTAATTGCATAAGCCATACATAAAACCTTTCTCATTATGTTAGAGTTTTATATTATATTTCATGTTTCTCACATCCTTTAAAACCAACTCAGAACTTCTCTTCTGGTGATACCTGATTAACCCCTTCCATTGTTGTCTTTATTCTGCTTTCCTTTAATATTTAACACAATTAGTAAGAAAATAACTTTGTATTTGTCAGTATGTTACTTTTAAATTTTTTTACCAATTTTGTATTTTTTCTCCACAAAAATTAGGGATCATTCCTCCAATTTCTATTGTGTTTCTCTCAGCTCCTAGTATATTCCTTCTGGAAAAAAGGGAATTCAGCTAGTCTTTGTGAACAAGCCAGAAGGATAGGGTTAACGTCAAGTCAACAAGCATTTATTAAGCACCTGCCAGTGCCAGACAAGTTCCGAGGGATACAAAGAAAGGCAAAACAAACAAACAAACAAAGCAAAAAACAAAAAAAGCCCCTGCCCTCAAGAAGCTCACAGTCTAAGTTAGGAAACAGTGTACAAGCCATTATGTTCAGATAATATAGACCAGATGAACTGGACATAGTCTTGAGGGAAGGCAGCAGCAGTTAAAAAAAAAAGCCTCTTATAAAAGGTGGGATTTTAGCTGGGACTTGAAGGGCATCAAGGAAGACGGGGATAACATTCCGGGCATTAAGACATCTGGTGGAAATTCCCAGGGTTGCGAGAGGAGTGTCATGTCAAGTGAGGATCATCAAAGAGGTCAGCCTCACTCACATTAATCTCTAACGCTGTGCTGGCTCATCTGCTTCTTCCTAGGTCTTTTTCCACCTACTAGTGGCCGGGCATACATCAATGGGTATGAGATCTCACGTGACATAGTGCAGATCCGGAAGAGCCTAGGCTTATGTCCCCAGCATGATGTCCTCTTTGACTACATGACAGTGGCTGAGCACTTTTACTTCTATGCTCAGGTGAGCCTAAAATAAATATCTTTTTTTGCCTCACATGCTTGAGGTAGTCAACACTTCTACCTTCACAGGGTCCCAAAATGTGATTCAAAGAACCATGGAGAGGGGGGAGGAAGTGGGAATGGAAGGGAGTGGAACGGAGATACTAAATAGTTACGTAGATTACCCATTTTCACATGGCTGGTAAGTCTCTGAGGCAGTGTATGAGCCCACATCTCCTGACTTTTAAGTCCAGTGCTCTATCAGCTCTACAATGCTGGGTCAGGCTCCTCTCAGAAAGTCCCCATCTAAAGTTCTCTCCTTCACTTGGTCTCATAGATGAAAGGATTATCTGAGCAAAAGTGTCCTGAGGAAGTCAATCATATCTTGAACATTCTTGATCTGGAGAATAAACGCCACTCACTTTCAAAGTCACTGAGTGGAGGAATGAAACGCAAGGTTTCTGTTGGCATCGCGCTCATAGGAGGCTCTAAGGTACAGTACTGGAAGGAACTAGGTCCCCTCTGCAGCCTGGCAAAACTATTAGCTGATACAGACCCAAGTGAGCTGGTATGGACCATTCCTCCTAAGGAGACTCAGCTAAGATATGCCCAGTGAACAATCAGATCATTAGTTGGGTTGGTATAGGGTGGTCATAGTAGTGAGAGGATCTTTAATTCTAGTTTAGTCCTAGGCCTAAAGTCTCCTTAGACAATTGACCTCACCCCACTGTCTCTCATCTCAGCCAGAAAAATGAATGCCTAACAGATAATATATCTCATATATAACTGCTATATCTAAGTAAAATTCACTGTACTTTCCTGAAAGGACAATTATGGTGGCAAGAACATTTTCACCAACAGGGGAAGACCCCCACATGATTTGGTAAGTGGCACAGTACCATTTGACTAGTCTTATAACTGTCCCTTTTGGGTCTGTAGGTAGTGATGCTAGATGAACCAACTTCGGGCATGGACCCAATTTCACGGAGAGCCACCTGGGATCTCCTTCAGCAGCAGAAAAATGACCGCACCATTGTGCTGACCACACATTTTATGGATGAGGCTGACCTTTTGGGGGACCGAATTGCTATTATGGCCAAGGGGGACCTGCAGTGTTGTGGCTCTTCACTTTTCCTCAAGCACAAATACGGTGAGGAGGACAAGAAAGAAAAACTGGGTGTCTCTACTCCTTTTCCTCATTGCTAAGTTAGCATCAAATCTCCAGTATATTGAGTAAAATACTTTGTAGGTTCACTTCATATGTAGTTCCTGAAATCTGATAATGAAAGGCTTTCTTACACTGAACTTCCCACTCTCTGGTTCTGCCTGGATCCTTGGCCATAGACAGAACATTTGTGAAGATAAGGCATATTAGTATTTAATAGAAACCTGTCTCGAGAGTGTATAAATGTTCCAGAGAGTAGAGTCCCCCCTTATATAGATGCCTTTATTCTCAATTCTAACACTCAGGATATTAATCTAATGGAATTTCCTTACCTTGTTGGTTGTACAATTTTGGCAACCTTCTTTCTAAATTACAGTTTCTTTATTAAGCCAATCATCCCCAATGTCATATTTCCATACCTTCTTATGAGGAATAGGAGACAAGATTCTCAGTAGCAATACTGACCTTCTGAGATTAGCTTTTTATGCATTGCATGCAGTCAAAGTGCAGGAAGTTCTCTATCTCATCTCCCATGGAGCTAACCCAATCAAAGCAACTTGAGGCCAGGTGCAGCGTAGGCAAGAGAACTATAAAAACCCATATGGTTTCATCCAGTCTTTTAAATGGCTTCTTTCAGGTGCAGGGTATCATATGATCATAGTGAAGGAACTTCATTGTAATACCAGTGACATTTCTCGTCTGGTTTATCATCACATACCAAACGCCATTTTGGAGAGCAACGTCGGAGCTGAATTATCGTTTATCCTCCCCAAAGAGAGTGCACACCGGTATGCATCCAGAGAGTTCTAGACTAATGTCTTCTATTTGCTCAGTGTTTGCAGTTGTTTTCTGGATTCCTCAGGTTTAGTGGATGAATTCTGATAGGTGACCTCTAGGTTACTTACATTGGTGCCACATGCGTAGTATGAGCAGTCAGGAAATTCACACCATGAAAAGCACTCTTTCCAAGCCACTGGAAGACAGATATTCTTGGGCAAGAGTAATGGGAACCCCTCTGGTACACAAACAGCACCACCCAGTTCCCCCAAAGGGGTATTTGGCTCATCGTAAGGAATGTTTAGAAACTTAGTTGTCACCCATGTGTAACATAAGACAAATCAGGACATTGTCGCACTCCCAAAACTGTCTTTGGGTGAGATCAGACTTTGAAGCAGAGGATTTCTCCACCTTTTGTAATGTTAGGGGCAGCTAGGCGGCACAGTGGATAGAGCTCTGGCCTTGGAGTCAGGAGGACCTGAGTTCAAATGAGGCCTCAGACACTTGACACTTGGTAGCTGTGTGACCCTGGGCAAGTCACTTAACCCCAATTGCCTCACCAAAACAAACAAACAAACAATACACCTTTTATAATGTAAACAGAATCTTATTGACCACCTTAGGAAAAAGCTTAGATCCCTTGCTTCTGATTTAGTCAATGTTGTCATTTGTAAAGGGCAGCTCCAAAATGAATTATTTTTAAAATGTACTTGATTTTCTTCCTGATTACATAATCCAATGTTAACTTTTCCATAAACTATCATACCTACCCCACATCTGAAATCCCCAAATGGGATTTGTTTATTAGTAACTTGTTCATTAGCACCTTCGGGTTTACGATGACCATATTTAGTAGAGGGAGACTTTGGATTCTCAGTCTTACAATAAGGTAAAGATCTCAGGTGCCAAAGAAAATATATGAACATTGCTTAAGTTGAGTTCTGGAAAACTGGTGGAATAAGAGGGTGCAGAGTCCCCTCTCCACAGTCTACCCCATGAGTAGCTAAAAATTAAAGGGGAAGAAGATTAAAGGAGAGCAACCAAAGAGCATCAAAAGAGAAAGGCCTTTTATGTAAGGAAAAGAAAAGGACAAGAAAATAAACGGCAGAGAAAAAAATCTTCCACACATGAAATACTCTGGTCTAGCAGATATTGAAGATGTTACCAGAAGGGACAAATAGCAAGTCATCTTCAGGGATGGTCCAGGAGTGGAGTTTCCCCAAACATAAGATCAAACTGGATAATGACTAAGTGAAGCGGGTTCTGATGTGGATGGAGAAAGGCCTGGGTCTTGTGATAGCTCTGTCATCAGTGGCTAAAGAGAAACTGACAAACATCAACAACTTAAGGGACCAAGGCATATTCAGCAAACATTTAGCTTGTGCCCTCTGTGTACTAGTCACTGTGCTAGGCTTAGGGGTGGGTGGGATGCAAAGACCAAACAGAACTCAGGGCCCTGCCCTGATGAAACTTCTTTCTACTGGGAAGTTACAGTATTTATGCAGATAAATGAATAGAAGACAATTTGAGAAAGGAAAGAGCCCTGACAACTAGGGAGTTCAGGAAAAGTAGCAGCTGAAGTGAACTTTGAAGACATGCCAAGAAAAGGAAGGAGATGCACCTCCAACATGAGGAACAGCCTGTCAAGAAGCATGTAAGCAGGAATTGGAGTGCAGAGTTCAGGGAACAGTAAGTAAAACAGACCAGTTAGGCTGGACTATGGAATGTGCAGAGGGAAATGTGAGGTCAAATACATATATATATAGATATAGATGATATAGATATAGATATAGATATAGTATGGAGCAGGGGAATGACATGGTCAGAACTGTGCTTTAGGAGGGTCATTTTGCCATCTGTGTTAGAAGATGAATTGGAGAGTAGAGACTGAAAGCAGGGAGATCTATTAGGAGGCTAGTGGAATAATCCAGGAAGGAGATGATAAGGGTTTGAACTGGTTCTGTGTCTGTTGAAAGAGAAAAGAAGACAGCTTCAGGGGATGTTATGGAAGGAGAATTGACAAGACTTGGCAGCAGATAAGATATAGGGAGTCAGGGAGAATGAGGAGAAGATAATTCCAAAGGTGTGAACCTGTTTGACCAAGAGAGAGGAAGCAATGCTATAGAAATGAAGGAAGCAGTATTTAGGAGGAAGGGGTGCTTGATGTGCTTAGAGCTGCAAGAAAAAGTTTGAGTGTTATGAGGACTTTTACAAAAAAAAAGCAATTACAAAAAAATCCAGGGAGAAAAATATTAATAATGGAAGATACAAAATCCCACTTACAGGATATGATAAATCAAACAGAAGGATGAAATCAATTATAAAATTGAAAAGAAGGCTAGAAAAATTAGGTCTGATATGGGTTTATTAGACAATTTAATTTTTGTTCAGGTACACAGAAGACATAAAAATGTATCAGACTCTGGGGCATAAAGAACTTACAAATAAACACAAAAAGGGAGAATTAGCTAACATTAATTTCACATGCTATAATTCAACTGGAATATTAATCAATAAGGAAAATGTGATAAATAGATGTAGGCCTAAATGGAGACTAAAATATAATTGGCAAGAAGAATTGAGTAAAAAAAACTAATCATAGAAACAATAAAAAATTATATCAAAGATGATAACAATATCAATATATCATACTGAAATTTATGCAGCTCAGGCTGTTGTTTTTTAAAAAAATGTTTATTGACCAACTGTCCTTCCATTTAACAGTAACTTCTTTTTGTCTTAGAGTTTTATTTTTAAAATGAATATCATGATTTCTGTAATTAATTTTCCCTAATAATGCATGGACTTGGCTTCTCACAAGAACCTCACATTTAGAATGAAGTTAATATATAAAGATTGTCTGACAAATGGGTACTTTTCTAGCATCTTTTGCCTCGTTTTCTGCAGCTCAGTCCCTGTCACTAAAGAAGCAGATGGGAACCCCACAGGGCTAAGGACCATCCTGTATTTTACTTTTCATGGGTGCAATGGCCAAAGAATTCCTAACAAGGCATTTATCCTACTGACTATGAGCCTTTTACTTTTACAAAAGCTGATCCTTGGAATATAGATATGGTATTATTGCTAGGACCACACTCGAAGCCTCTCTAGCATAGTCAAAGTTACAAGAGCTGTGCCTTCCTCTAGCATAGCCTTTAAGAACCCAGGTTCAGGGGCAGCTAGGTGGCGCAGTAGATGGCCCTGGAGTCAGGAGAACCTGAGTTCTAAGCTGGCCTCAGACACATAACACTCACTAGCTGTGTGACTCTGGGCAAGTCATTTAACCTCAATTGCCTTGTAAAAAAGGGGAGGGGGGAAAGAAATTTGAAAGAAAAAGAAAAAAAGAACCCAGGTTCACCTCTACTCTATGAAAAAGAAGACAGCAGAATTTCCCCCAAAAAATTGATTCCTTATGATCAGATAGCATTTATACTAGAACCAAAAAGATAGTTTAATATTAGGAAAATAATTAGTTAATTTTTATTAACTAATTATTATCAATATTAGGAAAATAATTCACATAATCATTGATAATAGAATTTATCAATAAATGTAGAAAAAGCTATTGATAAAATATCATTTTAATGACACCAAAAACATAAAAACAGAAGAATTTTTCTTTAACATTATAGAAGACATTTATTTTAACCCAAGAGCAAGTTTAGAAACAATATAACTTTATTATTTACAGCATAGTCCTAAAAATGCTATCTCAATAAGATAAGAAAAAAAATTAAAGGAATAGTCATGGGTAAAAAGGAGGTTAATATATATCTACTTGCAGATAATATGATTCTCTTAGGTTTTCTAAGTAAACAAACATAAAAGATATCAGCAAAATAGCAAGGTATAAAATTAACCCACAAAAATCACCAGCATAATTATATTTTACCAGAAAAACAAATAGAAAAGAGTGATAGAAAACATGTTAATTAAAAATTATTTGTTATGTGGAGTGGCCCTCTGGGAGTTATGAAGGGGAGGGATACCATAGGAAATTTAGGCAATGTAAAAATAAAAGATATCAATAAAAATTTATTTTTTAAAAAATATATTCATTATCTTGGAATTAACCTACTAAGAACTACACAGGACTTATACAAGTCAACAATAAAACAATTTTTATAGAAATAGAAAAATAGACTACTAGGGAGTCAGTGTTCATGATTAGTCCATGTTAATGTAGTAAATATGAAAATACTTCTCAAATAAATCGATAGATTTAATACTAATACTGATCAGTAGTTCAATGGTATGCCTTATAGAATTAGGCGAAACAACAAAATCCTTATGGAAGAAAAATAGGTAAAGAATATCAAGGTAAATTATGCAAAAAGAGGAAGGGGAACTAGACTTGTATTCCCAGATTTCAAGTTAAACTATAAAACCAAAACAACCAAAACTATTTGATACTGATTTTAAAAATTTTTTTAAAAAAAGATTTGATCTTAGAATAGGTTAAATCCCAACAAGCCCAAACCAGGTATGTGCAATTATCATAGTTTTTTGATAGACACAGAACCACAAAACATTAGGGAAGGCATTCCATTATTTAGGAAAAATTACAGGGAAAACTGAATAATGATTTGACAAAATTGAGAACAGACCAAAACTTGTCACGATTTTAAATGACTCAAGCCAAAGATGTGTTGGAGCCAGCATGGAAACCAGTGCCCAAGACCTGAATGTTAAGTTTTCAGTGAGAGTGTATATATTTTAGAAATATGCAAATACTACAAAGCAGGGCTTACTTTGCTGTTTTGTTTATTTTAACCACCTGGTTCTTGTCAACATGTGTAATTTTTTTTTGATTCTGCTTTCTTTATTCTGCATCACTTCATATAGTAAAATTATAGACTTAAAAAAGGGTGGGAAAAATATTAAAAATGCAGATTAAATCTATAATTGCCTTGCTACAATTTTTATTTCCATATAATTGGTTGTTAAACTTTTACCAAGATACCACTGGCAACAATACAAACATTTTTTAAGGCACACACACATCAAACAAAACCAAACTAGAATAGAAGGGATAACTATGTTTTTTACAACTGTGGGGAAAAGATAAATTGTTAACAAGCTCTGGGTGACTTGGAAAAAAATTTTAAAAGATAAAATAGATTTGATTATATTAAAAAATCTTTTTATCAAATACTTCAAATAAAACTATGACATTCAAAATTTACAAGGAACTGATTCAATAAATAAGAATAAAAGCTATTTTCCATTTGATAAGCTGTCCAAAGTATATAAAGAGGTAATTCTCAAAAGAAGAAATATAAATTCTCAACAATCTCACTAAAAAATTCAAGATCTCTAATAATCAGAAAAATTCACATCAAAACACCTCTGAGATCCCACCCCTATCAAACTGGCAAAGATAATCAACAGCAGCATTCAGTACTGGCAAGGCTATAATGAAATAAATCTACTATCAACATGACTGGTAGAGTTGTAAAACTGGTCCAGCTTTTTTGGAAAGCAATCTGGAATTATGTGAAACAATAAGAGTTAGAAAAATGTGTAACCTTTGACCTAGCAGCTGGTACTATATTCCAAGGAGATTATTGACAAGCTAAAAAAAAAAAAAAGGACCTGTTGCAAAAAAAAATAAAATTCCTAGCAGCTCTAGTTATAACAATAAAAAATAACAAAACCAAACAAGAAACAAACTAGGTATCAAATAATAATAATAATAATAACTAGCATCTATATAGCCAGTCACTGTGCTAAGCACTTTACAAGTATTATCATTCATTTTATTCTCACAACAACCACAAGAGGTAGGTGCTATTATTATCTCCATTTTACAGTTGAAGAAACTGAGACAGTTTAAATTATTTGCCCAGGGATACACAGCTAGTAAAAATCCAAGGTTAGATTTGCACTCAGGTCTTTTTGACTCCAGGCCCGGTGTTTTATCCACTGAGCCACCTAGCTGCCTTAGATGAGGAAAGATTGAACAAATTATAGTATATAAATGTAATGGAATATAACTGTACAAAAAGAAATGATAGATATGAGAATGCAGATAAACACAAGAATATGTATATATAGTGATGCAAAGCAAAGAAATCAAAACCAGGGGAAAAAAACCATTATATGTGTTGACAATAATCATGTGGTTAAAATTAACAAATTCATGTTACACACACCCAGAAAAGGTGAAAAGTGAAAAGGATGGTATAGATAATGCTACGTTAAAGCTGATACACCTTTTAGAATGGGGCTAACAATTGTTAAATAATGTTAACAAATGTTAAATAATATAAATAAGACATTATATTAATAATAAATTATTAATTATTATAGTTTATTATAATTGTTTTATTAATCATAATAATTTATAATTATTAAATTAATAATAGATTAGTGATCATGAATGCTAAATAATGAAAAATTTAACAAATACTAACTAATGAAATTGAGTTTGTTTTATTTTACTTAAGTGCTCATATTTCTTGTGTATTTCATATGCTTAAATACCTATCCTTTTCAGTGGATTTCTTTTTTAAAGAACAACCTAACTGGTCATTTTCTTTCTATCCGCTTCCTCCTTCTAGGTTTGAAACTCTCTTTACTGAACTGGAACTGAAACAGAAAGAACTAGGCATTGCCAGCTATGGTGCTTCTGTTACCACTATGGAAGAAGTCTTCCTTAGGTGTGTATTTAACGCTGGTATGGTCACTTAGAGTTTAGAAGTATCGGTGGCTAAAATATTGAAGGGAGAATTATTGGTCTTCAATGTATTTTAAAATGTCCATCTCTAGAACATAGATAGGCAAATTAGTTAGGGAGTCCAATACTGATGCCTAGGGTTAAAATATGTATACTTTCCCCTAGAGACTATTGTGAATATTATTATGATATGACAGATACTTAGCCAAATCTTTAATTCAGACAATTTTGCCAGAAGAAAGTTCATGAAGAATGTCTTCCCAGTCTAGATTTTTCTCTAAGTGAATAGTTGGCAGAATTAATAACTTAATAACTGGCATTCGGTTCTCCCAGAATTATTATCCCAGATAGTAATCACTTTGATAACATACTTGGAGGATTCTTACACTGATTGCAGCCATCTGTAGCAAGGTATAATACAAAATACACTGGCCTCCAGGTGTCAGAAGACCTGGCTTCTGGTGTCAGTTTAATCACTTAGTAACTGTGGACACTTTTAACCTCTTTGAATTTGTGTGAAATGGGAATAAAAATAACTCCTTTGCCCCTCTAAAAACTGTTAAATACTATATAAAATTAGGCCGACTCTCTGATGTTAATTGAGAACAAATTGGGTAAGCCCCTGTTGCTACTGTGAAGCTGAGTTTTCTGCATTAATGAATGAAAAGAAACTGAAAATCTTGGACTAAATAAATGCATTTTTAATAGCCAGGTCTCCTTTAGAAAAGTCTTGTTGAAGCCAGACAAGAGTAAATGATCTGATCCATTTCACACACGCTGTCCACCATGCCTGAAATAATCTCCCTTTGCCTTTTGGAATCCCTGATTTTTGTTTTTAAAGAATGAGCTCAAGTGTTACATTCTATGTAAGAAGACTAGAGGGATAGAAAGGGGCCATACTGGGAAGAGCTTTAAATGCCAAACAGCAAAGTTTATATATGATCCTATAGACAGTAGGGAAGCATTGGATTCTTTTTTATTTCCTTTTTGAGAAGGGGGATGATATGGATTTTCACTTTAGGAAAATCAATTTAGAAACTGAGGGATGAATTAAAATAGAAAGAGATTTGAGCCAGGGAGACCAAATAGGAAATTTTTGCAACGGTTCAGATGAGACATAACAAGGGCCGGAACTAGAGTGGTCAGTATACAGGTAGAAAGGAAGGGACATGTGAGGGATGTTATGGAGACAGAAACAAAAAGGTTTGGCAATTAATTGGATGAGTGAGAGAGTTGAAGATAACACTAAGGTTTGGAACCTGGGAGACTGGCAAGAAGGATAATGGTGCCCTTGGTAGAAATAAGGTAGTTCAGAGAAGGGGTAGGTTTAGGGGTACGGGTAGATATTTCATACTGATTTGGACTTGTCAAGTTTGACGTGTCAAGGGAACATGTAGCTTAAAATGACCAATAGGCGATTCATAATGTAAGACCATAGCCTAGAAGATGAACTAGAGTTGATTATATTTAATTTCACCTTTGTAACATCTCTCAGATATGCCATTTTCTCTCCTCTGATGCTGCCACCACCTTGGTGAAGGTCTTCATCTTTTTATGCATGAACTATTGCAATAGCTTGTTGGTTGGTTTGCCTGCCACAAGTCTCTCCCCATTTCAGTCCATTCTCTTCTCAGTCGTCAGAGTAATTTTTTTCTAAAGAGCAGGTCCAACCATGCCACTCCCATGCTCAGTGAACTCCAGTGATCAAATATAAAAGCCACTCTTTGGCTTTCGAAGTCCTTCATAACCTAGCTGTTCCCTCCAACTTTCAATTCTTCTTCCACGTTATACCTCTCCTTCCCTCCCCTCCTCTCCCGTGTAGTCTTTTATCCAATGACATCAGCCTCTTTGCCATTCCTTGAGCAGGATACTGCATCTCCTAATTCCAAGCATTTTCACTGGTTGTCCTACACACTTGGAATGCTCTCCCTTTTCATCTCCATCTACTGCTTCCTTCAAGTCCCAGTTTTAATCCCACATTCTCCCTGTTGATTATTCCCAGTTTATCCTGTATGCAGCTTGTTTGTATGTAGTTATTTGTGTTGTTCTCCCCTTAGACTCAAGGGTAGGGACTGTTCTTTGCCTTTCTTCTTATCCAAACCAGCACTTAGCACAGTGCCTGGTATGCACTTAATATGGTAGGCACTTAATAAATGTTTGTTAAGTGACTGGATATATAAATTAAGGATTCATAGAAAGAAGGCAACACTAATCATTTGAGAAACTGCTCCTTTTTTTCCTTCATTCCCTTTTTTCAGCAGGAGTGCTGAATAGCCTTTTTAGTTTCATATTTTTCACATTGACTTAATTCATACACACCAAATTTTATCTGCATTCATAATTTAAAAATATGACTTGTACTCTCTTGGTTCAGAGTTGGTAAACTTGTAGATTCAAGTATGGATATCCAAGCCATCCAGCTTCCTGCCTTGCAGTACCAGCATGAGAGACGGGCGAGTGACTGGGCCATGGATAGCAACCTCAGTGGAATAATGGATCTCACTGACAGCATCGGGGCCTTAATCAAGGAAGATTGTACCACCATCAAATTTAACACCAGGGTGAGCATTCTTACTTGGGACTGTAAGCCTGGCAAATTCAGGATAGATATAAGTGACACAGTTTGGTTTGAACTATCCAAATCCAAGGAAATACTAGCAGTATTGGCCCTGGAATAATCAATACATCTGAGACGTTGGCTTCTCTGTGGTACAGCCTGAAGATGAGCATGTTCTTCCCATTCTAAGTGCTATTTACACATTAACCAGGGTACTAACCATTCTCATCCTCCTATAGAAAAGTCCTGGAAGGAGCATTGAACTCAGGTGGTCTGGGTTCTAATTCTGGCTACATTACTTACTCAGCCTTGTACCCTTGAGCAACATCATTTACCCTGTCTGATTCCCAGTGTCTTCCTCTTTGATCAGGAGGGTAAGAGCCATTCTGCTTACCTCACAGAGCAGGTGTGATGCTCTGGAAGAATCTATGCCAAAAACATTTTTAAAATGTTATAGTATTCCATGGATATAAGGTGACCTTTCTCTCTCTCTCTCTCTCTCTCTCTCTCTCTCTCTCTCTCTCTCTCTCTCTTTCTCCCTCCCTCCCCCAAATTGTGGTTCAGTGACTTGCCCAGGGTCACACTGGCTAGTAAGTATTGTGTCTAAGGCCGGATTGGACCTCAAGTCTTTCTGACTGCAGGGCCATAGCTCTATCCACTGTGCCACCTAGCTGCCCCTCGGTGATATTCTCTTTTTCTAGTTACTAGATCCCTACTGGTGACCTCAAAGGAGAAATTATTCTCTTTTCTTTTCAATAAATACCTTAGACACACATAAGCAGGTTGAACTGCTGAGACAAGTCAGAACTTACCCAGCAAGGCTTCTCTTCAGAGTTATACTCTGTACCCTGTGTTTTCTTTCTACTGCTGAGCTGCAGTTAAATCTTAAATGGCCAGGTATTTGGAGTGGACTGACCTGTCAGCCACTGGCTCTGTTAACTAACCATTGTAACTCCAAGTCTGTCGTCCCTCTCTTGTAGTTCTACCTTCACTGCCAGCAGTTCTATGCCATGTTCACAAAGAAGGCCTTGTACAGCTGGCGCAACTGGAAGATGCTGGTGGCCCAGATCCTTGTGCCCCTGACTTGCATCACATTGGCCCTCATGGCCATCAACTACTCTTCAGCAATTCGGGATGACCCCATCCTGCAGCTAACCCTGGACCAGTATGGTCAGACGGTTGTGCCCTTTTCCATCTACGGAACCTCCAAGCTGGACCAGCAGCTTTCAGAACGCTTTAAAGATATGCTGCAGGCTGAGAAACAGGTGCCTCGGGAGGTGTTGGGTAAGTGCTGCTAGTGTTCGAAGACCTGTCTGCCAGGGGCCAGGAAATAAAATTGGGATGTGTACAGTGTCATCGCACAGAAGAGAAATCATTTACAATTAACAGGGAACATAAACAGCCTTCAGATTGATAAATTGCAGGAAAGTGAAAGTGATAATAATATTAACTCATGCTTTTGTAGGGTTTGAGGTTTCCAAAGTACTTGCCTCACAATCACCCTGTGAGATGTCACACAGCTATTAAGTGTCAGAGCCAGGATTTGAGACAAATCTTCTGACTCCATGCCCAAAACCCTTGCACTCTACCTTGTACCCTTTGTGCAAGGATGTACATTTGTAGGTGCTAAACTTTGTCTTTATGTGCTGTTTGGGAATGTGATGTTAAGAACCATTTGAAAGTTAAAAGCACAGCTCTTTGCTAATAAATTTGAGAATCTAAAAGAAATTTTTATTTATTTTTAAGAAATGTGAAAGAACAAAATTAACAAAACAAGTGGTTGACATCAGAAGGAAAAATTAGTCCTTTAAAGAGCTGCATATCTATATCTTGGGAAGCAAGAAGAGCTTTGATATCCATACCAAACACTAAAATGATTGGAAGAAAAAATAATCAACCAATAATTATAGGCCAATAATAGACCAATGCAAAAGTACTAAATAAATATTTACTAAATTAATAAAATACTAAATAGAATATTTGTAAATAGCACATAATGTAATATTTTTTAATTTATCACAACCAAGCAGAATTTATGACTAGAATAGGATGATTTAATGTCAGAAAATATTCAACATAAAAAGAAAAAAATTAAAAACTATATGATCATTGAAAGGTTCCATAGTATAGTAAAAAGAGGACTGAATTTGTCATCCAGGGACCTGTGTTCAAATCTTGAGTCTGCCACTAATTACTTGTGTCATTCAGCTTCTGGCTTCAGTTTCCTTATCTCTAAAATGAGGGGGTTAAGTCCACAAAAATCATCTTCACTTCCAACAAGAATCAAGGAAAACTGATAAAAAGAGAAATGCCCCTAATGATAACAACCAAAGGAAGGAATGAAGGAGGGAAGGAAGGCTGGCTTATCTCTGGAATTATCCAGATGAAACAAGTACATAAAAAATTTCCTGGAAACAGGCTTTTAGTAAGTGCTTACTGTGTGCCAGGAGAGTGTATGGAGTGTTCAGGGAGCACTAGTGCATCTGGTATCAGGACTTGCTGAGCCTTTTCAAGGCTGCTCATCGACCTTTAGCGTCCACCTTCACCCCACTTTCACCTGTAGCTCCAAGAAGCTGTGGCATGCACAGTGGCCACACCCCAGTTAACCATCTGGGCAGGTGGGCTAAGCTGAGGGTAACCTGTTGGTGAGTTAGGGGGATGTCTACCCCAAGGATGGGAAGACTTCCCCTGGTGGAATGGGCAGATGAGAACAGAGTTCCACTGGCCACGAAGGTGGCCGAAGCAGGTGCCATGGAGCACACAGAGCTTGGTCAGACTCCAGAGACGCCAAGGTTATCCACTGCATCCCAGACAATCACCAGTCATCCTGATTTTTGTCATGCCTGTGGATTTCAATGACTAGAAGAGAGAGTGATGCTGATGACTCCGTACAACTCTGCCTCACTTAAATCCAATTCACAGGCAAGTCAAGACATCACCTATGATCATTGGTCCACTTTGAAATAAAGAACAAACAACATGTGCCAGGCACTGTGCTAAGCTCTGGAACTATAGATATAGACAAAAAGAAAGACAAGTCTTTGACCTCAAGGTGCATGCATCCTATGGGGGAAGTGAGAGTGGGGGCCAACAGAGACAAAAATGAAAGTATTCAGTGCAGGGGCATGGTTCAGAAGTCAAGGACAGAGCCAAGAGGGGAATGAAGGCTGATTTGGGCCCCTCTACAAAGGGGAAGCCCCTAGGAGGAAATCACCAACAGAGAAGGGGCTGGTTCTTGCACGGAATTATTCCAGGTTGAGAAGGCTGCAGAAGTGGTTGGGTATTCCAGGGCAAGGAGGCCCCCAGCCCCAAGCGAAGTTTCAGAATGAAACAGCAGTAAAGGCATGGTTTTAAAATCTGGAAGTCAGGAACTGGGCCAGAGGGGGCATCAAATGTTTAGGCATTGATTTATCAAGACGTGCAAATGACATGAAAACAACCTCAAACTGATTATGACAGATGTAAAGGAGGAGCTGAACAAGAAAAAGTTTGTTCATGGGTGAGTTGAGCAAATATGGTAAAAATTGCCAGTGCTTCTCAAACCACAGCTTTAACACAATGTCAGTCAGAATACCGATAGACTATTTCATAGAATCATATGAAATCATAAGTTTCCTATGGAAAAATAAATGAGAAAAAATATTTTTAAAAACCATGAAAAAAAAAAGCTAAAAGCAAAATGCCACCCTCTTCTCTTAGTCTTTTACTGGGGAAAGTAGATGAGAGGCCTTGGTATGATTTAGTGTCTATGAGGCATCACTTAAAGCAATGAGTGAAAATAAAGTATTTTACATTTTGAAAGGTAACAGTTCAGCAGCCTTTCCTAAGGCACCCAACTGCTTGCTTTTGCCTCCTCAGTACAGAGGTTCGATTAGATATCCCCAACTGATCATCAGGGTCTTGGGGCCTTTCCTGGTTGATGTTCAAATTTGTCATTGCTCAGTTACTCCATCAGGAACTTATATTTACTGTACCTGTTCTTATCTGTGTTGATGCTTGTAATAACCTGTGAGTTTTTCACATGACTTGCTATTTAGCAAGGTCATCTCATCCTGCACTTTTGTAGTTCCTTTAGAAAAAACCAAAGATTTAAATTCCTATGAAATCTCTCGAGTTCCAGCCTGTCAAGATGATTTTGGATCCTGATTCTGTCATCTAGCACTAGCTATCTCTCATTGCTTTGGTGCAGCTGCAGATTTTGATAGGCATATGTTCCATATTTTTATCATTATTCATAAAAAGTGTTGAATAGAATAGTGCTAAGGTCAGAGCCCTTCACAATGCCACTAATTACCTCCATTCATGTTGACATCGTTCAATTAAATGCAACAGGTATTTCTTCAAATAAGAGTTCTTAAACCCACTTATGAAACTGTCTGGTTTTTCATGAACTCAAGCTCTTGACCATACTGGTTGCTGTAATCTAGATGTTTCTCCATTTTAACAGTGCCTTTCCTACAATGTAGTAACATTTTGTTATTCTGTTATTCTGCCTTCAAAGATCTCTCCCATCTGCCCTCTTCTTCCCACTCCCATTATTACCATCATCTCTGACCAGTTTCTTATTGTCTCTTGTCTCCACTACTGCATAATAGGCTTCTAACTGGTATCCTTATCTCCAGTTTCATAACCCTTCTAATCTGTCCTTCACACTGATGCCATATTAACGATCCTCACATACACATCCAATCACGTCACTGTGTTGCTCAGAATGTCAATAATATCTTATTTTTGTTGTGGAGTCATTTCAGTCACGTCTGACTCTTTGTGATCCCATTTGGGGTTTTCTTGGCAAAGATACTGGAGTGGTTTGCCATTTCCTTCTCCAGCTCATTTTACAGATGAGGAAATTGAGGCAAGCAGGATTAAGTAACTTGCCCAGTCACACAGCTAGTGTCTGAGGCCAGATTTAAACTCAGAAAGAAGAGTCTTCCTGACTCTAGGCCAGGCACTGTCCACTGAGCCACTGTATCCTATTGCTTACCAAATAAAGTCTCAGTGCCTTAGTCTGGCATTGAATAACCTCCAGAAAATATACCACCAGCCAATAACAATATTATTTCATATTTTTCCCCTTTTTGTACTCCTCCCTCCAACATGTCTCATGATTGGCACATGCGCCAGTGTCCTTGCTTGTGTTATTCCCTAGAAATGGAATGCCCTCTGGTCCCAGCCACTCTCCCCCATCACTCACTGCAAACCTACTGCTATTTTAAGACAGTCCAAATGCCTTCTCCTCAATGAAGCTTTCTCCAATTCCTCCCATCAAAAAGTATCTTTCCTCAGAAGTCTAGTAGCACTTGATACATTTTGTATATTCTGTATTTTTGTATTGTAATCATGTGAGGACATCTCTCCCCTCTCCACACACACATACACACCCACACACACACACACACATATGCACTCTTGTAAGCTCTTTGAGAGCAAAACTTCTATCTAACATATCTTTGTATCTCCTACAGTACTTAACATAAGGCTTTGCGTTTGGTAGGTGCTTAATAAATATCTATTTAATTGAATTTAATTGCCTGTTGCTTCCCCACACAAGGTGATTTGGAAGAGTTCCTGATTTTTAGGGCCTCGGTGGAAGGTGAAGGCTTTAATGAACGATGCCTTGTGGCAGCTTCCTTCAAAGATGTCGGAGAACAGACTGTTATCACTGCTCTGTTCAACAACCAAGCCTACCATTCTCCAGCCACTGCCGTGGCCATCGTGGACAACATTCTGTTCAAGCTGCTTTCTGGCCCCAGTGCCTCCATTACCGTCTCCAACTACCCTCAGCCCCGAGGTGCTGGCCAGGCCACGACAGAACAAGCCAGCGAGTAAGTACGTGAACCTTGGTTTCACCCAGGGCCGAGGCTTTCATTCTATGAGCCCGGCTGGTTTTAACTTTTTTGTTAGTAGGTCATGTTCTGGAGTGTAGCTGGTAAGGGAAATTGTCTTCTCACTAGATATACTAAAAGCTCTCCTTTTCCCATTCTGTCTCCTTCAGGGGCCACACAGGATTTCACCTAGCTCTTAATTTGCTCTTCAGCATGGCTTTCTTGGCCAGTACATTCTCCATCCTGGCAGTCATTGAAAGAGACATGAAGGCAAAGCACATCCAGTTTGTTAGTGGAGCCTATGTCGTTCATTTTTGGCTTTCTGCCCTGCTGTGGGATCTTCTTACCTTCCTTATCTCCTGTTCCCTGCTGCTGGTGAGTATTGAATAATATGTTGGTTGAAACCCTGTCTCCCATACATTATAGGAGATTTATTTTTGGTTTTATTTCCTTTTTAAGTGCTTTATTTGATGTTCTTTTCTTTTTTTGAATATGGCTGTTAATTTCCAATGACTACCCCCCAAATAGAACTTCTCCTTCTAACTAACAAGTATAATCAAGCTAAACAAGTCAGCACATTGGCCGTGTTTCTCAGCCTGCACCCATAGTTTATCACCTCTCTGCTATGAAGTAGCAGACTTGCCTCACCATCAGGCCTGTGATGTCACTCCTGGACGTTGTGTTGATGAGAATTCCAAAGTTATTCAGTGTTGTTTTCCTTTACCTCATTGTGGTCATCATATAAATCCCTCTCCTGGTTCTTCTTAATTTGGAGCTTCTTCTTTGGCCATTGGTACCCAGGCACTAATCCATCCAAGGAAATGGTTGCAGATGAAGCAACATTAGAAACAACTTGCTTCAGTTTCTCAGGGTCTGCAGAAACAGTAATCTTCCTCAGTTCCTCTATTTTTTGTACCCATTAAGCTGTCCCAGGCTGGGGTTACTAGGGGAATCTTCACTAGTTAGAGCACCTCTGACTCTTTCCAAAGAGAAGAGAGGGAACGTCCTCTAACTAGGATAAAGGTCATCTTTAGACTTGTCGTCCTTAGACTCCTTTAGTAAAGAGAACATGAGCACATCTGTTTTATTGCTGAAGTGTCAGTTTTTATGGGAGATTAAGGAGTTGTGTATCTATTTTAAAGGTACTTGAAACAGCACTTTACTGTTTTTTCTTCCTGATGTTATGAGTTAACTTGCTTTTGTCACCCTCTTCTCCCCCTTTCCCTTGCAAATATGTCTCTGTGATGTAGGTAGTGTTCAGAGCCTTTGACGTGGAAGTTTTCACCCAGGATAACCACCTTGCAGATGCTTTGATGATCTTAATGCTGTATGGTTGGTCCATCATCCCCCTCATGTACCTGATGAGCTTCTTTTTTTCTGGAGCTGCAGCTGCCTACACCAGACTTAGCATATTCAACATCCTCTCGGGCCTTGCCACCTTTCTCATCATCAGCATTTGCGTATGCCAGGTGGGGGACATTGAATTTGTCACCATCCCTCCCCCTAGCAGACACATAGTAATCCCTTCTCCAGATAATGAGCATGTGAGGAGAAGGAGGCACATGAATGGGCACCATCATTAAGAAGACTATTCCTGAGATATCAATGAAAGTCTCTGCTTTTCACAAATCTTTTAGTCTGACGCTAGAGCTAAATCAGACATGCTGACATTGAGTTAGGAAAATAGGCTACTTGGGTGTAGCTACCTCATCATCCCCTTTTCCCATCCTGCAGTCACATAACTTTGGAAACCATTTTGGATTGGTACTTGGAGGAATTGTTATTTCCTCCCTGACAGCCTGTTTTCTCTAGTTTGAGGAAGAATGTTCAAGGGAAACTAGGAATGTACCTAGTGCTGTTAGGGCACAGATAATTTCTGACTTCTGTGCCTGAAGTAAGGCAGATTGACCATATGAGTAAAAGATACAAAACTGAAGGGTTTGATAACCCTAATCCATTTTGAGGAAATTCCCAGAGTAACACTCTCGTTTTCACATGGAGTGATGGGAAAGGAATATTGTTTTGCAGAGAATTTCTGTGGCTTCAGGGTTATTGCACTAGACTCATTTGGCTGCCCTGGGGAAAGAGGGGTTTGCTGCGCAGTAAACTAATCTATCACATTTTCATTACAGGGCTAAAATTGTTGCAACTCTCTAAAACCTTGGATATGGTTTTCCTGGTGTTGCCCAGTCATAGCCTAGGGATGTCTATCAGCAACTTTTTTGAAAACTACGAGACCAAGAGATACTGCACATCCTCTGAGATTGCAGCCCATAACTGCAAGAAATTTAGTGAGTATCCTGAATTCCCTGAGCCCCTGCTTTAGCAGTCCCTTTCTTATCATCTTTCATACTTAAAAGCAGACAGAGGATAAACTGGGGGGAGTTTATAATCTTCCTTGGAACAAAGAGAGCTGGAGCATCCTCAGGAGACACAGAAGTTATTTTCTCAAACGTGGAAGAATCTCTATAAAGTACTTGGAGGTTTTGAGAGATGACCTGGGAAAATTCAAGGTAGTCAGTGGCACATAAACGGAGCTGCTCCAGGACAATATATTTCTTTCCCAAACCCAAGGGGTGCTAAGAAAAGCAGAATAGTATAGTGGATAGAGCACCAGATATGGAGTCAGAAGACTTTTTTTGCCACTTACTGTGTCACCTTGGACAAATCATTACCTCTCTCTGGACCTCAGTTTCCTCATTTGTAATTTGAGAGTTTTTGGTCTAGATAGTCTTCCGAAGGTCTCTCTTTTTTCTTGCTACTAGGACAACATTGTGTTCTCAAGCCATAATGGGTTCCCTGGTACCTTCCATAGCTCAGAGTTGAGGTAGAGAATATGATGTATTATGAACGTCCTAGAGAAATAGGAGGAAGGAAAGAGATTAAAAATGTTAGTCAACCCTTGTTGCTTGGGACTGCTTGGCTGCATTTGGGCATTGAGCTGACTGTATTCTGGACCCACACCCCTAAGCCATGTCCCCAAGAGACCTGGAGACCCACCTCTGGAGTATCCCTAAATTCTAGTTTCTAGTGTATCGGTAATTCATAAATAAAGTGATGATAGTTTTGGGCTCCGTATAAACACAGTGGAAAATCTGTAATTCAGACTTATAACTTTAGGATACCTGGAAGCAGCAGAGCAGAAGGCAGTTTGATATGAATGAGACCAGTAGTGTAATGGTGGAGAAGAGGGAAAGGAAACACAGGGCTTCTTCCCTTCCCAGGAACCTAGTTAACATTGGCTGCAGTTCAGGTAGGTTGAGGCCTTTCTCTAAACATTTACCTCTTCCCCAAACTTTTCATGGCATGGCCACACTGAGTTTGCTACAGGGTAGGGAACCTAAGGTTAGTAGGAAGCTGCATTAGCCAAATTGTGGGAAGAATGATGTGGCCTTCCCGGGCCTCTCAAAGACACATGGGTCCCTTTTGGGGTAATCAGAAGGGAGTGACAGGGAGGTCTTTCCACAGTAAGTAAAAGGGAAGAAAGAAGCCATAGCACCCCAGGGTTTTAAAGTGAACACATATCCTTTTATCATCTCCAGATATTAAATACCAAGAGAATTTCTTTGCATGGAAAGCTCCTGGGATTGGGAAATACATGACTTCTATGGCTGTTTCTGGCTTTGTTTTCCTCATTCTCCTATTCTTCATTGAGACTAACCTCCTTTGGAGACTGAGAACCTTCTTCAGTAACATCTTCAGGACACAGAATTGGGTGAGTAAAATAACCATGTGAGATTTCACTTCTATTCAGCTTTAAACTGGATAAAGGAGATAAATCTAGCCATCTTTCCTGAAGAGAAAAAATAAATTTGAATCAGATTTAGCCAGCACACCATAAGTTTATCCCTATAGCCATGAACATGGTATAACTTCTGCAATCTGAAAATAAGGTTGGCCAGGGACATGATTTTAAACTCCATTTTCCATGATAATACTATTTTAAATCCATAGGCTATCTGCAGGACCAGGGAGTGATACACAAGATACTATTTTTAAATTTCAGCAAAGTGCTATTCCAGAAAAACTGATGCAATTTCCAGCAGACCAGATAAATGAACCTCTATGCCTTAGAAGCTGTCAGAAAAGAAAGTAATCTGTCTCATCCCTTTGAGCAATAAGCTTACTCATTCACATGTGCTCTGGTGTTCCCTTGACTATCTTGAATTCTTTCTCCCTTTCAAAGTCACATTCTCAGAAAGGTTTGGCACCTTCCTTATCTGAATTTAATCACTTCCTCTTCACACTTCCAGCTGGTTTACATCTGCTTCCACTCATCTGAAACTACTTTCTATAAATTTACCAAAAATGCCTTAACTGTTCAATCCAATGGGACTTCTTCAGCTCACATTCTGCTTTACTTCTCTGCAATTTTTGACACCGTTGATCCCTTCTTCCTGGATATTTAGTCATCCCTAAGTTTTCATGCTGCTTTTCTCTCCTGCTTCTACTCCTCTCTGATTACTCTTCATTCTGCTTTGCAAGATCATCATCTGTGTCCCACCCCCTGTTTCCCTAGGCTCTGACCTTATCCCTCTTTTATCATCTCTTTGTGGACGATTCTTAGATCTATCCTAGGTATGTATCCTAGATATATACCTTACCCTTGGCTCTTCCAAACTCTAGGTCCATATCACAAGAAAAGTTACAAAATTATTTACATTCTATTTAGCAATCTCACTATTGGGTTTATATCTCAAGGAAGTTATTGAAAATAAGAAAGGTTCTATCTGTATAAAAATATTATAGTATATGTAAACACTGTACATTGTACCAATATTATAATGTGTAGTAGTGATATTGGAAACAGCAAAAAAATGGAAACAAGCAGTGAGCCCAACAATTTGGAAATGACTAAACAAATGGTGATATAAGAATGCAGGGATAATAAAAAGTAATGAATATGTAGAATCCAGAAAAAATGTGGGAATGAAGTTATGCAAAATGACCAAAGCAGAACCAAAAGAAAACCATGTGCAATTACTGCACTGTTATAAATAGAGACTACTTTACCTGGCAACAGTATTCATCAAAAATGTTGGCTAATATTGGTGTTAACTTAGAAGGCACACATTCAGTCTTTCTTTTAACAAATGGATAACTGAGAAAGCTGAAGTTTGCAGGTACTATCAGTCACAATTAATTTTTATGCTGTTTTGCTTACCTGTTTTCAGAGATAATGTATGCTGGGAAATTCAGTTTTGAGTGCACTGGGGTTTTATATGATGTGTCCAAACAAAATTTATCAACAAACCCCATAGAGTTTCACAAAATCAAGTCACCACAACAGAATCTTTATTTCCCATTGTCATCTATAAGCCCAACAGAAGAGGAGGTCTTTTCTTTCACTTATGGATTCAGCCTTCTTCCTGAGACCAAGACTTCCAATTGCTAAGAAAACTAGTCTTTCTTTAAAAAAATAATAATAATGTTTTAAACTCTTCTCTCCCCAAGAAAAAAAGAAATACATAATCCATGATACCAATATACATAGTCAAGCAAAACAAATCCACAATTTTGCCATGTCCAAAAATGTGTATCTCATTCTACACCTTGATTCCATTATCCTTCTGTCAGAAAGTGAATAGCATCAGTCCACTGGAGTAATGGTTGCTCTTTGCATTGATCAGAGTTCTCATTTATTTCAAAATGGTCTTTTTTTGTAACATTGTTATTAGTAATACCTGGTTCTACTCATTTCACTCGTATCAGATCATGTAAGACTTTCCAAATTCTCCAAAACGGTCCTTTTTGTCATTTCTTATGGTATAATACTATTCCATTGCTTTTATATGCCATAATTTGTTCAGCCATTCCCCAAGTGATAGGCATCCTCTTTGTTTCCAGTTCTGTGCTACAACCAAAAGCTGATATTACCATTTTTGTACTGTTGGGTATTTTTCTTCTTTCTTTGATCTCCTTGGGGTATAAGCCCACTAGTAGTATTTTTGGGTCAAAGCATGTGCATAATTCAGTGACTTCTTGGGAATAGTTTTAGACTGATTTCCAGGATGGCTAGATAAATTCACAGTGCACTAATGAGCTTCTCTCTTTGGCGTTCCTCCAATGATGGTCTTTTTCCTTTTTTGTCACCTTTGCCAGTCTGTCTGATCCAAATGGCATGGAACCTCAGAACTGCTTCAATTTGCATTTCTCTATTAGAGACTTGAAGCATCTTTCCATGTGCCTGTTGATAGCTTGGATTTTTTTTCATGAGAAGCTTACATCTTTATATCCTTTGGCCATTTATCTGTTGGAAGAATACCTATCAGGGGAATATTTGAATCAATTTCATATATATCTTAGATATCAGACCTTGTTGTATCTGCTGCAAATTGTTTTATTGCTGCAAATATTTTTCCTAGTTAATAGTTTCCTTTCTAATTTTAACTGCGTTTATTCTGCTTGTGCAAAAACTTTTCAGTGTTACATAGTCAAAATTGTTTATGATCTTCTCTGTCCTTTAACTGGTCATGAACTGAAAATGCCCTTTATTTAGCTGATTACTCCTGGGGTTTTGTTCTTACAAATGTACCATTCTGTTTCTTTTCTAAAATTTTCTCAATACATTTGCAATTGAACATGAGTTATTTCCTCAATTTCATGATCATGATTGAGCCTAGTTTCTGATGTCGCTTTGTCCTTCTGGAAAGCAGCAGATTATATGTGTATGCACATTTATGTGCATATACATACATATATGTATATATATACGTATACATACATATACATGTGTGTGTATATATATGTATATGTATGTGTGTATATATATGTGTGTGTATATATGTGTGTGTGTGTGTGTGTGTGTGTGTGTGTGTGTGTGTATATGTATAATCTGAGGGAGGGCTAAGAAGTTCCTGAAAAGTCTTCTCCAGAAAACACTTATTTTTTTTTAATATTTCTGAAGACCTAACACATCCCTATTGCCCCTCAGATCCTGCTTTTCTAACCCCACTCTGACCGCAATTGAGCCAGACATCTTCAAGGTATTTACATTTTAATCCTTGTCTCTGGAACCCAGGCACAGACGCATATCCAATCATCAGTGATTCCAAAAGACCAAGATGTAGAAGATGAGAAAAAGAAAGTCTTAGAATCCCTACCAGAGTTGATGCTGAATACCCCACTGGTTATTAAGGAACTGACAAAGGTAAGGCCAGATTATGGTCATTGTTGTCCTGGTCCTTCCCAACTGTACAGCATATCAGATATGTCATTAACTTGGAGCAGCTGGTCTCTAAAATATATGTGTGTTGTCTTTATACATCTGAAGAGTAGTAACTTGGGATGAAGGGGAACGGCACTTGTACTACGTTGCTAGGAGGTGGAGCTTGTGTTTATTTCTTAAGAATCTGCAGCCCCAATTTTCATAATGCCAGGCAGTGGTTCCTCAATCTGTGGGTTCTCTGTTGGGTGCATCTTAGGTGTACAGCCAGAAGGTGCCCTTCCTAGCTGTGGATAGAGTCTCCCTCACAGTCCAGAAAGGGGAGTGCTTTGGACTGCTTGGTTTCAATGGGGCTGGGAAAACCACCACCTTCAAAATGCTGACTGGAGAAGACACAATTACCTTTGGAGATGCCTTCATTGATGGCTACAGCATCATCACTGACATCAAAAAGGTAAGGTTTTGCCAGGAGAGCAGAGGGCCCTAAGATGAATGTGGCATCATAAAAAAGAACTGAAAGCGCTAATGGAGGAATCCATTTCATCTGCTGCTTTTTGTGGCATCACACTTTAGTAGGTCGATATAGGCAAAGTTCTCACTCCCTGTCTCTTGGCAGTCTTTTAGGCAAATAGATTTTTCCAGTCAACTGAGGAATCGGTAAACATTTAGTAAGCACCTGCCACATTCTAGGCACCATGCTAGATGCTGGTAGGACAGAGACAGGAGGTACTGCAGGTTAGCCCAGAGGGAGAGGGGCAGAGAGTGAGAAACAGATGCCTATATGAGTAGACGCAGCATAGGTTTGGGGGAAGGCACTAGCATCCAGGAGTTTAGGAAAGGGTAGATAAAAGAAGTAGAAGATGGTGCTTGAGTTGACCTCTGGAGAAAACTTAGGATTTTTAGAGGCTGAGATGAGGAGGATATGCATTTCAGACATGAGATATAGCCAGTGAAAAGACATGGAGAGGGAAGAACCTTCTTATTTATGTGCTACCCCTCACTGAAAGCCCCTAATTCCCATACTTTAAGCCATTAGCTAGAAATCCACATCTTCTTCTTTTTAGCCAGCTGTTTAGGTCCCAAATTTGCCTCTCTTCTGAATGCCCAACTTCCGGTTGGCACAAATAATAAAAACACTTGTCTTCCTAAGTTTTTTGCCCAAGACTTTGTAATTTTCAGCTAATGTTCTTTCTGGTAGTACCATTTATCACCAAATAAGTCACCCAGGTGAAACCTATTAAGTTTGACAAGTGTCAGGAGGCTCTCCCTTTCTGGTTTGTCAGACCAACAAAGAGCTGTCTTGGTTCCTCAGCGGGGAGTCACCAGTCACTGCCACTCATCTCCTCTTTCTCTGACTATTACTGCATGATTTCTTATCTGATGGCTTTTGTGGCTCTAAATCATCTTTCCTTGGAATCTCAGCAAGTGCTTTTTTTTAAAGGTTCACAAAGCACTTTTTTAATAAGAATTCATTTTTTAAGAAATCTAGTAAATAGTATTTTCCCACTTACATGTAAAGGTAGTTTTCAACATTCATTCTTTTTATAAGATTTTGAGTTCCGAATTTTTCTCCCTCCCTTCCATCCTCCCTTCCCAAGAAGGCAAGCAATCTGATATAGATTATACATGTGCAATCATGTTGTGTGGGACAGAGACCACCTACCCAAATTAAAAACCAGAGTCTTGACAAAAGTTTGCAAAAAGGAGGAATCTCTTCATTGACTTTCTCGAGAAAGGGCACCCCCGTGCTGCCTCAGCTGCCCCAAGAGTTTGAGTGCTTTTTGTTAAAGGCAAGACTACATAGACTCCAGCATAGCAGCCCACCCTAACCCCCTTCCCGTCGGCTCATTGACTGAGCCTCAGGTATACAATCTGTTCGTGTAAAAACTACCCCAGGAACAGAGAGAACAAAGAGGTATAGAAATTATGTTAGCATGTTCCCCTTTTCAGGGCCTCACAGCTTCAGTAGCCTTTTACCCAAGGTCATATAACTAGCTAGAGGATGAGATAGGATGCTCTTATGGCTCCGGAATTTCTGCTAACACTATCTAATTGTAGGGGAGAGAGAAGGCTAGGGGAGGGGGTCTTGCATTCTGAGGGGTCTTCAGTTAGTGTTGGTACACATGTACCACTCAAAAGCAACAATATCAGAACCGTTAACAAGAACTAATGACCCTTTGAGGAGGCTTCACTTCTGAGAGATCATCTCTCACAATGTTAAACATGTTTGCACATTAGTCATGTTGTGAAAGAAGAAACAGAACAAAAGGGAAAAACCACAAAAAACGGTGAAAATAGTATAAGAAGCTGCTTTTTTGTGAGATGATCCAGCTACCCCTCCGCATCTACTATTTAGCTCCAGATATTTAATGGGCCTCCTTCCTCCTTTTTTTAATCTTGCAGCCTCTTGTCACAGAGTAACAATTCCACATGCTTCTTCACCTAATTTTTCTTCTTTGTTTCCTCCCTGAAGGCATTCTTTCAGGAACACTTCATTTTACCTGACAGCCTGCTTCTTTCAGCCCTTTGACCTTCTTTTCTAGGGCAGAAATCAACAGAGGTGTTACTTGGTATTGGCAAAAAAGCATATTCCCTGAAGTTCACTGCAGATTTCTCCTTGCCCTCCATACTTGCTTAAAAGAAAGATCCTCAGTTCTTGGTCTTCTTGATAGTTAGCTGAGAGGGCTGCCTTTATGAATTAACTGCTGCGATAGCCTGTTTGCCATCCCTGTTTCATGCACAATGCACAGGGAGCTCCTGACCAGGACAATTTACTGATGGGGGAATCTCCCTTTTTTGGAAATTGGACGTTTCAGTTGGCAATGAGTGTGTTCCCACTTTGTTCACAGAAATACTTCCTGGGGAGAAAACTAGTTTTCTCTTTCCCTTTGAATTCTAGATGTCTTCTTATTCTTGCCTGGCTTCCTCACGCATCAGTAAGCACATAAGGTCTGTGTGAATAGCAAACCTTTAAAGATGTGGTTTGAATTTGATGATTTGCTTGTACGGTTGACATTTTGGGGAAAGATATGAGGGCTTCAGTTTTTTGCCCACAGCCTTATTTGGCTTTGTTGTCTATCTCCAGATGTTGATTGGTGAGCTGTAGGTCTCAGATCAAGCCCCACTTGGTCATTGTTTAGGCCTTAATTGGCTCAGAGTGAATGTAAATAGCAGTTATTTCTGTTTTGGCCAGAAGCACTGAAATTGTTCTCCCTCCCAGATTGATTTTTTTTTTAACTAGGTAAAAGAGGCCATTCTTTGCCTCATTTCTTATCTAGCCTTCATCATTGAATGGGAATTGGGTCAGTCAAACTAAGACCTGTTAAAGACCTTAGCTTAAAAAGGCCAGGGTCTCCCACTGCATCCAGGGCTCTCTCCAATTGTCCTAATCAATATAAGAGAAAGTAAGGCTGGTGACTTTGCACAGCCCTACGTCACTTAAATCCAATTCACTTGCAAGTCAAGACATCACCTCCCTGTTGTCATGGTCCTCTTCAGGAACACAGGACGAATGACAACAATATATGCTAGTACGATGGTAGGTTAACTAAACTTCCTTGCACATTTCTAGGGCTGTGAAGGCCCACAAAGAAAACAAGTCATTTAATCCAACACCAAATGCTGTAGCGTCTGGCTAGATTTGATATTATTAGGTCCCAGAGTTTTTAGCAGAAATATCTTTTAAGACAGAAAGGGAGGGAAATTCTGCTTGTCTGCTGCACTAAACATGTAGTTACTATTAAAACGAAAAACCGTATTATAAAACTAAAACTTGTCCATCTCACAAGCTGATTGGCTGCTAAATGCCATTACTGACATGACCAGTCCATGTTCCTGGACAGTCTCCTGTGCATCTGGACACCTGCCTTATTCCCAGAGCCCTTTGACAAGCCTGAGTACCATTACACCCCAGGGCTGTATTTTCCTGCCTTTCTCATCCATGTCTGTTTAATTGTAAACCCATATTTTGGGATGTAGAGCAGCTACCCTAAGAGCCTAGTGATGTTGATAACATCATTGAGCCAGGCAAAATCCTCTGTGTGACTTTCCAATTGTAAATTTCTCTCAGTATTCTGTGCTAGACACACTCAACTAGAATTTAGCAGAGATATAGGCTGGTGTTTAATAGAACATTCTGACTCTATGCTTCAGGAAATCCAGGGATAATCCTGAAAGGGAGACATTGGAAGGTACCAATCCAATCCAGTTGGCTCCAGCTATAAGGAATGCAGGGAATTCTTTTTTTAATTTTAATTTAATTTAATTTTAATTGCTATCCATTAGATAATAGTAGAGAATCCTGGAAAGGGAAATCTTTGGGACAAATACTTCTCCTGGGTAGGATCATGGATAGAATGGCTTCTGAGTCCTTTGTCTTGACAGATTCTATAGCATATGCCTATGATAGGGTTTTCTCATTTGATCACACCTTTCTACCTGCCCCCATCTCCTGGGGATTTATTATTCTTTTAGGTACGGCAGCGAATAGGCTACTGTCCTCAATTTGATGCCTTGTTGGAACACATGACTGGACGAGAGACTCTGATCATGTATGCCCGGCTGCGGGGCATCCCTGAGTGCCATATTGGCCACTGTGTGAAGAACGTATTACAGGGGCTGCTCCTGGAACCCTATGCAGACAAACTTGTCAGGACCTACAGGTAGGCCTCTTCATTCACTTCTCTACACAGGATGCCATATGTAGGTAAAATGGCTTCTCCTCTACTGCAGTGGGGTGTCTCCCTCCTTGGTAAAGGAAATGGATGTTTCCACATTGGCCAGGCCACTATCAGTGAGGCAGCCTCATAAAGAAGAGTGATGACTGCTGACAGCTGGAGGGCCACCAGGGAGACCTGTTCCTGTGGCCTGGTTTGACACCATTCCATACCATCAGGCTTGCCATACAGGGACTGGTCCTTGTCTCAGAGCATACCTCACACCTTCCTTTGTTATAGAGGATTTGGGGGAGAATATGTACAAGATTAACATAGGATCTTCTAGAAGGTGTTGGGGGGTGGGGGTTTGTGTGTGTATATGTGTGTGTGTGTGTGTGTGTGTGTGTGTGTGTGTGTGTGTGAAGGTTGTGAGCTGAAATGACAGAGGGAAAGCCTTCATCATGATTTCATGAATGTATTAAAGCTGAGGCGTCACATATGGGGCCTGCATTAAGGCTGCAACATTCCAGAGTGAGGCTCAACCAAATCAAAAGTGTAATTGGGAAATAACTAAGCCAATAAAAATTTTGCAGTAGAACATGAGTAACATGGATATGTAGTTTTGTAAGTCAGTATGTAGCCTACAGGAATCTTCACATAGACACCGCTGCATTGGAGTTTTTCTTTTGCTTTTCCCTCAGGGAATCCTCAGAATCTGATTTCCTTTATCTGTTATCTAATTCTGTTCTTTTTCATCATCCATCTGTTTTGTTGTGGGATTGAAGCTCTGTTTTATCTTTGTTCTTAATGATTTTCTGCTTATTTTCCAGTGACATATTCAGTCATCTGTATTTACCAGTTTTTGTTGCTCATTCTTGCTCCCACATTCTTTTGGGAAACTTTAATATATTTACTTTAAATACAGGAATTATCCATTTTCTCATATTTTTTTCAACATTTAATGGACTCGTGCTTTTGTTAGTACAGGTATGGAAAATTCCGACACAAGCCATACCCCACAGCTTCAAAGGCAGTCTGAGTTGCTGTGCCTGACAATCCATTGTTCTGGGTTGAATCTGTCAATGGGCTTCTTTTAACTCAGGCTGATCTTCAGCTGATAGATGTGACTACACCACACTTGAAGCCCATCCAACTTGCCATGATGAGTCACAGCTTATATTTAGGAAAACCTGGGTTCAAATCCTGTTCCATACTTTCTCACTGTATTACTCTCACAAATGCCCCTCTGAACCCATTTCCTCCTCTGTCACATAGGAATAATAGTAGTACCTGCCTTAAAAGATGTTGTGAAGATCAAGTGAGATGTATGGAAAGCACTTGAAATCTTAATGTGCTGTTTTAAAATACCACTGTGATATATCATAGCAGGACTTTCATGGAGACTTGTATATTTCTTGGAAATACTCTATTTTGTCTATGTGATGTATATTTTTTCTAGGCTCTTATTCTGGTTGGTTTATTTTTAAGCATTTTTAAAAACATTTATTTTTATAATTTTATTTTATGCATCTAAAAGTATATTAAAATTATGGAATTTTTGAATTATATTTAATTTTTTTCATTCAATAAAAATCTACCTTGTCTCCCTCCAGTTGAGAATAAAAGAAACACAAAACCCCTTTTATAAAAGCATATAGAGAAACAAAACAAATGTCCACATTGGCCACGTCCAAATATATATACACACATATATATATGTATGTGTGTATATATCTATATCTATATCTATATCTATATCTATATCTATATCTATATATATATATATATATATATATATATATATATATATATATATATATATATATAATGTCTCATGTCTCCTTCTGCACTCTCAGTTCTTCACCTCTTAGTCAGGAAGCAGGATAGCCTGTTCTATCATTAGTCCTTTGGAATCCTGGTTGTTCATTACACTCATCGGGATTTCTTAATTCTTTCAAAGTTGTTTGTCTTTACCATATTGTTGTCATTATGTACATTGTTCTTCTGGTTCTGTTCACTTCATTCCACATCAGTTCATACAGGTCTTCCCAAGTTTCTCTGAAACCATTCCCTTCATCATTTCTTACAACACAGTAGTATTCTGTCACATTTATATACCATAACTTGTTCAGCCATTCACCAGTTGATGGGTATTCCCTTCAATTTTCCATTCTCTGCCACCTTAAAAAGAGCTATCAACATTTTTGTACATTCTTGGGGTTAGTTTTGTTGAGGATTACTCTCTCCCTTAAACTACCCTCCTTTTAATTCCCCCTTCTCCATTTTCTCCTTCCCCTCTTATTTCCCCATTAAGTGAAATGTATTTCTGTACTCAGCTCTGTGTGTGTGTGTGTATGTGTGTGTATGTGTGTGTGTTTGTATTCTTCCCTCTTTTGATCAGTTTAGATGAGAGCGAGGTTCAGATGTCAGCCATTCTTTCTACCCTCTCCTCCTTGTTTTTATAGATTTCTACCTATGCACCCTCATTAAGCGTAGTAATGTTCCCTAACCTTCCTTTCTCTTGCCTCACCAGCCCAACATAGTCCTCTTTCCCTCTTTCCATTCTTCTTGGAATGCTATGTCTTGACTCTCAATACCTAACAGAGCCATTCCCAGGCCCTCTATAACCCCTGATGAGGTCAGAGGGGCACACCCATATACTTTGTCCTCAGCCCAAAATAGAAGGTGCAGTGGAGGAGCTCTGGACTGAGAGTAAGAAGCCTTGTATTTAAATCCTAGCTTGGGCAAATCAAGTCAGCCAGTATTTATGAAGTGCCTGAGGTGTGCTGGGCCCTATGCTAAGTGCTAGGGATGCAAAGAAAGGCAAAAGTCCTTGCCCTCAGCAAGCTCACAGGGCAGAGAGCATGCAGACTGCTATAGGCAAATGAGCTACAGATGAAAAACTGAGGAGAGCCGAGGGGAGGCACCAAGATGAAGTAAGAAAGCTGGGAAAGGCTTCTCAAGGAAGTTGGGACTTGACCTGGAACTTGAAAGGACGTGGCCAATGTGGACATTTGTTTTGTTTCTCTATATGCTTTTATAAAAGGGGTTTTGTGTTTCTTTTATTCTCAACTGGAGGGAGACAAGGTAGATTTTTATTGAATGAAAAAAATTAAATATAATTCAAAAATTCCATAATTTTAATATACTTTTAGATGCATAAAATAAAATTATAAAAATAAATGTTTTTAAAAATGCTTAAAAATAAACCAACCAGAATAAGAGCCTAGAAAAAATATACATCACATAGACAAAATAGAGTATTTCCAAGAAATATACAAGTCTCCATGAAAGTCCTGCTATGATATATCACAGTGGTATTTTAAAACAGCACATTAAGATTTCAAGTGCTTTCCATACATCTCACTTGATCTTCACAACATCTTTCTCTTGAAAGTGAAGGAGGTGAACTGAACGATCTGTGAGGGCCCTTTAATTCTCTGGATGGGATAGCTAGATGGCACAGTGGACCTGTGTCAGGAGGACCTGAGTTCAAATGTGACCTCAGACACTTGACACTTACTAGCTGTATGACCCTGGGCAAGTCACTTAAATCCAATTGCCTCACCAAAAAGCAAAATAAAACAAAACAAAATTTCTCTGTGGAGCAGAGGTGGTGTTTTCAGTTCAAGTTGAAAGCTGGCAAACATCACTACACAAGATTTCTTTTTTTCACATTGAAACCCTTTTTTGAATTTTTTTTAAGGAATACTGCATTGTGCAAGATAACTTAGAGTACAGACAGACATTTCTTGAGTCCCTTCACCTCTTTTAAACTGAGATGCTAACCTGCACTTTGAACCTAGACACGCATTCTATGTTCACAAGTCATTGCGGACTTTGCCTTGCTCTTCCTTGTTGATCGAGATACCAAGTCCATGTCTTTCACACAGTTTGTGACCTTTCATTAATATCTTTACAATTCTTTATAACCTCTTGATTACTTGATAAGAGGCAGTAACCTATATAGTGGAGAGAGGATCGACCTACCTATTGTAGGGTCAGAAAATCCTGGGTTCAAGTTCTGCTTTAGCCACAAACTGGGGGTGTGATCACGTTTAAGTCACATTTCCAGACAACTGTTAGTCTTTAGACAATTCGATTCAGAGGAGCTGCTGATCTACAACAGAGGGAGTTTACACATTGAGAGTTCACCAGACTTTTAAAATTACAGGTCCAAATCCCTCCAAAAAACCAGCAATCTGGCAGCCACACCCACCTTCCTTTCCCTTCTCTCACTAATCCTTTGTCTTACCACATTGTTACTTTTCCTTACTTACAAACTACTTCCTCCTCTTCTATCCTTTTCCCCCTTCAGATTGAGCTCTTTATGTTCAACTGTCTTGTTCTTCAACTTTTCTTCAAATTCTCCAAAATGTCTCTGCCCCAGATTCTGTCTCTGAGCTCTTCATATCACTTTCTTGGTTTCCTTTTCTTTACTCAGCTTGAGTATTTCTCTTTCTCCAGCCCCTTAAATTCAAGTCAGCCTACTACGTGCCAGGCATTGTGCGAAGTGCTGGGGGATACAAAGAAAGGCAAAAACCAAAACCACAGTCCCTGACCTCAAGGAGCCCACAATCTAATGGGAGGGACAACTATTCAAACAACTATGTACAAATAAAATGTATACAGCCTAAAATGGAAATGCTCTAGGAGGCATGGCACTAAGATTTTGGATTGGGAAAGGTCTCTTGTAGAAGGTGTAATTTTAGGTGAGACTTGAAGGAAGAAGCCATGAGGTGTAGACGTGGAAGGAGAGCCAGTGGGAAACAGCTAGTGAAAAGGCCTGGTGTTGGGGCCAGGACTAGCAAGGAGGCCAGTGTCCCTGGGTCACAGAGTATATGTGCAGGGGTGGAGTGAGGTGGAAGAAGACTCGAAAGATAGGAAGGGGCCAGGTTATGAAAGGCGTTAGAAGCCAACCAAGGGATTTTATTTTTGATCCTGAAAGCAATAGAGAGCACTGGACTTGATTGGAAATGGGGAGTGAAAAGACTTTAGGAAGTTCAGTTAGACAGCCACGTGGAAGATGGACCTGAATGCGGAGAGGCTTGAGGCAGGGAGACCAACCAGCAGCCATTTAATAGTCCATGTGGGAGATGATGAGGGCCAGCACCAAGACGGAGGAAATGTGAGAATTCAAAATTCAAAAGATTCAAAAGATATTTTGAAGGTAGACATGATAGGACTTTATAACTGATTGGATATGGGGGGAAGGAGGAAAGAGAAGGAGGAGTCAGGGATGACACTTTGGTTACAAGCCTGGATGCTTGGAAGAATGGTGGTGCCCCTCAATAGTAATAGAGAACTTAGAGAGAAAGGAAGGTTTGGGAAGAAGGATAACAAATTCGGTTTTGGATGTGCTGATTTTAAAATAGCTACAGGACATCCAACTGGAGGTGTCCAGTAGGCATTTGGAGATGTGGGACTGGAGATCTCGAGGTATATAAAGGCTGGACAAATAGAACTGAGAATAATCTGAAAAGAATTGGTAGTTGAATCCATGGTAGCTGTTGAGATCACCAAGTGAAATAATATGGTGGGAGAAGAAAAGAAGGCCCAGGACAGTGCCTTATGCCATACAACCCTCCCCTTAAGAAGAGGGAATTAGAGAATGTTGAGCAGTCAGATCCAAAGAGAAGGCATTAATGGTTATGAACATGGAAACACACCTCTAGTGGAGGATCCCGGGGATCTGTTCTTGGTTCTGCATTAACATTTTTATCAGTGATTTAGATAAAGATGTACTTGATACATTTATAAAATTTGTAGATGAAACAGGGAGGATTAGTTTTGAGTTTTTGTTTTTTAAGTAAACAGTATAAAATGGAAATTCATGGTTTTATGTTGAATCCTCATCTTATGTTATGCTGTGTAAATGGAAATTTTCCCTTTTTTTTGTCTTTTTGTATTTAAGTTCAAAATGAGTAAAAAAAAATTTTAAAAGTAAAAAGGAAAGAAAGAAGATAATACTACTTCATTTAACTGATAGTCTGGATAAATTGCAATTCCATGGGTATATTTCAATAGATTTTGACAAAATTATAGTAAAAGTTAATATGGAAAAACAATAGGACAAAAATATAAAAAATTGTTTGAGATAATTGGGAATTTTTTTTCTAGAATGTTCACCTTGTCATCTTAGTTTTGTTTTTCTCTTGTGTATTAGTTTATTTTTATATAATCAGTTATTATATATTTATATAATCAGTTTATTACTGTTAATTTCTTCTGTTGTTTAAATAATTAAGAAAATTTTCCCATCTACAACTGGGATACATGTAAACACTATTCTGTTTTCTTAAAATATTGTTTAAAAAGTACCAAACTCTTTGACATCTTTGGAATTTATTATGGCATATGATGTTAGGTATGGGTGTAAATTTATTTTTCTGTATATTGGTATCCAGTTTTCCCTCTGCCATTTGCTGCATTGTTGTTTGTTTTCTATTGCTTCATTTTACTTGATTTGTCACATGTTAAACTCTTGTAGTAGTTTGAATATTCTTCTACGGGCCTTATTCTCTTCTAATAGTCTATTTTCATATTTTAACCCAGTACCAGACCATTTTAACAGTTGTTGAAGTGATCTTTCCCTCATCTGATCCCCTAGTACTTTGTTCCTCTTATGTACTTATTATACTTTATATTTTATTTATCTATATGTATCTTATCTCCCATAACCATATCATAAAGTCCTTGAAGGAAATTATATACATTAGGCTCTTAATAAATCATTTAAATGAATGAATGAATGCATATTTGGATAGTTATTTATATCATATAGTTTGTTAACTATAATAAAGTCTAGCTGGGAGATAGTTAAATTTATATTCTAATGACGCATTCCCCTATCCCTCTGCTCCCCAGTGTTCTGGACTGGAATCTGGGAATTTGTGTCATTTTATAGTTATCCCATTTCTTCTCTTCTCTTGTGGCACAGCGGGGGCAACAAGCGTAAGCTGAGCACTGGTATTGCCCTGATTGGAGAGCCATCAGTTGTCTTCCTGGATGAGCCATCCACTGGCATGGACCCTGTAGCCCGGCGCCTGCTCTGGGACACAGTGACACGAGCCCGTGAATCTGGCAAGGCCATCGTCATCACCTCCCACAGGTAGAGGAAGAACAGTGGGAAGTGGTAGAGGTGGTAGAAAGAGCATCTGATTGAGGCAGGAGATGGATTCCAATCTCAAGCACAGATCCCAAGATAGGAAATCATTTCCCTGGTCCTTGGTTTATCTTGTTTGAAAATGAGGAGTTTGAACTGTTCTATAAACTGCAATAGGGACGAAGATGAGGGGTGGGGACAGGACTGAGGACATGGATTAGTACGTGTTAAGGAAAGAGGAAGGGTTATAAGAAACTGACAGAGAACTAGTCAGGCTCTTCCAGAAAGGACTGTAGGAATGTGTGCTATGGGATGGAATAACAGTGGGAGAAATTTCCACTAGATTTGGGTGACCGTTCCTTCCATTTTATGCTGACTGCTCTAATTCTAGTGATATATCACCATTCACCAGTCTTAGCTCAGGGCCTGCACTACCGAGCCTGTCCTCTGTAAAGATGGGAACCCAAACCTTCACTCTCTGAGAGAAGGATTCTCTAGTCCTTTCTCCCTCTAACCCCTTGCTTGACTTTCCAGCATGGAAGAGTGTGACGCTTTGTGCACCCGATTGACCATGATGGTGAATGGGCAGTTCAAGTGCCTGGGCAGCCCACAGCATCTCAAGAGCAAGTTTGGAAGTGGCTACACCCTGTTAGCCAAGGTTAAAAGCGACAGGCAAGAAGGCAAAATGGAGGCCCTGGAGTTGTTCAAGATGTTTATCAACCAGACTTTCCCAGGTACCGGAACTGAAAGCTGTAGAGCCCCTGCCCAGACGTGGAGTCCTCAAAAAGCAAGGGGGCTGGCACTGAGATTCTTAACCAGTCTTGTTCAGCCCCTGTAGCATTTTCCCTTTCCCTGAGAATATGCCTGGTGATTTCTTCAGGTATCTATAAACTGATTCTCCGTAGTCAGGCTTATTTTGCACACTGCCTGATACATGCTTTCATCTCCCTAGGGAACTAAAACTCGCTGCTATTGGCAGACGCCGAGTAGCCTTGAGAAGAAAATGTGTCGCAGAATTAAACTGCTTAGGGGCTTCCAAAGCCAAAGAGAAAAAAAGGATCCTCTGCTCTTTTATTAACAGTCCTCTACTTCCCCTCCCCCTACCCCCACCCCCCCAGCCCCGGTCACGTGGGTGTAACAGAGGCGCTCCTCAGCTTCAGCCTCTAGCAGGTTCATTCTGGATCCAGGCAGATTTCAGAAGGGTGGCAGGCAGCAGAGACCACAGATAAGGGGGTCCTATTACTTTATTCTCTTGTCTCACGTTCGCCGGCAAGAAGGGGGTGGAAGCGTCTGCCCCCTACACAGCACCCTCAGCATTCCTCATTCCTTATTCCGCAAATCCGCCTTACTGGCCAGTGCCCCTTTAATTTGTGGAGAAACAGACAAAGGAGGCAGTATGCCAACCATGAACTCCAGCGCAAGCGCACTGGGGGTGTTTACGAGCGAAACTCAAATGTTTACATTTACTATGGTTACATAATGATGAGACAGCATAGAGCAGGCGCAGAGTGGTTGTTTCATGGGCCGTGATGCTGGGAACTTGTATCAAACAAATCCATATCATAGCACTTTACATACAGTAGATAATTGAATTGACTGGATTGTTAACACTGGGTTGAAAACTAACCCTGAGGAGAAAGCCCTGCCCACTGTGTCCCTCACCAGAGCTGTCTCTTTACCCCTGGCAGGGAGCATACTGAAGGATGAACACCAAGGAATGGTCCATTACCACCTGCCCAGTAAGGACCTCAGCTGGGCGAAGGTGAGTGTGGGGGAACATCTTCCCAGTGTCAAGCTATAGTAATGCTACCTCCAGCAAGGGGCACCCAGGGGGAATTAAGCAGTCATGGTGGCAGATGACCTGGCCTTTGGGCATCTGAAAATGTGGTCAGTCCTCCTGCTTTCCTGAGCAGTTAGTTTGTCTTTCCTCTGAAACTTACCTTGGCAATACAGACCAAGATTTCTTAGCCTCAATTCTCTAAGATGATCTAAGTTCCTTGTACATTAAGAGCAGAGCAATGTGCTTAGCATTGCCCTTGAAAACATTTCTTTCCCTGGGAATCTTAAAGACAGTACTTTGGGAGGAAACTCCTTTCTTGTCCAAAGTCCCAGGAGTTTTATAACTTTGGGACAGCCTGTCCTTCCTTTTCACATTGCGGTCCTGGTGGTGGAGTAAAGAAGCCTTTCCCTGTCAAGCCTCACTTTAAAGCCCCTGGCATAAACAGAGAAGCAGTCCCTCTCTCCCATCAGGTGGAGGCTGCAGCAGTGACTCTGTGCTTTCCCACAGGTGTTTGGCATCTTGGAGAAAGCCAAAGAAAAATACGGACTAGACGACTATTCCGTCAGTCAAGTCTCACTGGAACAAGTCTTCATGAGCTTTGCCCATTTACAGTCTTCATCAGAAGACGAACGGTGAACAGCAGCATCCACAAAGTTGGCTTGCAGGGGGTACTTGTTAAAGGTTGTCACACAAATAAGTGACACCCTCTCACCACTTTTTATCCTGCACCTTTATTTTTAGTTGGTTCTTTTTCTATTATGGATATGATAACTAAGTATCCATAATAACAGACTTTCATACTGCTCTCAGATTAGAAATGATGAGCATGCTCTGGACAGCAGAATAGGACCTTAAGGCTCATGGTGAATTTACTTGTGAATGTAGTCATTTAAGGCAACTCAGAGCCCTTAAATACTAAGCCAGAATCAACAGTAGAGAAGCCCTCTTAAGCAGTGTGTCAAGGAGTAAGGAATTCAGGGAAGGAAAGGACAGTGCTAATCCTCACACTAGTCATTTGGCAGACCCCAAGATATCTGGCTCCATGGGAGTCAGTGGCCACCAGCCTAAAGAGATTGATAACACCATTAGAGTCCAGGAGTAAGGTGTGAAAGCAGGGAATTCTGCTTCTTATTCTCCAGAGTGACCTGAAACTGTGACCCTGATTCCAGTTAAGCAAAATACAAACTTGGGCAGAGACATGTATCCATTTTTCCAGGGTGGTGACCTCTGACTGTTGCCCTGTGTCCTAGGTGAATTAATTTACCATTCACTTCTTGCATTGGGGACCCATTTGTGGCAGGAGATGGTGCTTACCCTTCATAGTTTCTTCATCACCAATCCCTGCATGCCCCCACGATGTGTTCATGTGCACGTGTGTGATGCTATCTCTGTGTCACATTAATCATGGTGGACAAAATATTTCAGTCTTTATAAACATAGCATACTGATTGGAGGTGAGGGGAGTGGTCAGAATCTTGCACTACAGTGCCCCAGTCAGATCACATCTGCAGGTCAGTGTTCAGTTCTGGGTGGTACCGCTTCTGTGGGATGATAACTAACTAGAGTTTGTCGAGAGGAGGGGGATTTGGAAATGAGCAAATGAACATAGCTGAGGAGGCATCAGTGTGCCATAGGTGTGGTTTGAAAATTGTTATCTGCATTCTTGATAAACCCTGTTTACTTTGTTATTTTCCTACAAAGGTGCTACTGCCTACCAGAATCTTTGGGCCTTCAATGTAACACATGCGCCTTGACTTATTAAAAAATACCTACAGGCCACAGAGAACATTAAAAATATGTGCATTTATTTTAAAAAAAAGTATTGTGTCATCACTTCTTTTCTGTGTCCCTCTTGTCTTGTCCTGGGTGTTTCCACAGCTTCCCATACATCTAGTGCCAGTTTCGCAAATGAAAAATAGTAGAAAAAATAAGAAATGTTGAACCTAAAGATTTTAAGGGCTGCTATGGCCACATGTCCCTCTTAAGGCAGACCAGGTGTAATGGGTGGAAGTCACAAGGCCAAATTCAGCTTAACGTAAGGCAGAACCTATTCCACAGCTGTCTGAAGGTTGGATGACTATTAACAGGGTGGTAATAAGCACTCTGGCCCTGGGTGAAGGTAGGACCTATAAAATCCCTTCCAACTCTGATTATAAGGTTGAATCAGTTTGATCTGTTGCAAGTTATCAGCGTCCCTACTGAGCCTAACTGAACACTGCAGTTTGGCCCCGTATGTAGCATGGATCTGGTGTGATACCGGCAGCCAGCATCCACGGCCCATAAACACCAACACTGCGCTTACGCCATGCTGATACATCATTATATAACCAAAGATAATGTAAACTTAGAAGCTTAGCCCATGAACACCAACACTGTGCTTGCTCCGTGCTGATGCGTCATTCTACAACCAACGATAACATAAACTTATGAGCTTGTTGGCACGCTGCCTTCTTTGTGTTTTTCTATATATCAAACGAGCACTGGCCAATGGGTGAGGATGCTCCTACTCCTTGTCTCGGCCTGCCTCTAAGAGAATAAAGTGATTTAACGGATGCTCTGCCCCCCATCTTGTCTCGACTGGCTGTCCCGAGAGAATAAAGTGGTATTGACCCCTTATCTACAGCTCCACTATCTTCTTTTGGTTGGGCCAAATCCAGTGTGGATCTGTCTGGAGCTGAACTCCTGCATTACAGGCCCTAAACAGAGATCGTGAAGTTCACCACCCCTTTGAGTCCTTTCTGTGAGAGTAGACTCGAAGGGAATGGCTTCCCCTTAGCACATTTTACCCCAGTCCCTTTGTTTATACTATCCAGTTTCAGAAGTAAAATGCAAATTCTTTCCTTCCCTTGTTACAAAACCCACAATGGTAAGGAACTTCCAAAATCTAGGAAGGGACAACACAGGCAGTGGACAAGCCAATTCATTTCAGAGGGAAGGGCCTGTGGGTATGACTAGGAAGAGTGTTGTCATTCAAAATTTTTAACTTTTCTTCTAACTCAAAAGCCAGCCAAACTGTCCCCCAGTGTCCACCCTTCCTGCAGCAGAGGTGGCAACAGGCTTCAACAAAGATGTTCCATGGCTATCGTTGCTGCCAACTTAAACACTTGGAAATTTTCCCTTTTCTGGCCTCCACATGTCACCTTATATCACCCACACCCCTCCCATTCTTAGCCATCATGATAATGGTTGAGTGAAACATAGGTCCAGATGGCTGGAATGTTCTCTCGTCTCCTGCTATCCAAATCCTTCCCTTTCTTCAAGGCTTAGCCCAGAGGCCACCTTCTCCATGAAACTTTCCCCACATCAACCCAGTCTCTAACTTTTATAGTATTGAATAAAGAGAAGGCAATCTTCCGATTCAGTGCCACTTCTACCCTGTACATTTTAATTCCCTTCAATCCTCTTAGGAAGATTTTGGTACATTCATTATTCAGCATGCTTATCATGTGCACTATTTTGACAAACTGCACGTTTACGAGCAATCCTCCCGACTGGACGAACGACATAGAGTACACTTTCACAGGAATACATACATTTGAATCACTTATAAAAATCATTGCCAGAGGTTTCTGTTTAGATTTCACTTTTCTCCGGGATCCATGGAACTGGCTTGATTTCACTGTCATTACATTTGTGTTTGAAACAGAATCTCTAAACCCAGGCAATTTTCCAGCTCTTTGAACTTCCAGACTCTTGAGAGCTTTGACAATGATTGCTGTAATTCCAGGCTTGAAGTATTGTGGGGACTCTGATTCAGTCAAGTGAAGCTTTCTGATGTCATGATCCTGTGTTCTGCCTGAGTGTGTTTGCTCTCATTGGACTACAGTTGTTTATGGACAACCTGAGGAATGTGTACAACGACCTCCCACTAATTCCTCTTAGGAGGAACACACTATTGAAAAGAATATTACCAAGGATTACAATGGCACCCTTGTGAATGAAACCATCTTTGAGTTTGACTGGAAATCTTACATTGAAGATGAAAGTAAGAATTACTACTGTGATTGCTTTATACAATAGACAGATGAACAGATAGATAGATGATGTTAAATTGCTTGTCTGCCTACTATCCAGACTTGAAAAGTACAAATGGGGATAAAATAACAGGATGTATTCTTTTTTAAAGATTAATTAATCTATTTTAAAAGATTTATGAATAAAAAAATAGGTCCACTTTGTTGTAGAGCTGAGCAGAAGAGTCCAAGCTTATAACCCCTCTTGGAGGAAAAAAAAACCAAACATTTCTGTGCTTCAGAGTGAGACAAAAATAAAAACACTTCACTTTCTAAAAATTCCATAGATATTTAGTAAAAGACAAACCTCATTATATCTGAGACTGCCCTCCCTGGTGCTTCTCCATTAAGGATGGCACCCCTTTAGGTTAATGATAAAGGAGCCAGTCTGGTGGCTTTAGGCCAGGAGGGCAAACCAAAAGTGGGAAACACTGAAAGAAGACATCCTTTGATTGAACTTCAGCCAGGAGAACACAGATGTGGCACTCTAGCTAGCTGGTAATAGAAATTAGTACACTCCTTCAAAGAACTGGGAGACAAAGAGGCTTGCTGCCCCCAGCACCATCCATATCACCATCACTAAATGGCCTGTGGTAAATAGTTGGGCATTCCTACACTGGCCTTCCTCCAGCTTCACACTCATCAGGCTCCCTTTGTTACGGGAAGTCCCAGCTGGCACGATGCACCACATGGACACTTAGGGAGTGGGAAGAACATTGATTTCACCGGTATAGGGACTCCTGGCTGAGAAAACCCCTTCTGCAGGTCAGCACATTCTCTGCAACTTCAGAGTCCTGGAGAATTGTTCAGAGCACTGACTCACTATATAAATATAGCTAAGTGACTTATGCAGGGACACCAGCCAGGTATGTGTCAAGACATAAGAGCTTGAACCCAGGTCTTCCTGCCTTCAGGGTGGCACTCTAGTCACAAGGCCACACTATTTACTTTATTTAATTCAACTGACTTACAAATTAGGCCCCCATCAGTTTGATTTGCACGAGTCAGTCCCTGGGGTGACAAGAACTCCTAGGTGAAAGGTGATTAACATTTTCCTACAAGGCTGAGCCCCAGTATTGACTAGGCTTGTTCAGAAGTGACAGAGGGTCACAGACCCATTAGTGATCTATTACAGTAAAGACAACAGACACAAAAATGAAGACATGACAATCGGATTGTTCTCATTTAACTATTTAATGACATAGATATGGTTTCTAGACTTGGAAACCTGGGGAGACTATACTGTCTTCTCTTGTCTCCTTGTTTCTACTTTCATAATGATAACAAATACATTACATCAGCAAAGTAACTTCCTGAGTCCTTCGGGACCCTATTCCTGTCCAAGCTGCTGGGCAGACTGTTTCATGTGCATAAAAGCCAGCTGTCTGCCCTTCTTCCACCCAAAGATGACAACCTCCACAGGTAGAATGGGGATCCCACCTACCCATCAGACCTGTCCAATGCAGAGTAGATTTATGTCACGTTAAAACTATCAATGCCTGATGGAAAAGCATCTCCATCATGAGAACATCTATTCCCTTACAATGATCCTCGCTGGTCTTAGTATCATAGAGCTACTGTTCCCCCACCACCAACTATGTCTTTAATCCTGGCCCCACACTGTGCTCTAAGCCTTGGAACATGCTTAGTAGTCACCAGAAAACCATGACTCATCCCCTATCTTAAAGAAACACCTGAGCCCTTCACTCACGTATAACAGCATATGAAGGTAAAGAAACTTACTCTCTCAGAGTCTAAGCCCCAGGAAAGGAAAAAGTCATAAAGCCTCCCTTGGTCACCTGCTCCCAAATCCCAGGCTTTTCTGTAATTAAACCACCCCCACCCCACCTCCAGCACCCTCCACAGGCCCTGAAGCTGGGCAGGGTTTGTCGGGAGAAGGCACCAACACAGGCAAAGGATAAGGGCTACAGCCTGTGTGTTGCACATAGACATAAGGGTCGGGGGGGGGGCAGTGTTTCCTGCCCACACCTCTCATTTTATGAGGGCTGTCAGCTGAGATGGTACCAAGACACACACCCCTTATTCCCCAAAGCTGAAGGTCCTGCCCCTTCAGGCGTGTCACACCTATGTTAGAGGGTCAAAGAAGTTCCATCTTAAATTGGTGGAAATTAGGTCCTTCAGGAGTCCCAGGGCTCCCTAAGTCCTGGCTTTCCCTGGTCCCAGGACCCTGACTCTGGGCAGGCCCTGTGAGCTGCTGCAGAGTCCCCAACACCTGCTGTTGCCAGCGCTGCTGCTGCTCCTGCTGCTGCTCCAGCCGGCTCTGCTGCCTCATCAGCACCTGCAGCACCTCCAGGACCTGCTGCACAGCCCGCTGCATTGCATCCAGCTTCTCAGCCAGGCCCTGGGCACTGACCCAGGGCACACGGGTCTGAGTGCCCATGTCCTGAACCTACGGGGAGAAAAGACGGTGTGAGGCTGGAAGGCAACAGCAATGAACAGCACTCTCCATCCCTCCGAGCGGCAGCAGCTCAGAACCTGGGTTATATGGGACTCGTGAGGATTTCTAGTTCAACCCACACATAAGACACAAATATTCACTATAATTTACCCAACAAGGAGGCATCCAAGCTCCCTTTAAAGACCTCCAGGGGCAGCTAGGTAGCACAGTGGATAGAGCTCTGGCCTTGGAGTCAGGAGGAACTGAGTTCAAATATGACCTCAGACACTGGACGCTAGCTGTGTGGTCCTGGGCAAGTCTTACTTAACCCCACTGCCTAGCCAAAAACAATTAAAAAAAAAAAGACCTCCAATAAGGGGGACCCAAGCACTTACAGAGAACTGGGTAGGAAGGTTTTTTCCCCTAAAATCAAGTCATATTCTGCCTACCTTCTGCCCTTTAATCAGAATTACAGCTAAAAAGAGAATTGAGGTTCTTCCTGAAGAGAGAGGAGTTATAGGCTCTAGAAAGGAACAAGCAGCTTGTCTCCCCCAATTAACAATTAAATAGAGCCCCAGAAGCTATTAGAGGAGAGACTGTCCCATGAGGATCAGGAAAAGAACACCACAGCAGTGCTCGGTGACCAGCGGAGGGGCACTAGGACAGCAATGAGAAAGAGGTTTCCTATTGTCTGCTTGAGGACCTGTATCCGAGTCATAAGAGCAAGCTTCCCACTTCTGGTGATTAATAAAACCAACAAATGATCTTCACGGAAGAAACCCAAAAAGTCTTTGCAATAATTACAAAGTCTTGGGCAAGAAACTAAAGACCACAGGGGCACTGGTTCTGTTTTCTTCACTGCTGTATAACTGAACACAAGGGATGCAAAAGAGAAAAACTAATTTGGAAGTTAACAATGCTGACTAAGAAGGTCAAATCTGAGAATGGAATTTGGATGTCTGGACCATGGCTTGAAATGTAAAGAAGACAGATTACTCATCAAAGATACAACACAGCTACAAAGGCTGCTAAGAAAAATAGCCAGGTATGAAAATTTAATCAAAAGGGCTTTAATGGATGAGAGAGAAGATATATGTATAATGCCCTCTTATCTCTTAACTGCCTTAGCAGAAGCAGGAATAACAGGAAGAAGTTAAAAAGCTCGAAATTCAGGAAAAACTTCCTAACAATTAGAGCTCTTCGAATATGTCAAGAAAACCCCAAATAGGGTCACAAAGAGTCAGACACAAATGAAAAACAACTGAACAACAACAAACATGGAAATGGACTGCCTCAGGAATTGGTGGATTCCCCACACCTTAGAGGTTTTCCTGCAGAGGCTGGGTGATTGTGTTGGTTATATTATCTTGGAGACTCCTTTAATGTATGGGTTGGACTACAAGGATGCTGTCTTTTCCAATTCTCAAGTTCTATAATTGTCTTCTTGAGCCAAGCAGCACAAACCAAATCTCTCATCCACAAGACAGCCCTCAAATACCTGAAGGCAGTCATCATTACCTCTAAGTAAACCTTCTCCAAGTTAGTATCTCCCAATTCTTTTAATCACCTCTCCACAGCAGCTTTCCCCCGCCTGACGTGCTCATGTGTCCCTAATTCAAAAACTTTTCTCCATACACCCTGCTACCATCTCTTCTCTTCCATCTGCTGACAACATTCTCAAGAGGTTCACCCATGCTTGCTGCTTCCACCTACCTTATCTTTCCGTTCCTTTATCTACTCACATGTGGGTTGGAGTCCTTAAGGTCTGGAAGGCCAGCGTTGGTCCTAGGAGACTGCACTTCTACCAGGAGAGGGAGAGAAGAGCTAGTGCCCCTCTGTGCACTCTGGACAGTGGCCTGTGAAGGAAGCAAGCAGTAACATCCTCAAGTCCCTTCCCCCTCCAAGATGGAGAAAAAACAGGAACAGGGGGATATAGTACAACCCCTGGCTATAATGGCCCATGCCTCCCTTAACAAAACAGAAAGGACTGCCACCCCCAGATGGGGGCAGCCTTGGAGGCTAGCCTAAGTCTGAGGCCTACATTCAGGGCCCCTTCTCATATAAATTTAGTTAAACTTGGAACCACCTACTGAGGAATCTATCTCCACTACCCTCTCTACTCCCATTTTACAGGCAAGGCAACTGAAGCCACAGTAACAAAATGCTTTGTGCAAGGTTACATAACTAATTCCACTACTTTGACTCCAGGCAGCAGTAAGACAGAAGGCATGGACCTCTTTTCCTGCTTCCTGCCCTTCCCCCATCAACACCAACCCTGGGATGCCCTGTTCCTTACTTTCTTGTGGAGGAAGATGGCTCTATCCACAATCTTCTTCTTGACAATGAGGGCAGAGTTCCGACCCCGACTCAGTGGATATGGGGAAGCAGGCTTGCTCACTGGACCAGGAGTTCCCAGACCAATCCCAATATCACCTATAAATAAAACAAGATGAGCAGCTGCAGAAAGGCAGGTGGATCCCTTTCTCCAGAGTCTAATGCCATGCTTCCTACTTCTATAGCCTGATCTCCCAGCACTAATAGGCAGACCAAGTGAAGGAATAAATGAGTGTTTTCTTTCCCCAGAAAAAAACACGAGCCATTCTTCTTAGATAGCCAGGAATAGTGAGAACACTTCCTAGAAATTCTTGATAAGTGGCAGAGTTGGGGGAGGTAATGAGACATGAAAGTTCCCTTGTGTCCTACACACTGATCTACGAAGAAGCTGGAACGTTAAGACTAAGGAGAAAAAAGGCCTGTTTTATATACTGCATGTCATTGGTGCTGAATGATATAGAAAGAACATCACAATAGTCAAGTCCTTCCCTGCCTCCTACCTACTCCAACAAATCAGGTTACAGGGAGCCTAGGGTAGGACCATAAGCTCTAAAACTGAAGAGGTGCCTTAGGGATCACCTGGCCCACTCCACTCATTTTACAGATGAGGAAACTGAAGGTCAAAGAGGGCAAGTGATTTGCCCAAGATAGAATTCAGCAGAGCCAGGCCTCACGTAGGTCTTGACTCCAAACCAATGTTCTACGTCACACTAGACTGCCTTCCTAAAAGGGGAGGACAATTAACCTGAGAACAGCTCTCTGCCTGAGGCCTAGATCAGAGAAGAGGATGCCTGCTCAGCAGATGCCCAGCACCACTAGGCCAGTCTTCTCCTAGACCAGGGGTGGGAACCTGTGGCCTTGAGGCCACATGTGAAATTTGGATTCAGTCAAAGGGCTGCACCTGAGGACCTAGAGGGCCACATGTGGCCCACCCCTGTGTCCTAAGCACTTGTTGCCTTGTAACTCAAGCAGTGTCAGGCTAAGAAAACTGGCCTGACTTGTCATACTCTCATTCTGCTCTGCAAAGCAGCCTCCCCACTACCACATACTAGATTATGGGAGACAGCCAACACGTAAGCCAGGGTGGAAGAGGGAGAAGGGGAAGGTAATATCACCATGACTTTTCCCAAAAGATAAAGGAGAGTTCTTAGAGTAACTTAAACTGGAAGAGGGCTTCACTCTTCCAGAAGGTCAGAAATCCAGTGGACATACTCTCTTGCTGGACAGAGTACTTTTGTGGGACACAGCCACTAACACAGACCATAAGGCCCAGGAAACTTACTATTAGCAGGTGCCTGGGGAACCTCATCGGAACAAGTATCTTTGGGGTGGGCTCCACTCCCCTGACACAGAGATGTCACGCTGACAATCCTAATGCCCTCTTTGCCGTCCCAGCTCTGACCAGCTCCAGACTCTCCCCTGGGGCCAGCTGGCTGGCTTTCCAAGGACTCCTTTGGCTTCTTGTTAGACACGACCACTAAGACAGGCCTGTAAGGCCCAGGAAGCTTACTGTTAGCAGGTGCCTGGGAAACCTCACTGGAACAAGTATCTTTGGGGTGGGCTCCACTCCCCTGACACAGAGATGTCACGCTGACAATCCTAATGCCCTCTTTGCCGTCCCAGCCCTGACCAGCTCCAGGCTCTCCCCTGGGGCCAGCTGGCTGGCTTTCCAAGGACTCCTTTGGCTTCACCTCATTCTCTTGCAACAAGTCCCAGAGTTGCTCATCCTCCCAGCCAGCCCGACTGAGCGCCAGCTGCCGGCTGTTCGGGTCCCTGGGAGGGAGAGAATGGTTGTTGCCAGGTAGGGGCCTGGGATCCACATTCTTTCGCTTCAAGAAGAGATAGATAGCCTGTGGTGTGACACGAATATTGTCAAGCTCCAGGACCTTCTTGATTTTTCGAAAACTCAGCCCTGCTTTCCGCAGCTCTACAATTCGCTTCTTGGCATTGTCATCTAGGCGACCCATGACCCTGGCCTGCTAAGGCTAGAGTACATCCAGGGTCTCACTCCTAAGGAGTCCCTTGCCCTGTCTGATGTCTGTCACGCAGTATGCCCCAAAGCAGCAGCCTGTGTGGAGACATATGCATACACACAGGCAGCCTTTGGAGAAGCACAGAGGAAATTCCCGGGGCAGAATTCATCAAGAGGACCCCAGTCTGATCCGTCTTCATCCTGCAAAGCAAACACAACTCATCAGCCCCACCTTGGCTCACCCTGTCACCTTCCTCAGATGACAGTCTAGTCCCTAATACACAATGGATGGCTAAGTTCACTTTTTCTCCACCATCTCTGCCCTTTATATCCAAATACTCCACTGGGGACCAATCTGAAATCCTCATGGACAGCTTCTCTCTCTACGTGATCTTAAGGCCATTCCCTCTCAACTTCCCTAGCAGACTGTTCCTTCAATCATCTCTATCTCTTGATCTCTCTGTATCCCCTGGTTCTTTGCCTGCTGCTTTCAAGTACACACAAGCCTGCCCCATACCTTCACTATACCAAACCATCTATGCTTAAGCTACAGTCTAATCTCTCCCCTGATTTTCTCAGCCAAACTCCTAAAAAAGATGTTTATATTCATTACCTCCATCACCTCTCTTCAATTCTTTGCAATATGGCTTCTGGCCTCATCACGTAACAAAAATTGCCAATCTGATGTTTTTCAGTCCTCATTCTTTTTTGACATCTCTGCTGTACTTGTCACCACTGATTGTCCTCTCTGGATTTTCATGACCTTACTTTCTCTTGGTTCTCAGGCTCCTTTACTGGCTCATCATCCATATTATGCCCCTTAACTGTGGGCCCTTTTCTATCCACTCTCTCCTCATGGGACTATGATCTTTAATTCATATGACTAACTCATTTATATAGCCAGCCCTAGTCTTCCCCCAGAGCACTGGGGGTGGGGACCATACCACCCACTGCCATTGGACATTTCAAACTAGATATGCCAGAGACATCTCAAACTCAACCTGTTCAAAAACAGAACTCATTATCTTTCTCCCAAAAAAACCCACCCCTCTTCTGAGCTTCACTATTTCCATGGAAAGCATAATCATTTTCCCAGTCTCCCAAATTCAAAACCTAGCCAAAGACTTGGTTCTCACTCTCACCCCATACAATTACTTTGCTAAGTCTTCTGAGTCTATCTCCAAAGCATCTTTCTCATCCATCCCCTTCTGTTTACCCTGAGAATCACTCTTATTACCTCTTGTCTAAACTGTTAAAATGGCCTCCTGATTGGTCTCCCTCCCTCAAGTCCCTCCCCATGACAATCCATCCTCCACACGGTTGCCAAAGAGTTTTCCTTAACTGTAGATATAACCATGACACTACCCTACTCCACAAACTACACTGGGTCCCTATTGCCTCTAAAATAAAATAAGACCTCTTGTTGGCTTTTAAAGCAAACCTTCACAACTTGGTCCCATCTTATCTTTCCATCCTCGTTATACATTATTCACTCTAAGGTCCAGCCAACCAACCTCCTTTAGGCTCCTCACACAATACTTCACCTCTCATATCTGTGCCTTTGCAAAGGCTGTCCCCCCAGTCCTGGAATGCAATAATCCCTTATGTTGTCCTCATAGAATCACTCTCTTCAAGGCACAATTGAAGCACTACCTTACCACACAAAGCTTCCACCCCAACTACTTTGTATTTTTTTATGTTAATATACAACATACGTCATGAAAAGAACGCAAGCTAAATAGGAGTAGGAGTTGTTTCTTTTTTTTTCTTTTTTTTAAATTTATATTTCCAGCTTAGTACAGTGCTTAATACCTAATGTGTACTTAAATCTTATGGACAGGTGGATGTATTTACCTGTGAACAGGCTGTATCTTACCTAGTTAAAATATTTGCAGAAGATGGAATGGCTTTATAAAGTACTTCCTGAGCAGCCCTGGAAGGCCACTAAAATTACCAAAACCCCAACCCCGGCATAGCACTCAGGGCTTTGACTGGGATTTTACTTTTTAGGAAATGCTAATAGCATTTGCCCTCTTTCAGCAGCATAAACAATTTAACCTAGCACCTAGTTAGCAAAAATAATTAGTTAAAATAGGAGGCTACCACAAGGCCCAAACATTTCCTCCTCTTACCCCTACCTCTCAGCACTCCACCCAGAGCAAAGGTGCGCTCAAGTGGTTGCCAGGATATAACACCCCTCCCTTCAGGTCCCTCTCCATCTGCTCAGTTATTATCACTAGTCAGAACACCCAAAAAAATGTCATACCACACAACCTAGTAGAAACTACTGTCCCCATCACCTGTCCTCCCTTTCCCTTTTCTTCTCTTTTCATAAAATGGCAATGATAGCAAAACCTGAAGGACTAAGAAGGCAGACAAGCACATATGTCACATTACCTCACCTTGAGGGAAGGGCTGAGCCTAGGTACCTCACTCAGGCCCAGATCCAGTCTGGCTCCTTAAAAGGATCTCAGTGTTCCCTGAAATCAGTACTAGCTATTAATTAGCAGGAGAAATACAAAATCTAAAAAGAGAACACCACAACAAAACCTAACAAATGGAGCCCTGAGTAGGTGTGGTCATGTGACCCCATCCTCACATCAAAGCTAAAAAACACAAGAAAGGCCTCCCAAGACAAACCCATGGCCTACCCAAAATAGTCTTCAATCTCTTTGGAGGAGGACAAAAGAGTTAACAAAAGTAATGTCTTTCAATCTCAAAGTGAAGTGCAACCCCTATTCTATTTAACCATGACTTCGTGGGCACAACTTCCTTTCTAACCCTAGGGTGACTGAGCCCTAATGCCCCACTGCTTTTAAACCCCCCCCCCAAAAAAAACTATGGCCACCTGCTGAAGCTTTTTCTTTTAATGTGAAATACAGCTGAGACCTCTAAAAACTTAACTGGTTAGTAACACAAGAATTTCTGGTTCAGCTTTATTTACTCATGAAAAGCATTTTCTGGCTAGTTTTAATTTCTAAAAGAGATCCCTCAGCATTTACTAACTAATCTACAAATTTGCCAAATTTCCCCCATCTGCTCTTTTTGATATGTAAATCTTTCCTCTCCATTTGCCTGCAAGAAAACTTACAAGTTTTACCTGTAAAACGTAAACCTCTACTTTTTCTTTCAGCCACTGTAAAATTCCACTCCTTTCCTTCTTGCTAATACAACTAAAGTCTATATGAGAATTCTGAAAATTCTCACTCCATGCTCACTGGTCATTTAGATACCATGAGCCTATGCTCCGGTTATTAAAATGTACTTTTCATGTTGACAGTTTTGATCATCAACGAATCCTTGAATATTCCCACACCAATATCTTGTTTGTGCACAGTCCTTTGCATTACTGTGAACTCCCAGAGAGCAGGGACTTTTTAACCTTTTTTGGTATCCTGAGCACTCAGCAGTGACTGGCACACAGTAGGCACTTAATAAAAATGCTGACTACCTTTTGAAACAGGTACAGTGTTTTGGAAAAGAGCTGGATTTAGAGTCAAGGGCCAGGAAAGTGTTGAATTTAGAGTCAGCCACGATTATGCACTGTGTGACCAGTCACTTTGCTTCCCTGCAAAACGAGAGAAGTTTGACTGAATGACCTCTAAGGTCCCTTCCAGCTCCAAACCTATGATTTTATGACCGAGGGACGAGGTGACTGGATCCAACACGTGGGAGCTAGTGAACAAATGGCCGATCAAGCCTTCCTGTGGTCTCCACGATCCAGTCCACCCCCATTTCCGTCCGGGGAGCCCCGCCTCTTCCAGGAAGCCTTCAAGGGCTTCACTTTTTAGGAAGTGCAAATCGCAGACACCCCAGCAGCAGCACTTCAGTTGGCCGCGCGTTATTAGTTAAAATAGGGTGCTGGGGAGGGGGAGAGATGGAGGAGGGGATCAGGAGCCCCTTCCAGAGCCCCCTCCCGCCCTCCAGAAGTGCTCCGCAAACACAGTTGTCACTCACTGGTCCGCCCCGGGAACGCGACTGCGGAGCAGGGAAGCGCAGGAGGGTCAGGGGAGCCTTCATTCCACGAGACCCCAACCGAGAGCTCCCATTTCGGCTTCCCTGGGAACTCTGTGCCCCGGGATCTTCAACTCTCCCGAAGTCGGGGCGGCCCCGAGCCGGAACCGAAATCCTTTTCCTAGCCCTGCGCCCAGGCGCCGTCTTCTTTGTCCCTGCTGCCGTCCCGGTAGCCGCCGAAGGGCCGGCCTCGACGCGAACCCGAGCCGGGGGGCAGCAGCGCCGGCGCCGCCGCTGCCTGTCTACCCCGGCAGCTTCTCCCCGCGAGGGGTGCGCGCTCGCGCTCGTGCTCGCGCCCGCGCCCCCGCGGCTCTGTGCGCGTGCCAGCGAAGCCGCTGAGGATGCCGGGAAGGTTGCGGCCTTAACCCCCTCGGAGCCGGAGCGCGTGAGGCTCATTCCCCTCCAAAAGCTCTCTCACGCTCTGTTCCTCGTTCCACGTATCCGTGTGGGCGTCCAGAGACGGCCTGGAAGCGGCCCTGGGGAAGGCGGAACGCCGCAGCCCCGATTTACCGACAAAGCCGTTAGGAGCCGTGGCAGACCTTAAGAAGGGCCTCACACAATCGGCTTCGGTGCCGAGGCCCGTCTCAGTAGGCTCTGGACGGCCTGCGGGAGGAGAGGTAAAGCCACAGCGCTCGCTCGACCTGCAGACGAAAGGATGGCGAACACACTCGAATAGCCGTCTTGTCCCTTTAACTGGTACGTGCTTACGTAAAAAGCCGTGCGCATTTGCGTCAACACCCTGCGTTCCGCTCCGTCTTCCCGCCCTGGCGCGTGACGTCATCTCTGGTCGCCGGAGAGTGCGGGAGGAGGAACGGGCGGCAGAGGCGGTGGACTTGGGAAGATGTAAGTGTCGAGAAGAATCCGACCCCATCCGGGGCTCTGCCTGCCCCGCGCTTGCCTGGGGCCGGCCGCCATCCCCTGGAAGGTGGATGGTGGACATGGACCAGCGCCTTAAGGGCGGAAGGAGTCCTGGATGGGCCGGGCGGTATCGCGGTCTGAGGGAGAAAGCAGGCCCCGGCCTGGCCCTAGGGGGAGGAGCCAAAGGACGGAGGGAGGGGGCCCGAGGCCTCAGGGAAGGAAGCCTTGGATGCTGGGCTGGGGAGGCGGACTGACTGGAGGTCGTGGGGGGCGCGGAGAAGGGGCTAGAGGCCCGAGCCCGGGGCAAGCCCAGGAGCGAAGGGTCAGAAACAGCGCAGGGGGAGACAGGGGCCCGAGCAGACTGGTAATCTCGGGTGTCGTGAAACTTGTGCGACAGAACCCGGCTCTTTGTGATTATTTCACGCGAAAATCGTGCAGCCTAGGCTTCCCCCCAAGTCGTCCAGATCCAATATTCAGTCGAATTGGCGTAGTTGAAAATTTAAAAAAAAAAATGAGCGTGTCTGAAGGCTTAGACTGGAGAGGACAAACTGTAAGGCGGCCCTTTAGGGAAGACGGAAGTCATTGAGGGCTTTGATTTGAAACATTTTTTGTGCGAAAGGATCCTCCAACGTCCTTTCCTTTTCGCACCTGAATTTAAGCGCCTATCAAGATAAAGTTTAACAAAATGTCTGTTAGGTGGGTGGTAATTATCTTAATAGAGGACTACTCAATCTAGTTCACCCAAGGTCCCCAGGTCTTGAAAACGTGAGCATTAAGGGGCATTTCATTGCGGCAATTGTGTGTAGGTTCTTCTAGAAATTGTTTAATTTGAGGACGAGTTTGCATTTATTTGAAAGACTCAAATGTAGAGAAATACCCTTTTTCCTCATTTGATGCGAGTGGAAGCAAACCTTTTTCCTTTTGCCATGTTCTCACACCTTACAGTTTGTCCTGCCAGCTGTTGCTTGTTAAAACAGGAACCTAGATTCAGCTGTCCTCCTGCCTTTTTCTCTCTAACCACATATCCAGGGCTGCTTGGCTCCCACTGCAAAGGTTAAGGGTTCTTATTTACACTTTGGTGCAGGCTTCTGCTAAACATTCATTCCAGGGATGGCAAGTACAAAAACAGGCGATGGACAACAATAGTATTTTTTCCCCCACATGAGATAGAGCAGTATAGGCAGGTGCCTAATATAATCAATGTACCAGTCCTAACCCAGACTGGGTTTCCAGTTTTAAGAAATGGAAATATTAAAGGAGTTGAAACAGGAGAATTAGTTCCTTGTAAATTGTAAAGGAGCTCCTTTACATTAATTAGATACAGCCAAACCAAAAAAGGACAATGGAGTAACAGACAGGAGATTCATACCAGTTTATTCTCCTCCTGAGAAAAAACACCTGCCCCCCCCCAACCAGTGCTCACTTGATTTATAGAGAAACAAAGAAGGCATTTTGCCAACAGGAGGCTCATAAGTTTACATTAACTTTGGCTGTGTCATGGTGAATTAGCATAGGGCAGGCCCAGTGAGCTGTTTACAACTTGAGCACAAATGTTTGTATTATGTAGAGTTCTGTAATGATGCAAGAGTGTAGTGGAGTTGTTTACAAGCCATGATCCTGGGAGCTAGTATCTAAAAAAGAAAAACAAATCCACCTTACATACATAAACTCAGTTACAGAATTTCACATATGTGACACCTGACTGTAAGAATTTTGAGGTTCCTCAGTAAGGGGCAGCTGGCTTGGAGGTGTCCTCAAAGCCAGGAAGAACTGACTTCAAGCCCTGCTCCTTGACACATGCTGGCTTCCTGACCTTGGCAAGTCACTTAATCTCTCAGGTGTTCTAGGCGGCTCTGTAAGTTTCAAAGAAGGTGCAACCTTCATTGTCAAAGGTAGTTTCCTCACCTGGTAATTCTCTGTGCCTGTAAAATCATGTTTGTTAGTTTTTAATCTTTGTTACAAGAGAAGGCTGCCTGGGGCAAGATATATTCAGATATCAATGTAAAAACAAAAGTATCAATTAACATATTTAAAGAGAAAGAAAGGTAAGAGGACATGAATTTTAAGGTATAATTACTTTAGCTTTTAATGTAAACAGAAACTTTAAAGTTTTCATTAGGTTGTTATGAAATTTCTGTGATACTAATATTTCTTAACCCTGGTGCTCCTATCCACTGTTATAATAGAATTTTTATGTTTAAATTATGCAAGAAACTTAGCAATGATTTAATCAAGCAGAGGTCTCCTACAGGGAGAGGCCCTATGCCTGGCTTGTGCTCTTGTCTCCTATGTGATGACTATATTGTATTCCAAAGGAATGAGGGGGGATAAAGAAGCTTTTTACCTTCCCTTGGTGAAAATGAGCTTGCACCTATAAAAGATATCTTCCTTTACCTCCCACTCCCCTTCCTCCAAGCCTGCTTTGATAAGAAAATACCAGGGTAAGGTGAAAACTCCAGACTCCTTTCCTTTAGAACCAGGAGAAAGCCTGTATGAGATGTTGAATTGCCCCTGTGATCAGCTTCTTCCTCGACCTATTTGTTCTGCAGCATTCTGCGTGAACACTCAATGTATATTGTATTAAATCCATTTGGTGTTTCTCTCACCTCTTTACCCCACCTCCACACTGCTGAATTTTTCTTTACTGCAAAGTAGATTTGTTGCCTTTGATTCTTTTTAAATCCTTTTATCTTGTTATTAGGCTGCTCTATGGAGTAAATTCGATTAGGGATCGGTTCTCAGAATCAAGGAGTTAGAAGTGAGAGCTCAGATAAGTGAGTACTTATCCAGTACTGCTTTGAACCACCTCAGAAGGGGAGAATGGATTTATCAGGAATGAAAAAGAAGAGCTTGCTAGGAGTCAAAGAAAATAATAAAAAGTCCAGCACTCGGTAATCCTTCTGTCAGCTTTTTCTAGTGCTAATTTTGGGATAGCCACTGCTAGGGATCCCTCAGGAAGGGCAAAACTTGGAATTGTTTGCTTGTTCTCAGTGAAAGCTTCCATAAACAACTGGTCATTTTGCCCTGTAATTAACTGGGATCCCTGCAAGCTTTTGGATGCTCTATTTTTTAAGCTGTGGCATATTGTTTCAGGCTATGGTTGGGAATGGCATTGTTCTCACCAACTCTTTTTCTCCCCCTTTCTAGGGCTCCCTCTCCCACCAAGCGTAAGGATAGAACCGATGACAAGTCAAAGGACCGGTCTAAAGATAAAGGGGCCACCAAAGAATCAAGTGAAAAGGACCGTGGTAGAGACAAAGCTCGTAAGAGGCGAAGTGCCTCTAGTGGTAGCAGCACCTCCAGGTGGGGATTTTTTTTGTTTGTTTGTTTGTGTTGTTTTTTAGTAGAAGCTCTGGGAGAACTAAATCAATGTACGGGCACAGTCAGATTATAGGGGTTATTTCTTTGCAGGCAGCCTGTTTATATAGCAGATAAACTCAAACAGTGTTCTGGAAGCATGTCGTCTTTTGGGAAAACTTTTAAAGAAAGACCCTTTGTAGGGGGTTGATGCAGTGTTCAGGCTGTCCCCTCCCATGTTACATGCCATGTAAGGTGTGTAACTTCTCAGGTATATTTATTTTTGATGAACATTGGTATTAACTAATCAGTAACACAAAGTGTACTGTTAGACCAGTTCTAAGCAGTTAGCTGCCAATTCACCAAGCTAGGTCTGTTTGATTTTAACACGTGTGTGGGTTCTATAGTTTCGCCCCTCCATTACTACTGACTTCCGCAAGTACAAGCCTTAGATTCCTTCTCCAGAGTTTGGCCTGACCTTAAAGGTTTCTACTTAAATCTCTTTGCCAGTCCAACAAGTAGAGACATTTGGCACTAGAAGTAACATTGCTCCCTAACAAGTAGTAAAGTATGGACTCCTCTCCTTAAGAGCATTACCATTGAGCTTGGGGTCTCCTAATCCCAATTTGAAAACATTCTACTCCCATTTCAGTTCAGTCTGTGGCCCTTTTACTCCTCTCCACCTCATCACTCAACAGGTCTCGATCCAGTTCCACCTCCAGCTCTGGCTCTAGTACTAGCACTGGCTCTAGCAGTGGGTCCAGCTCTTCTTCTGCATCAAGTCGTTCAGGAAGCTCCAGCACCTCCCGAAGTTCCAGCTCCAGCAGTTCCTCTGGATCTCCAAGTCCCTCTCGACGAAGGCATGACAATAGAAGGCGTTCCCGCTCCAAGTGAGTGCTGACCTAAACTTCTCCCATATCTTCTGTTATGCTCTGTAGCCAATTGGTCATTTGGCTGATGATGATATGTGAGCCTTCCTTCCGGGCATCTGAGTCTGTCTGTAATGTGAGCTGAGAAACCACAATTGCCAGTTGTTCTTTTCAAATTTGAGTGTAGTGGTATTTTTAGCTTTTTGCCACAGAAGCAAAATGTTTGAAGTAATATCAAGCATCAGTTAGCAACCTGGTAGACTAGAAAGAGATCAGTTTGTATAAAATAAGTCAATAAACATTTTTTAAGCACCCACTAATATGCCAGGCACTATGCTATTCACTGAGGATACCAAAGATGATCCCTACCCTCAAGGAGCTCACAATCTAAAGAGTAATTGCCTTCCATTGTTGATCTAAGTGAAGAAAAAAGTCTGTTAAGGAGTTTCCGGTGACCCGCTAACATTCAGTAATATTGTACAGTTTTATCTTTGGGATTTCTAGGAATGATATAATTATTATCTAGCGTAAAGAGCTTCTTTTGAAAACATTTTTTGCATACTATTGTGCTGTAAGAAGTAATGGGGGAGGGGTCAGTAAAACCTGAAAAAGACTTTATATGAATTGGTAGTACACGGTAAAAACAATATTGTAACAAACATTGACAGTG